AGACTAGAATAGTTATATACTATATATTATAAAGTAAATAAGCTACTAGTCGAGAGAGAACTCTACTCTTAAAAACTATAATTAACGCGTTTAGAAACGCTATATTTTTTACTTAAAGAAGGCGATTTTGTTCTTCTAAATAATATATTAAAGTAGAAATTTAAATCTAACTACTTCGGACTCTTTTAGATTCTAAAGAAGCTATAGTTTAATATATACGTATTAGAAACGATAAACTAGAAGGTCTTACGCCTATTTATTTATAGAAGCTATCTAATATAATATTACTTAATAGATTTAGATAAGTAGATAATCTAATCGCTTACTAAGATATAGTAAATACGACTCTAAATAATTAGAGATAGTATAATAAAGTCTTCGGATAAAGTACTTTAGATACTTAGTAACGAGCTTAATCTTCTAATATACTATAAGCTATTAATAATATTAAAGTAATAATAAATATTATAGAAATAACTAGAAGATAGTTTAAGTAAGATAAAGAAGAGCTAAGAAGCTAAAGTAATACTAGTAAATAGATGTCGACGAAATAGAGAATAGAAGCTAATATTCTATAGCGTAATATCGATAGAGAAGACTATAATAGTCTATAAGGAATAAACTATAATCGGAGTAGCTCTCGCTTCTAATTCTCTAAAGTAGATTACTCTATCTTTAAGTAGATAATATCTCGTTACTAGAAAGAGTAACGAGAATATTAGTACTTTAAGAGTATTAAATAGAATAGCTAGAATAGAGTTTATCTCTCTATACGCCTAGATTAGGTAGAAATAAGAAAGTAGTAATAGACTATTATAGTCTAACCCTCTTGATACGCGAAGAATAGGGAACGAAGGGACTTTTAGCCCTCTCGAAACTTCTCTAATACTCTAGAAAAGAACGAAAGACTATATTTAGGATAGATAAGGGATCTTAAAAAATAAGAGTAATTCTATCGGATCGTACTAAGACGCCGTTATATAAGATACTTCTATTCTATTCTATACCGAACTACTTAAATCTATACCGATAGATATTAAGATCTATTCTATCGATATCGTAAGATATATAGATAATATAGTAGGCCTATTCTATATAAATTATATAGAGAATAGCTATAATAAGTTAACTAAAGCTATTCTAAGTAAGAAGGAGCTATACGCCGTTAGTAGATTAAATTAACCTAAAGATATAAGGCTATAGAACCTTATAAACTAGGATATATCTACTTTATTCTTCTTAATATCTACCGATACTATAGAAAGTATATTTACGATATCTTCTAGTTCTACTAGAATAACTCTTTCGATACTCGAGAGGAATCTTATTCCTTAAGAGTACTCGAAACCTTATAAGAAGCGGAAATAAGATAATTTATTATCTTCGTTAGTAGTCTAAAATATTAACTATAATATAGTCGAGTCTCTAGTTTCTTATTAACGATATATTAAAGGACGCTTACTAAGATCTAATTCTAGACTAAAGATAGTATAAGACTAAATAATCTAATAATAATAGTATTCTCTATAGATAATCTATAGAAACTAGAGCGTAGACTAGATCTCGACCTTTAGCTATATATTATCGGGATATCCTATAAAGCGCTCTAAGTATATTAAAAAACCTAAAAATAACTAATAAATTATAGTAAATCGCCTTATATAGTAGATATAGAAGAATCTCGCTTACGCTTCTCTACTTATCGTATTATACTAGAAGATTTATCTATAAAATAGACTATTCGTAGAGTATCGTCTACTACTATAGTAGTATAAGAAAATAGTAATACTTCGCGGTCTCCTTACTATAATACTATCGGAGCCGGTTCTAATAGTAGTACTTCTATTAGCGCCGTCGTTTTATAGTAAGAATACCCTAAAAGGCCTAAACTAGAAGTAGGGCCCGATTACTATATATAGATAGATAGCGGATAAATATTATATATAGAATAAGTAGAAGTAGTAGATTATCTATATACTAGATAATAAAAAGATAGACGTTCTAGTATCGAGTAAATCGATATATAGCCTTATATAGACTATATCGATAAATCTATAGAAGACGAGACTAGTACGAATCGTTACTATATTATAATCTAACTATATTTAGGGTTATATACTAGCTCGGGAGATATAGGTATATATTATATAGTCTCTTTAGTATAATAACGTATTTCTAATATATACCTAGACGAACTTCGTATCTATAATAATAGCTTAGAAGAAAAATCGATAGTATACTAATAATATCTTAGTAGTAACTCGTTAGCTACGTAGCTATATTCTTCTAACTTCGAACTAGTCTCGACGACTTCTATTCTTACTAAAGATATAGATATTATAGAACGACGACTTTATTAAGTCGATATTAGTAGAGAATATTACTCTATATATATATCGGATTTACTAATTTTACGAATAATTTTAATAGTTTTCGATATATAATATAGATCTAAAGCCTACTATATTACCTCCTAGATAGCGATTAATACCTTTTAATATCGATCTTCTATATCTATCTATAGCGATAATACGAAGTCGAATCTATCTTCTAGACCTTTAATCTCGATAGCTATATAACTATTCGTCTCTCTAGCCTCGTCGGCTATATATAGACTACTTATCTTCTCGCTAAAATATACCTCTCTTATATCTTCTACTAGATCTTCTTTCTATATTTTAGGGAATCGAGTATAATATTTCTTAGTACTACGCGTTTAAATAGGCGTTAATATTAATATAGTAGACTAACGATAACTAGAAGCTTCGCTACTTATATCTCGATTACTAAATAAAGAATAATCGACTTCGCGAATAGTATAAATTATATATTTTCCGCTAAAAAGATATATCGAATTCGTAGAAATAGGCGTATTAGAGATAGATATTAAAATATACTCTAGAAATATCGACTCTTAATATAAGTCTAGTTTAACTATATAAAGATATATTTCGTAATATAGATTATTTACGATATCTACTATATACTCTATAAGGGTATTCCTAATATATATATTAATAATATCTCTCTAATCGTAAAATTCGACGGATCTTCGAGAAATATAACTATATAGCTAAACTAATAAGCTATTATTAGGAGAAAAGAACTACTTCTAGTACTATTTCGCCTAGATAATAGAATTAACTACTATATCGCTAGACTTAACGCTATAAATATCGTCGTTAATCTAAAATAAATTAGTAATTATATCTTTCGATATAGTACGGTATACTTACGAAAGAAGCCGTTTTTACCGCCTTAGTTATTAGTAGATCTTTAACTATCTTCTTAACTCGTTAATAGTACTAAGTATTTAGAACTTATAGTCTAGTTAGCGTCTTAACTTATCTAGATAGTATAATAACTATAATAGTAGTTATAGAAGATTTAGCTTTAATTAATAAAAGACTTAGAGCTTAGAAATATAAACGACTAGAAAGAGATATAAAAGAAAGTAAGAAGAAAAGAAGTAAAAGATATCTACTTATACTTCTTAAAATCTCGCCGGATTAATCCCGAATTAGCTTCGAAGAGTAACGGCGAGTACTATTACGCGTATAGGCTCTCTTTACTTATTATCTTAACGACCTTAATTTACCCTCGATTTATTTAGCTTTACTATTCCGAGCGTATATACTACTCTTATAGCTAAAGATAAGAGATATATACTCGCTCTATATACCTTAATTAATACCGAAGATATAGATATTATAGATACTTATTCTAACGATAGAACTACTTAGAAAACGAAGTATTTAGAATATAGAAATACTATTTTATTCTCTACTATAAGGCTAATAAAGATACTCGACGTTCTTTAACGACGAATAAGACTATTCGACGGTCTAGATAGAGGAGGATATAATAAAATAGGCACTCTATATACTAAGTATTATAAAGACGTCGAGGATCGTCTTTCGGTCTCGACTAGCGTCGTACGCTATCGTATAACCCCTAGAAAGTATATAGTCTGACGAGGCCCCAGGCCCCGTTGAAAAAGGACAAGTCCTCCGTGAAATCACAGTACCTCAGATACTTTTGCTATGTTTTCTCTGTTTGCTTCATTTGCCATGTTTGCAATCACCGGCAAAGCCAAGCTCGATTGAAGCTAACCATATCTAGCATAGTAGCACTGCTGATCCAGTTGCATCCAACTGGCAGCGAAGTCTGGACAGAAAGATCTCAATGCTGCCAGTGTAATATTGCAGTTCGCCCGTTGCAGATTGCCGGCAGTCATGATAGTCAGACACTTCTGCGCCCGGCATGGTATGGAATGACTGCTCCTTGTCTATACTTTCTCTCAGGCTAACAGGTTCCAGGGCGCACAGTGCTGGCTCAGTCGACACGGCCTCTGACCCGAGGGTACGTGGACAGCAGAAATGTCGACAACCCCATGCTCCGACAGTCCGAACGAGATCCCAAGCCCAAGCCTGGGATTCCAGGGCATCCAGACGAGCCGTCAAGCATTTTAGATACGATTCCTCATCCACCGACCGCTGCCACCGCGTCTCTAGCCAAACGGCTCGAAGCGCAGGAGAATTCGCTCCAGGCCCTCCGGGCAGATATCCAAGCGCACACCACCGCCCGGATTATGTCGCTGGATGAGTTCCAGTTTGACGCAAAACACCCCGGCTCAGCGCCCAAATCAGATGCCATCCAATCTTCATCTTCTTCCTCACAATCATCTCCATTGGCACCGCCAGCCAAAGCCGACCCGCTACCCTTTGACAATCTGAAAGAACTAAACCGGTACCGACGGCACGTGCAGCAAGAAAGACGCAAAGGCACACGGCTCTCTCAAACATACGACCCCACGACTCTCCTCCGCAACCCGCCGAAGGAGTCGGAGCTGACTTTGCCAATGCTATTGGCGAACCAGACGCACCTAGGCCACGCGACGTCTCTGTGGAACCCATCGAACAGCAGTTACATCTTCGGCATCCGAGACGGAATCCACATCATTTCGCTGGAGACGACGTATGCGTATCTGAAGCGGGCAGCCAAGGTTGTTCAAGAAGTGGCGCGACGCGGCGGAGTGATCCTGTTCATCGCAACCCGCAAAGGCCAGGAAGAGATTGTCGTCAACACGGCCAAAATCGCCGGCGGATACCACATCTTCCACCGCTGGGTGCCGGGATCACTGACCAACGGACAACAAATCCTCGGCGCATGTGGCGTCAAGGTGGTCGACATCCATGACCGCGAGATCCCGCAGTATAGCAACGTCTTCACCGCCGGCAGCCACACCGTCATGCGGCCTGACCTGGTCGTCTGCCTGAACCCGCTGGAGAACCAGGTCTGTCTGCACGAGTGTGGTCTGTTCAACGTGCCCACCATCGGCATCATCGACACAGATGCCAATCCTGCCTGGGTCACATACCCGATCCCCGCCAACGACGACTCGTTGCGCTCCGTCGCCCTGATCGGCGGCGTGTTGGGCCAGGCCGGTGCAGAGGGCCAGCGACTGCGCAAGCTCGAGGCCATGCGTGGCTCCGCCACCTATCCCACTGAACATGTTCGCAAGACCCTGGAAGCTATACAGACGATTGCAGCTATGGATGTGCAAGAGCCCGAGAAGGCCAGTGAAAAGTAGTCATCTTGTGATTATCCCTGATTCATGTTGTGAGTTTCAAAAAAACGGGTGACGGGATGGACTTGCAATTACAATCTTTGTGGCAGCACTGGGCTTTGTACAAACAGGCTTATAGGACATGGACGTCTGGATAAAATCACTCCGAAGTAAAAGATTTGAGGCATGGCGATAATGCTGACTCGACGTTGTCAATGCCCCGTTTCTACTTACATTTCCATGCTTGTGGCTCCCTGACTGTCATGAGGACAGTGCCATCTCTTCCAATGTTCAACGACCTTATATTAACCGGACGAGTGCTATCACCTAGACAGTGTCCGTAGCACGAGGGAGAAGTTTACTGCAGTTGTAGGGACAAGAACTTGAAGGGCATGCATTTTGTTCAAATAGAGGCCGTCCCGACCAATTCGTTATGAAACGAAGCGCGACCGCTGAATATCCCATCACCCGCCCTGACCACCGAAGCACCACCGGTGATTTGTTTCGCAAAAAAAGAAGCCTAGCTGCCATATATCTTCGGCATTGACGTACAGTGAATGGAAAGTGTGTGAAAGTTTTGTGCCGTCTCCCAAGGAACCCGTATCATGTTGAACCGGCCTGGCGCAACGTATCTTGTCACCCGCAGTTGGCCACAACGCAACAGCTGGCGGCTCGCGTTCCCTACGCTTACAGTAAGGAGTCCAATCTGGTGAAAACGCTCAAACACGCCGCAACGACCTGTAGGATTCAGGGACTGGTCAGTATGGGTTTGGACAGTTGCTCACGGGCACAGAACTGGTCTGCGCTGAACGGGAATGTGGAGCGCGATGCTGCAAAACTCACCTCAAGTTGCAACTCCTTGTCCTTATTCCTCTCGACCTCTTCGGCGATGACCTGTCCAATGTTTGCTCCAATGCCTTGCCCTCCGCCAGCTCTCCTAGCAAAAGGCCATTGGCTGTATTCCGCAAGTAGCTCGTCCACCTGAGCAAACGCTCTTTCTCTCGCTTCATGGCTCATGGTCACCAAGGCATTCTCGAGCACATTCGCCGCATACGCCGCACACACCATGGCAATGGTCCGAAGCATTCTGAACTCGAGTTCTGCAGGGAGGAATTGTGACGGAGGGAGGACGACGGTGCGGGCGGAGCAGACGCTTCGGACGCGTTTTCGGATCTCGTCTTTGGCGGCGGAATCAACGACAGGATGGGTGGCCATGTCAAAGAGAAGGAAGTTTCGTTTTTCAGTGCGCAAGATGCCTTTGTCCACAAGACCTTTCGCGAGTCGTTCACGGACTTGTTTCAACTGGTAGCCGATCTTCATGAGGTTCCAAGTTTCCCCTGAGTACACCAATCAGTCTGTGTTGGCGGAGCGGTGTGCGTTCGCCGGCCGATACTTACCACTCATCAGGTCAATCCAGGAGCTCACGCTCATTTTCTCACTTGACTTCATCATTTTCAATGCTTCGTCAAGCAAGACTTCTCCTGTCAAGGTGTCGTCGATCACTTCGATGATCCGATCGGCCAAGGGAAACCGTCTCCGGGACGAGTCATTTTGCATGGCAATGCGGCCTCTGAATGCCAGTTCGATCACGATGCACCCTCGCAAGGCGTAGGATATGTTGTCGTTCCAGAAGGAAAGATAGCCCTACCATGGAACCGTCAGCACAACTCCGCTCGATTGAAGACCATCTCAGTGCATACCTGCTTATCTTTCAACCCAAGTAATAAGATTTCTTCCATCAGTGTCAACTTTGGCTGTTTACTTCTTTCCTGACTTTCGCTTATGTCTCTGGGGTCATAGGCAATTCTGTGGCCATTTTCGCCGTTCTCATAGGCCGTTTCTGGGGTTCGGTCGGTGTGCGGTCTGGGTGCAGGAGATGTGACGCGGCTGGAAGACTCTTCGTCTGCGGTAGGTGAGGTGACACCCCCTGCTCCACGCCGCCGCGTGAGGCCTCCTTGAGAGGCCATCAATGTGGTAACTCCTCAAAGGGCACGGTTAGGGTGGACAGTAGAGGGTGTTTACAAGTCGCGGATAATTGTTGTTGATGTGTGGAACTGGTTTTCTGGAGTCACGCGGTCTGGAAGCGTCGCAATTAATGAGGTCAGTGGTTTGGGGGTGTGGTAGAGGTGCGCTTGAGGGACGTGACTATTTCCAGAATAACGCGAAAGCCTGAATGAATGATGGCCGCAAAAGGATAATGAAAGTCGGCAGTGTGAGACTCGGGATGATAATAACAGGCGTGTCCTGAGGCCGAGATGCGAGACACGCTTCTGCGGTCTCTATCTCTTGTGGACTCCAGTGAGGCCGAGCAGTTGTATGCAATAATGCCTAGTAGTGGTAGTGTTGCTATGTTACACGTATCTTGATTGACTGCAGACAGCAACCCAGAGACACGCACAGCGACAGTCCGCAATTGAAGCTGACAAAGCTGTGCCAAGGCCAGATTTGGGCGGAGTGGCAGACCAGCACATGCAGCACTGGATCATGTCCTCTGACTGCATGCTCCATTTCAAAAGTACCAGGTAGTACAGGTATACTGATGATTGTCTACTCCTGGTACCTGCAGGTCACCAAAAGATACGCGAGTACCTGAAGGTACATGTAGTAAACAGCATTGGAGGAAAGGATATCTCAAGCCAGCGCCAGTACCACTCGTAGTGCAGAATGATACTGCCAGTGCTAGCAAGGGCTACTCATTGACTGCACCTATAAACTGACTACATCGCTACTAGTTATCTCACGTTCAGCCGGACGCTGTAGGTGATGCTGTGGCACCCACAGATTCAAAGGGTTACAGCCGGATATGCTCCGAGCTATTCGCCGTCCTGACTACGAGTAGTACTACTACACTGGCAGTTAAATGACATACTAGTACTAGTACTAGTATACCTGACTGGAGTATGCGTTGAGGCCAACAGGTGTTGGGCTTCCACCTTCTCAGATGGTGCCTATACCGCGAACATCCAACGGTGCGCAAGATACAACATGGTATTCCTACGCGAACACCTCCTTTGCGTCTTCAGCCTCCAATCAGCCAAAACACCAGTGATACCAGATGTCAGATAGCGTCTCACTCGCTCAGACCACAGCGTCGCCACCTCCACAAGGCACATCTCACCCTCCAAGTTCACGGCTCGGCGTCGTGGCGTCACACGCGTCTGGGCGGCCATTGGTCTATCAACATCCAACAAACGGCACCCCATCTTTTCTACTCAGCCGGTTCAGCCCTCCGGTTGGGGGGAGGCGTGCTCAGCTTTGCCTCAAACTTCCGGACCACACTTCTTCCCCGGGTAAGCTTTCGGCGAAACCAAGGGGAAGGTTTCGCGTGCCTTCCATTCATTCAAGTTCTTCAGGTCAGGTCGTTTATAACTGAAGCACATAAACTCCTCAAGCTTATATTCTCGGTGGTGTTAAGTGCTATGTCGCCGTCAGCGCGAGATCATCGACCGATCATTCTATAACAAGTATCTATATACGTCAAACGCTCCGTCCGCGTTCATCTAGCGTGTTCCGCACATCCGAACTCAGCGGCCACCACACAGGACCGTCGACTCAGGAACAGATTTCAGTTCACAGCTGTGGTGTATTATTATCTATCTTGATTGTGCACCGCTTCTCTCTAATCTTAGGCTTCGACAGAAGCCAGCTCAAGCCAAAATGCCCGATATCATCCCCCTGATAACGCTGGAGGAGCATTTCGTCTCCCCAGCCGTAACAGACTACTATGCTCAGCAGGGCAAGGAACACACGCTTCCCCTATCGCACAAGAAGATCATGAAAGTCCTGTGCGAGGTTGGTCCTTTGCGGCTACAATACATGGACTCAGGCCGTGTCAGTGTCCAAGTCATCTCGCACCGGCCAAACTCCATTCCCATCCCGCCGGAAGTCTGCCGGGCGGCCAACAACGAGCTGTCTGAAGCCATCAAATCATCCCCATCACCGAACAGGTTCGCCGCCTTCGCCATGCTGCCGACACTATACCCGGAAGAGTCGGCGGCCGAACTCGAGCGATGCGTCAAAGAGCTCAACTTCGTGGGCTCGCTGATCGACAACACCGTGGACGGTCGGTTCTACGACGACCGGTTCTTTTGGCCCATCTTTGCCGCTCATGAACGCCTCGATGTCCCCGTATATCTGCACGCGTCACCTCACATGCCGAGCGAAACGTCCCCTTTCCACGGCAACTACGCGCCTCAAGTGTCGAGTTTCCTGGAGAACCACGGGTTCAACTGGCACACCGAAGTGGCGCTAGGCATGCTGCGTCTGTTTGCCGCGAAACTCTTCGACGAGTATCCGCACCTCAAAGTCCTGCTTGGCCACATGGGCGAGCTCCTGCCGTACTCGCTGGACCGCATCCATCGACTGGTCCAACGGACGTGGCCCACATCGGCCCGTCCACGGAGGCACCTCATGCAAGTCTGGCACCACAACATCTACGTCACGACCAGCGGCATGTTCAGCCTCGCGCCCATGGCCTGTCTGATCCACATGTGCTGCGCCGACAAGGTGCTGTACAGCGTCGACTATCCCTTCTGCAGCAACGAAGAGGGACTGGTCTTCATGAACCAACTGCGCGAGAGCGGCATGATCAACGAGCAAGACTTTCTTGACATTGCGTACAAGAATGCCGAACGACTGCTGGGCCTGCGTGTCCCCGAGGATAATCAGGTCGGCATTGCTGAAGACCCTACCGCCGGCGACGGTGACTCGGGGCTAGGGTTGAGTCCATCTCGACTACGCCCGTGGCTGTCGACGGATAGTTCCAACGGAGATCCAAGTGGAGCGTTTCCTCACTCACCGCTTCAAACAGTTCATGAGTGACTGACTAAGCTTATTCGGTCTGGAACTACGTTATGGTCTGCAATGGCCAACAAAGAGTACTGTGGCTATGCTTGACAGGCTTTCTGCTACGAAGTCGTGGGCAGCAGGCAGCATACGTACCTAAGTCAACCAGTGCGTCAACAATGAGGGGGCAAAGGGTGTCATCTTGACCCAATACTACGCCGTTTCATCTTGCCGGCAGCGAAGACGAACCAACAAATGGCCGCCGCGAGAGGTTTCCTCCTCTCTCCATTGAACCTGGAATCCCCAAGCAACAATGATGCATCCATTGCACCAAGGGGATCAACAGCCGACTGAACCGTAGCGAGAGCCCACGTCTTCAACAAAGGTGTCTTTGCATACAAAAAGTTACATGACTTTGCTGCCTGTTTACAAGAGCATGACGCGATCTGCAGAGGAACCAAATGAGAGGTCGACGAATCCCTCCAGTCTCCCTCTCAGCTATATTGCACTGGAGAACAGAAAACTAAATGATTTCGAACTGGACACATATCTAACCTTGTCATATTGTGACGATCAAAGGAAGACTGAGAAAGAGATAAACCGATAGGGTGGTGGTAGGCTCGGGTTCCCAAGCAATATTGGTCTATCTACATACATACAGCCTTGACCCAATGGATTGGACCGGGATGGAAAGTTGTCGACGACGAAAACGAAGACTATGGAATGGAATGCAGGAATGAATGGAAACGAGAAATAAGGATCGAAAGGATATGATTTTAGATACGGGCGTTGTTTCTTTCCTGTATAAATCGCAGAATTATGTACACAGCTGGTGGTGTGGGATGTAACGAGGAAAGTAGGATACATACCTTAACTTGGAAGCAAGTCCTGGATTTTTGAGATAATGGCGCACAATGAAAGGGGCAGGGAAGTACCTACTTACCAAGTTACCTGTATTGCAGGTCTAGGTCACATCCCACAGCCTGCTAGAATGGGCAATGAACGGCACGCACATTTATTGTCCACCAAAAGAAAAGATATTGAAGAGGATTGTCACCATTGAATCATATTCACAACATGCACGCAATCGAAGCACTAATGCAGTTTATTTACTTGCCCCACCCGAGCTCAATGCAACAATGTCCGGAGAATCATGGTATCGTACCGTACGTGCGAAACCCCCCATTTGGGCTACGTCCCCGTGTCTCTATACCAACACGAGGCTGCCCCCAAAGAAAAAGCCCATGACGACAACACCACAGCTGGCAAGGATGCTTGCCGCGTTGAAAGGCGCGGGTCGAATATTGGCATTGGCTCCGTTGGTCTTATGGGAGCCCGACGACGAGGCAGTACTGCTGCCGCTGCTGCTCGACCCACCCTTGCTCGTACCCGTTGCTGTCAGGTGGAAAGTAGCCGACCTGCTAGTTGCGGCACTGAGGTCTCCAGTAGCTGTTGCGGTGGCTTGGGTGATGTGAGGAACGCCAGAAAACGTTTGAGCAACGCTCGCGGCCGAGGCAGTGGAGACTGCATTAGGAATGCCACTGCTTGCTTGAAACGCTTGGATATTCGACTTGCCGGCGTCGAAATCGGTTTGGCCAATGCCAATCTCTTGGTTCTCCAGATCATAAACCACATATGCGCTCCGGAGAAAAGAATCGCCAAACAAAATCGGGTTGTCACCAGCAGCTTGAATGGCAAAAGCACACGCCTTGTCTCCGTTTCGGAACGTAGGCTGAGATCCATCCGTGGTCAACAAGGGACTCACAAATTCTGACAAGCTCACGTTGACAACAGGTCCATCCGAGCCGCCAAAGCGGAAGGAAAAGGTCAAATCGTCGTTGGCGAGTTTGCAAGGCACAACATTGCCATATGACGGGTCTGTCAGGACTCCCACGCCGTTGAATACAGCCTCGGCAACCTCGTCTGGGAGGAGGGTGTAACTTGTTCCGGAGTCAAGAATAGCTGGTTGAGGCGAGGATGGGCTCAAGTCCGACTCTTGACCAGGGCCGGTCACAGTCAAACCCGTCCATGCGACCGTCATGGAACTGATTGTTCCAGTCTGGGTATCCAACTGAATGGGAAGGGCGACTAAATCACCGAGGTACTTGCTGGTGTCGACGCCTCCGAAAAGAATGCTGCCCGTGTTGGAATTCTTGTCATCCAGCCATAACGAATAGGACAACGTGTTGATGTACCCCTCATTCTTGAGGACGCTGATGACGTTGGGATAAGAAAATCCATTCAATAAATACCCAGCCTCTCCCGATTCAAAGCCAATGCCCATGATGCCCAGTCCTCTTGTGTTCGCAGTCAAGGCAGCAGCCATTGTCATATTTGTGAGCTTGGTGTTACCAATGTTGAGAACATCGGAGATGTATGCGCCCGCAACTTGCGATCCGTCGACATACTGAATCTGGAATTCGGGGGCGTCAGGGTCGGAGTAGGTGGACGACTTGCTGTAGTCGTACATGCCGAGAGGACAGTTCTGAACATTGTCTTCACAAATGTCTGCATTGACGGCGGGGAACCAGATATCGGACGAGCCGGTGTCGAGCTGAAGAGAGAAGGGCTGGCCTGGGGTCCCGACTGTGACGTTGATCAAGTAAAGCAGGATCTCATTGTCCAGAGATGCCTGGACGGTTTTCGACGACTGTCGTCGAGCGAGGTGAGGGTAGTCCTGCGCCTTGACACGACGCTTTTCGAAGGTGTATCCCACGGTGCCAGGTGCTGCAGTCCCGACCACGGAGCTGACGGAGGAAAGCAGCCATGCTGCGCCTAGCACAGCGGCAATGAGCCCGCCCATGGTTACGGGCAGCTGGGGGTGGCGACGGCGGATGGAGAGCACCGAGGCGAGAATGGATTAGGACGAGTGGTGAGTGAGGGAAACCAGGATGAGAAAGGGCACGACGAAGCCGCAGGAAGAATAGTTGACTAAATACGATAACCCTAGGTTGGTGGTAGAGGTGGCGGTGCCTGGTGGTGATGGTGGAGGACGGATACCGGTTTCATGCCATCACCAAGTCCAGGGATGTACTGTACGAAAGTACCTGGCTGCCGGTGATGCTCGCCTTGGGATTGGATGGGCGCCGCCATTGAAGCCAGCGGCGCTCGACCGGGGAAAACTGCGCCTCACTGGAGCCCAGCACCATACTACCGTACTACAATGTACCATACTAGAATTGTTTACTATAACAACAGTGGGTGCACAACTTGAACGCACAACTTGAACTACTTGCAAGATACATTATTGTGTGAAGCCTACCTGGTACCTGTCCAGCGCATTATGGATTGGCCTGTAGTGTCGGTCATCAACTTGTACACAGAAAGCCCCCGGGGCGGTCACCAAAAGTGGCGCAGTCATCAAACACTGGGTATGGCACGGCAACCCGCACTGCAGGCAGCTCTGACCTGAACCTGATGCAAACTTGGGAAAAGCGCCCTGGCCAATGTGAGGCTGCCAATGCAGTGTCACTGCAGTCTTCGGCCTCCTGTCCAGTCAAGGCGCGGGCATTTCAGCATGATGACGACGAGCGTTCCTGAAGTGGTTCTAATAAGTTTCGCGTTGGGCATCCAGGGTCCTGAAATGCAGGGTGGCTTGCAGTGCCTTTTGTGCCTGCTCTAGTTGCCCGGATGATGTACAGTAGTAGTACAAGCTACTATTACCTAGGTATGTACATTGGAGGACTGTGCCGGGGCAGTAGTACAGTGAGTTGTAGTAGTATTGGTGCCCATACCCACATCGCCTAATGTACAATTGGCATTAGGCCCTGCTTTTACGCGAAGAACACCTATCACCTTTGCACGTTTGAAGAATGTACCACTCGTAGGGTTGACAGTACGTACACAGTACAACTACAGTGGTAGTACCTAGTGCTGGGCGGGAATTTGAGGTGCTACCAAAATAGTAACCATATCGCCTCAGCTTCAAGTTGGTTGTGGCTGCACGAAATTGAATAAGTGAGCTGGAGTTGCACGTTCCATTCAGCTTCTCTCGTACGATGGCGTCGGTGTGGAAACACGGCTGGTGGCTCAGGCTTCAGAGAGCCTTGTCCCACGTTACCTCTTCGTCCGTAACACCTCAGGCTCTCAGTCCCCTCCTCCACTGTATGTTTGAACTTCTACGTGGATTATGTTTCGACATATACTTCTGCGATGGTCATGTCTGCGCATCATGTCAATGCATACATCAACCATTTTACACGGTTATGCTTCCCACAGCAGTCGAAGGATCTTATGATCGGAAATGCTACTCATTAGTGATCCATTTGAGTGCTCGGAAAACTGAATATCTTATTCCTTAGAAAAAGCCAAAGAGCCGCTTGAAATGTCTATTAGCGTTCGGCCACGTGCCGCGCATCAATCCACAACCTTCCGCTCCATTTAACGCCTGTTGTTTCCTTCCCGTTCTGGCCCTGCTCAAGACGTGGCGGGCTTGCGTGCGACAATCAAATACATCGGAGTGAACAGCTTCTCCTTTCCACCAGCAACCAAGCAGTCTGCTGCGTATGCCAAACTGTTGGCGGTCTTCTGAGTGCCTTGAGGGACCACCTTCAGCTTCTCTCCCAAGCCAAGGAATTTGTGGACCAGTCCTCGTCCCCACCAGGTCATTCGGCTGATGGTGAAGAGGTCGCCGACGCTGCCCAGGTAACGGAAATCTCCTGCAAGAGGGTAATACCACGGAATAGGGTCTGGCCGGTCTGCGAGATCCTCGTGGTACTCCAGCTCGAAGCCAGCTGCCTTGATAGCGGCCAAACCCTCGGAAACCTTGACCATGTTGGAGATTCCATCCCCTTGTTCGATTCCTAGACGGATCTCACGATGACGTGGATTGTCATTGTCGTACTTGTCGGTCATCAGCCACTCGTAGACGCCAAAGACACCTCCAGGCTTCAAGACGCGGAAAATCTGCTCATAAACACCTTGCAGACTGGGGGCGTGGACAGTGGCCTCAATGGCGTAGGCAGCATCGAAACTGTTCTCGGGGAAAGACATTTGCATGAAATCGCCCTTGACCACGCTCCACTTGTCGGCAAGACCCTCCTTCTCAGCATAATGAATTGACCGCTCGATTTGGTAGTCATTGTTGTTCAACCCTGTGACATGGGCGCCAGTGAACCGGATCATTTCCCTGGCGGGCCCGCCGACACCACAACCAACATCTAGCACCCGAGAGTTCTCTTGCATGTTCATCTTGTAGGCCAAGTAATGTTCATGACGGGCAATCGCCTTGTGGAAAGATTCACCGATGGCGAAGCGACAGAAGTGAAAGGAAGTGCCCCAGCCATATTCGTAGAGGTCGGTGGCCAGGTTGTAGTAGCTGGTGAACAGTTAGGTATTTCATAGTCAAAGGCCGAAGTAGCGGACTTACTGTCGAGTCAAAGTAGCATATTCAGCTCGTCGTGCCTGGCGATCCTCCTCGGTCTCAGTGGCGGCGGCCTTGTTGTCCCAGTGTTTGAAGTATTCGTCAACTGCAACTTTTTGCGCCTTGTCATCTTTGGCCCTCAGAGCCATCAAGCCTCCTCGTGCACCGGCGGACTTGCCGTGAAGAGCTTTGTTAAAGGCAGCATCACGGGCATGGTCCTCGGCTTCGAGGGTAGGGACAGGAGAAGTGGCGGAAGGGGCCATGTTAGCGGCCACGAAGTGTCTGAATGACAGGACTGGGCAAGAGAGTTTCGAAGCACGTCGCAATGCAAAGTCAAGTCAAGTCGGAGTCTCACGAACGAGTGACAAGCAGTCAAAAACAACCCAGATGTCAACGAGCAGTATGAACGGAGAGAAAGGGACTTCGAGATGGGGACGCATCAAAAAGACCGGAGACTGCCCAAAAATTATGGCGAGACTCGGGAAACGAGGAACGTCCAATGCGGTGCGACGTGACGACCAGCAGGTGGAGAAAGCCTATCTTGCTGCTGCCCAATCACATTGTACCTAGGTAGTAGCGAGAACCTCTTGGCAGGGGCACCCCCATCGCATCGCAAATCTGTGTAGCCAGCATTTGGATTATTGCAGCTGCACCGCCACTAGTTTATCACGGGAAGCCGCGAACGCCGGCTGGCGTGTCTGGAACATTACTGCACCCTTTCACGTGATTTTAGCTGGAACGAAATCACGTGCGCCGCTCCTCCCGCCTTCTCTCCGACTCCAGACGTCGGCGGCGAAAAGCTGAACGTGACATGCAGTGGTTGGCCAGCCCACTGCTTTCGAATCCGTCTACATTTGTCAGGCAGAATCGACACACTTCCAGCGACGACGGCTTTGCGCGAAGTTGCCTTTCATATACTTGATTTGACTGGCACGGCCTCCTTCATCAAAGCTTTGTTCTCCAAGCCGTGACCATCATGCCTCCACAGATCAAACAAGATCTTAACCGTTCTGGTTGGGAAACCACGGACTTTCCCTCGAGCTGCGAAAACTGCCTACCAGACAATCCCTATGTTCAAATGCTAAAGGAAGATTATGGCGCCGAATGCAAGATTTGCACGAGACCGTTTACTGTGTTTCGCTGGAAAGCCGACCGCACGGCCAGGACGAAAAGAACAAACATATGTCTGACTTGCGCGCGATTAAAGAATTGTTGTCAGTGTTGTATGCTCGACTTGTCTTTTGGACTACCCATCACGGTCCGAGATGCCGCGCTCAAAATGGTGGCCCCTGGTCCGCAGTCAACCATCAACCGAGAGTACTATGCGCAAGAGCACGAAAAAGAACTTGAAGAGGGTCGAGGCGCTGTGGAAGCATACGAGAAGACGGATGAAAAGGCAAGAGATTTGCTGAGAAGGTTAGCGAACAGCGAACCGTACTACAAGAAACAGCGACGTCTCGAAGCAGAGGCTTCGGATAAGCCTGCAGAGCAGAAACAGAGCGGATATGGACCCGGTCCTGTAAGAACGTCAGACACCCGAAAGTCACTGGCAGGTAATCAACAACGAGGCGCGCGAGCCGGACCTGGTGCTGCAAGAGCGGTCCCAAATGCAGCAAGACCCCCACAACCCGAAGACTACCTCCCGCCTGCCGACCCCAAGATCATGTCATTGTTTGTTACTGGTGTCGAGGACGATTTGCCCGAGCATGCCATTCGGACCTTTTTTTCCCCATTCGGCCAAATCCGTTCCATTGTCTGCTCGCATCGAGCTCATTGTGCCTTCATCAACTATGCTACCAGAGAGGGAGCCGAAGCGGCTGCTGCACACTGCCAAGGGAAAGCTATAATTCAAGGTTGTCCATTACGTGTGAGATGGGGTAAACCAAGGCCACTGGACAATACGGATCGTGAACAAAGATTGGAATGGGCGCGAGAAGGAAGACAAACTGCGACCACGGCCAAAGGGGCACAGCCTGGAAATCGAGCCATAACCGCTGGTGATGACCAAGCCCAACCTGAAGGGAATGACGGCGAAGAGACTGCGAATATAACCGTCGCACCTCCACCAGGTCAAGGCGAGGTAACTTATGCCAGTCTGGCTGGAGATTGAATGGGGGGTGGATTGAATCATTGAGAGTTCTGGTACATTCTGAGCATGGCGTTATGGAAGCACGCTGCTGGGTTAAGAAAGGCCTCGACTGGCACCACTGGGTATCATGTTATTTCAACGAAGAAAAGGAAACCATATGAGTACGCCGTTTTTGTGCTTGTTCATATTATAATCCTCCAACTTTGACCTTGCCTCCTGGAGCGAGCGGATTCTTTACCGTGTCGTTGTCGCCTCGCTCGATGTCCTTGTGAATGTTTAATCCTGGCGCCGAGTAAGCAAACTGTTCACTCGAGAGTCTTGACTTTTGACTCACGTATCACATCGGAACCGTCCTCGTGCTTTCCCTGCACGATATTGTGTCGTAATATTGATGCCACACCCTCAGCATGCTCGATGCCCTTCACAGCTTCTTCGGAAGACGGGTCTAAGGAGCTGGAGGCCTCGAAGCCGATTCGCGCTTGAGTTCTTGCAGCATGTAGTAGGTGGTCGTCGCCTTGGAAGGCAATGCGGATCGCTCGTAGGAGATGCCTGTATGCGGCCAACGCCATTTGTTTTGAAATATGCCGCCGAGCGTGCGGTTGAGTAGGGTGGGTGAAACCGCTGGGTAATCCGAACCAGTCCGAGGCGACTGATAACAAAAGTCTCCGGGGTTTCTGCTGACTTCTATCAAATATATCGAGAGATCGTGGGATGTACAAGAGAGTGGTCCGCAAGTCACAGCGACGACATCACATTGTCCACAGCCAAATCGACCTTGAGCTAGTTCGGGGAGGTGAAGCGAGTCAACGACAGCCACTAGAATTCGATTAAGCGCGCTCTACCTGGACAAGAATGGCAGTTTTTCCGGCATCGTTTCTAGAAATTATTTTTCTCTAAAGATTCCACTGATCACTTGAGCATATCGAAGCAGACTATTCGTTGTCACATCCTCGACCTACCGGCTCTCACTCACAACATGGCTGGAGTTGAAACTATTCCTCCTCCGTCCGCGGAGTGGAAGGGCGACAGTGATGCAACCCCCAACTTCCGAACCCTGGGAAAGTTGTCGCCTCCTGTGATGCGCAAAATCGAGCCATTTGGTGCCCAGTTCCTTGCTTATGCCCGCCGCAAGCGCCATGGCCGTACCTTCTCCGAGGACGACCGTATACAGGCTTTGTCCAAAGTCAAAAAGTCGGAAGACGAGGACGATGGCGAGATTAGTGAACCCGAGGACCCCTTGATGCTGACCCGTGACGCCAAAGACTGGAGGGTGAGTATTTCCACTATGTGGCCTACCCCATCGCCGTAAGTTGCTGGTGCTAAATGTTTTGTGTGTACAGGGGCAAGATCACTACGCCGTTCTCGGACTTTCCAAATACCGCTACAAAGCCACCGAAGAGCAAATCAAGAAGGCTCACCGAAAGAAGGTCCTCAGGCACCATCCTGACAAGAAGGCTGCAGCTGGCCAAGATGACGAGAACGATTCCTTCTTCAAGTGCATTCAGCGTGCCTACGAAATTCTGATGGACCCGGTCAAGCGACGACAATTCGATTCCGTCGATGAAGCCGCGGATGTGCCCCCTCCGAGCAAGAAAGAAATGCAGAAGCCTGGTGCCTTCTACAAGAAGTGGAACGCCGTCTTCGAGAGCGAAGCACGTTTCAGCAAAGTGCAGCCGGTGCCCAAGCTCGGCGACGAGAACAGCACCAAGGAAGAGGTTGAGCAGTTCTACGATTTCTGGTACAACTTCGACTCGTGGCGGACATTCGAGTACCTGGACGAAGATGTTCCCGACGACAATGAAGGACGTGACCACAAGCGTCACATTGAGAAGAAGAACGCCAATGCTCGTCGCAAGCGCAAGAATGAGGACATCGCGCGACTGCGCAAGCTGGTTGACGACTGCTTGAGCTACGATGAGCGGATCAAGAAGTTCCGCCAGCAGGCCAACGCCGATAAGAACAAACGCAGGCTCGAAAAAGAAGCTGCTGCCAAGCGCGAGGCTGAGGAAAAGGCCAAGGCCAAGGAGGAAGAGGAGCGCAAGAAGAAGGAAGAGGAGGAGAGGCTGAAGGCTGAGAAGGAGCAGAACAAGAAGGCTAAGGAGGCGGCAAAGAATGCCGTCAAGAAGAACAAGCGTGTCGTTAAGGGTAGCGTCAAGGATGTCAACTACTTCGCCGAAGGTGGTGACGCCAGCCCTCAACAGATTGATGATGTTCTCAACGATGTCGACAAGCTCCTCGGCAACGTCGACGCTGACGAGTTGGCCGATCTTGTCTCCAAACTCAATGTGGCTGGCAAGGACGCCGGAAAGGTGAAGGCGGCATTCAGTGCGGCCACTGGAGCCTTAGTCGGCGCCGGTAAACTGAAGGAGAGCGATTTGAAGGTGCTCAAATGAAGCAACGGTCTGACTCTCCGTATTCCATTATTCTTGGGTACGGTTCAGTATAGAAACGAAAACATTGGCTGCAGCGACAATAATGAGCTGAAAGAATCGATTTCCACTAGTCAGCATGGTTCTCATCCATGACAATTTACGCGTTTTAGTCCCTATGCCTATCCCAAAAACAAATGGAATAGACGTGTAGATAATACAACCTCGTAACCCATGGCCTTTGAGGAGTAAATCGTTCCCAGTACCCGTCGCAGCGGCTTGAGAGGTATAGGTAGACCAATTTGCCGTACCCTACAATCACTATAGGTAACTCACAGGTGGAGGGAAAAAGGGAGTCTTGTAATAACGTATGTTGGTCGCGATAGTATTTTCAGTTCAGTACTATTGTAAACTCCAGCTCTGTAACGGACAGAAGCCGAACAAATGGCATCCATAACTTGATACTGTCAAATATCATTGCCATCCCTTTACCTCTCACTCAAAAAAAACGCCGGACTCTCCAATTGAAACGCGTATCAGACCAGGAATTTCGAAAACGCTATTGAGTATGGTTCCGAGAAAATCAAGTGCGCAATGACTGTTACGTCGCTCCCCCAGACCCGATAATGGATAACGCCGCAACGAGCCCGATCCACCAAACGCCTTGCCTTGCCTTGCCACGCCACCAAGTGACTTTCAACCAGAAAACACAAAGGGCTGCTTGAAATTTGCCAGAAGCCCTTCTCAAACTGGGGTGGTCGATGCAACCATCCATGAGCCCGGTGGTTGGCTATCTCTTATGGCTGAAAAAGCTGCTCGCCATACCACTTAGACCATGGCCGCCCGCACCGGCGCCCGCGGTCGAAGCGCCGCCCCCATATCCGTAAGCGGCATTCTGATGCTGATTCTGGTGCTTGTTATGCGGTTTCGACGATTTCTTGCCGTGTTTCTTGGCGTAATCTTCCGTCAGGGAGCCCACGATCGCTCCGCCTAGCGCACCCAGCACGCCGTGGCCGGCTTTATGGCCACCCCAAGCTCCTGCGGCGCCACCGCCCAAGGCGCCCAGTAAGCCGCGGTCGGTTTCGGCTGCAGGTGCAGGTCCAGTTCCTTGGTAGTACTGAGGGTTGTCACCAGCTCCGGTTCCGTTGTAGTATGATGATGATGCAGAGTCAGCGTGTGGGTCAGAGTATGATGAGTAGGGAGGCTGCTGAGAGGCCGGTGTGTTGGCGTAGTATCGCTGCTGCTGCTGCTGCTGGTCGTACTGAGGCGGTTGATGGTGATACGGTTGAGCGAAGCCCTGGCTGGAATATTCGCTGGTAGTAGGTGGGGTGTAGTTTTGATATTGCTGGGAATAGGGATAGTAGTCGTATGCGGTGCCTGACATTTTGGGCTGGTGTGGCGGTAGTTTGTTGTGAGGCAAGAGAAGGTTGTTGTGATCTTAAGTTGGTCTTGTATATGCTGTAGTATATAACGCGGTGTGCGGTAGTGTGCAGGAAACAGATAGGAGTGAATCTGGAGGAGGAAGAGAAAGTAGGTATATATATACTACGCACTCACCGACCGATTGAGGCTGAGGGCACCTTGAGATACGTACCACTGCACGCCGCGTCGGCCTGACGAAGGCGTTGTGTGTTTCCGCCATTCATGATGCGTGGCCATACACTGGCACAATTGGGCAGGCAGAGATCCAGATACTGGAGCTTCGAGTGGACATTCTAGAATGTTTCCTGATGCCGTGTGCGTAAGCGAGCCAAAACGCTCGGGTTTAGTGTATAGAGAGGCGATCCGGGGCACGACAGAGGATGGTTTGGGACCAAAACCCGCGCACAACGTATGTACCGACCAGGGAGGCAGATGATTGTGTCCGTCTGGTAAGCGAGGCCGGAGGTGATGATGATCGTATGTGGCGCAGTGAGGCGCAGCACCGGTTTTCGCAAGGCTGGATGAGGCTGTGCATCCAGCAACACGCCGAACGGTATACGATGTAATACTACCATGTTGTACACTGCTCATGACTGTGTACAATGTATCTACCTGGTGGCTTGCACCTTAGCAGCGTTTGCATCTCTGTTAACCGAACTGCAGGTCTCTTCACATCGTATGTGCGATTGCAAGCTCGGATCTCCTACAATGCTCAGACCAAGTTTGTCTGTCCTCGGCCAACCGTCCGCCTAATACGGTTTACTGACTCGCGTTGGCAGCCCCTTCACGCCGAGAGTCGTCCATCTGTCATCAATATCCCACTGAACTATTTCCCCTTGGTCATGGGGGTATGTCATCGATCGGAACAACCATGCAGAGGTGTTGTACATTCAAGTTGCCTCTATGCTGCTGACGCCTTTTACTTCTAATTTACAGTCAAAGGTCGGCTTTCCAAACTCTTCTGTGCCTAGCCATGTGATCCATGATCAGCGGTTTGCGCGAAAAGCCGCCCTCCACCGATGAACAGAGCCCAAATCTGTGGGTCCAAGGTGTCTTCCATCGCCATATCTCACTCAGTATGACCTGGGCAACCCGAGGACTCTTTCCCCAATGTAATTTCGGATCATTTCGCGACTGACAGGAGCAATCCTGGGGATCATGATCTCGCGCAGATACCTCTCGACATGATATTCTTTAGCATACCCCATGCCGCCATGCGTCATAACAGCTCTCTCACAGGCCTGGAAGGCGGCCTCGGCAGCCAGATACTTGGCGGCATTGGCGTACTCGCCCGTTTCGTACCCTGCATCATATAGTCTGGCAGCTTGATAGATGACCAGGCGCGCTGCTTCCAGTTGCATCCAGCTATCGGCCAACGGATGTTGAATGGCCTGATTCTGGCCTATAGGTCGACCAAACACCTTGCGATCGTTGGCGTACAAAGCAGCCCGTCGCAAGGCTGCGAATCCAATCCCCAGCGCTTCGGCGGCGATCAAGATCCGCTCTGCATTCATGCCATGCATGATCATTTTGAACCCGTTGTTTTCCTCCCCGATCAGATCTTCTTTGGGAACCCGCCAACCGTCGAAGAACAGGGTGTTCGAGTCCACGGCTGCCCGACCCATTTTTGGAATCTCGGTGACCTCGACCTGTGTACGGTCGAGATCTGTATAGAACAAACTCAGCCCCTGGCTGGGTTTCTTAACTTGCTCCAGCGGTGTCGTCCGCACCAAAATCAAGATCTTCTCCGCCACCTGGGCCGTGGAGATCCAGATCTTTTGCCCGCTGAGCACATAGTGATCACCGTCCTTGACCGCTCGAGACTGCAGTCGGAGAGTGTCCAAGCCGGTGTTGGGCTCCGTAACGCCAAAGCATGCCCTCTCCTTGCCGGCAATCAGCGGCACGAGCATCCTCTGCTTCTGCTCCTCTGTCCCGAACTTGCGCACGGGCTCGAGTCCAAAGATGTTCATGTGAACGGCGCTCGCTCCCGCGTACGCCGCTCCGCTCTCCGCGATGGTCTGCACCATGACCGCCGCCTCGGCAATGCCTAGCTCGCTCCCGCCGTACGCGGCCGGCATACAGATTCCCAGCCAGCCATCTTTCGCAACTGCTTGATGGAACTCGACTGGAAACCGGTGCTCCTTGTCCGCATTGAGCCAGTAGGCGTCGTCGAACTTGGCACATACCTTGCTGATCGCTTCGCGCACGGTGCGTTGTGACTCGGTCAGATCAGGGTCGTGCAGTTGTAAGTACTCTGTCCCGCGTGCGGGAGTAGATTGAGACGTTGAGAATGATGATACAGTCGGCAGTAGAGCGCCCGGGTTGTCCGTCCTTCTAGGCTTGATCTTCACTGTTCTGGGTCGTGCAAGTCGGCAGAGGAGGAGCCCTGCCGTTCGGGCCGTTGACGCCATCATCCTCCGCCGGCGACCTGACTTCGAGACTGCTGCCCTCTCGGTAGGCTATAGCTGCTCACCTGTCCTGACTTTGTAGGTGATTGCCCTGTGATATTTCCAAAGGCTCTGTGCCGAGCGGACGGGTCGAGGAGATCCAGAGGCCAGGCTTGCAGAGAACCTAGATCGCCGCGAAAGTCGAATACTCAAGCACCTCACTGAAGCTGTGACACACTAACCTTGGGTATTTTACTTGTGTTTGGCCACGTCGTCTACAAGGCCCGTTTCAATATTATTTACTGTAAATAAGTTGTAAGTGGACTCTCCCTTCCCCGTGGCTCTGGTCCGAACTCTCTCCCCCGCACGCAGCCTCGTCGGCCGTCGGCCGTCGGCTTTAAACGGTTCCCACCGACTCCAAATATCAGAAACACGACATACTACCTAGGTAGTACCAGAGGATGATGTCGGTATAGAGCATGGTTTCTACTCCGACCGTCGGAGCAAGCGGATCACTAGACGGCGTTTTAGGGTGCGTAGTAGAGAAGAGATCCGCCCACTCCTTTGTACCTAGGTATATCACTGTCAAGACGACAGGCGGACGAAACTAAGACCCTAAAAAGGCTCCACCAGTCGCAACAGACGCAACGGCTTCTCGAAACCGAAAGGGGCGTGCGTGCGTGGAACGGCTATAAGCGCGGTACATAGCAGGGAATCCTGTTGCTAGAAGAAAACAAAGCCTTTGCATTGATTTGTCCAAGGACGTGCTCGATGTCCATACCACCACATAGCCAGAATGCCCCGTCCAATCGAGCTGTCACTCTTTACGCGGCTTGCCCGGCGTGACCTGGGACATGGAACAGTATATCCGGGCGTCAAGTTGTCAGCACGATATAAGTCGCTTACGGGACGACAACAACGACTACACTCATCCACAACCACCACGGATGACCCAAAATCAACAGCAAATGCCACTGCTACCAACGTCGATGGCGCCGCCACCACAGCAACTGGAAGTCAAGACCTTCCACTCAGTGGGTTGAAAGTACTAGACCTGTCACGAGTGCTCGCGGGCCCATTCTGCACGCAGATTCTGGCCGACTACGGCGCAGACGTGATCAAAGTCGAGCAGCCCGGCCAGGGCGACGAGACGCGCCAATGGCGCACGCACGGCGAGACACAACAGAAGTGGCGAGCCAGCACTACGGGCAACCAGGGGCAGCCCACCATGTCGCTGTACTTTGCGGCCGTGAACCGAAACAAACGGTCCATGACGGTGGATTTGAAATCCCCGGGTGGGAAAGAGGTCGTCAAGGCACTGGCGCGACGGAGCGATGTGCTGGTCAACAATTTCCTGCCCGGCAAAATGGAGCAGTTGGGCCTAGGCTACGACGAGTTACGAAGAGACAACAAGGGTCTCATCTACGCCAGTGTATCTGGGTACGGCGCCAGCGGACCGAGTCGTGATCGCGCGGGTTACGACGCCATTGCCCTGGCGGAGGCGGGCTTGTTGCACATCACGGGAGACGAGGAGGGAGGCCCGACCAAGCCGGGCGTCGCTATCGCGGATCTCTGCACCGGTCTCTATACCCATGGAGCCATCTTGGCCGCGCTGAACCAGAGACACAGGACAGGCGTGGGTTGCAAGATCGAGGCCAGTCTCTTCGAGAGTGCGCTGAGCCTGTTGATCAATGTCGGCTTGGCGGCTTTGAATCTCGATCTGGATAAAGGGCCTAGTAAAAGAAGGAGGGGCAAGAGACTCGGGTTGGGACACCCGAATCTCGTGCCCTATGGTGGATTTGAGACCAAAGATAATAAAATGTTCTTTGTCGCCGCCAACAATAATCGGCAGTGGAAGGGGTTTTGTGCACGCTTGGGCATTGATGGATTGGGAGATGATGTGCGGTTCAGCACCAATGATGGACGGGTCGAGAATAGAGACGAGATCAATGCCATTTTGCAGAAAAGGTTCAAGGAAAAGACAAAGGACGAGTGGCTGGCCATTTTGGAGGGGAGTGGCCTGCCCTACGGCGCCATCAATGATGTGGTAGACGCCCTGGAGCATCCGCAAGCAAAAGCACGGGATATGGTCATTGACATCGATGATTTTGAAGCAGCAAGGGACGGGGTGTTGAAGCTCATCGCTCCAGCTGTCAAATTTGAAGGCGCGGATATGAGTGTGCGCATCAAGCCGCCGCTGCTGGGCCAACATACTGATGAGATTCTGGCGGGTCTCGGCTATGGCCCTGCGGAAGTGGCGGAGTTGAGAACATCTGGCGCCGTATGATACTTCTGCAGCCTTGCAGGCACATAGACGAAAAACATGGATAGTGAATAGCTTTTCAACATGTGCGCGAGAAGGGGGAAAAAAGAACAGGGCAGGGCAACCCGGAGACTCAATTTACCAATGACCATCGTGGAGATCCTGCAGCCAATCTAATGTCTGGGTTTTGATAGTACAGTGGTGGTGCATTTCCGCAGGCGAGGAAAATGTACAATGTCTGATTCTGTCCTAACCCACATCCAACCCACACCATTCGCCATTTGTATTGCCATCAGTGGGCATCCGGCTGCGAGCAGATGTATGCGACAGCTTGGTCAACTGTAAGGTGTCAGATTCATGCCGTTGATAGTCTTAATAAAGAGTATTCTTACCGCTGTGGATGGCATCCGCCTCCTTGTCAGGAATCTCGATGCTGAACTCTTCCTCGATCGCCATCACGACCTCGACGGTATCCAAGCTATCCAAGCCCAGGTCATTCTGGAAGTGCGATGTGCCTGTGATCTATACCTTTTTGTCAATAAAGAGATGGGATTAGACGACTCGTTGAATGGTGTTGTACCTTTGATGGGTCGGACACCTGTGCAATCGTTAGTAACAGCCGGAACACAACATGTCATCATGCGCACCTTGTCAAAGTTCTTCAACAGGTCCATTATCCGCCCTTGCACCTCTTCTTTCGACAGACCAGATGGAGCGGAATAGCATCTTTTGCTGGGAGCGACCACCAAGGGCGCGAATCGGGATGGTCGTAGAGAGGAAGAGATTTGAGTTCGGAAGGCAGGTAATTGCCGGGGGACCTGGGTCCTTGTGGCGGCATAGAGCGCTCGAAGGGCACCCGCACGAATCATTTTGACGCGCAGAGAAGAAGATTGAGGGCTCGGTGAGGCGCGAAGAGCTGGCGTGGTGTTGGGGAGTCAACTGGTGGTTGAAATATTCTGATGTCAAGCCGGGAACGGACTCTTTTGCTCACTACGAAATTGAAGTGCAACAAGCAAAGCAGCAGATGCAAGTCGAGCGAAAGATGGAGATTGAAAGGCCGCAAGCTGTTGGCTGTTCGGAGCTTGTGCGTGCACGTGACTTGTCCGACCAATCACACCGGCATTAATTGCACTGACGACTTCGATTCTCTCGGACAGAGCAATTAATGCACTGGCACTGGCACAAGTAGAACATCTCCAAACCAACACCCTCGCTGCCTCGAAACCTGCCTGCGCTCGCCACGTCCGTCGAACAACTCCTGTCCTAGACGCACCGGCGATGGCGTCGTCTCTTCGTCCAGCATCGCGGCTGGTGGCGAAGCCGCTAACAGCCTCGACAACATTGCGACAACTGGAACGATCGCCTTTTCTTCGCTCCACAGCTCCGTTTCATACCTCAAGCCCGCGGAATGCCCTGCCATCGGGCCCTCCTCCGCAAGGCTTCAGATTACCGCGACCAAAGAGATTCGATGAAACCGAAAATGTGATGGACAAAGCAAGCAACTATTTTCTTCTCACTGAGATGTTCCGCGGCATGTATGTCGTGCTGGAACAGTTCTTCAGAGCACCGTATGTCTGCCAGAATCCGACGGAGAATCTCATGTCTGGTGTAGCGAGTTGCTAATGCAGAACGCACAGTTATACTATCTACTATCCTTTCGAGAAGGGACCCATTTCTCCCCGATTTCGAGGCGAGCACGCTCTGAGAAGATATCCCACTGGCGAAGAGAGATGTATCGCCTGCAAGCTGTGTGAAGCTGTTTGTCCAGCTCTCGCCATCACCATCGAGGCTGAAGAACGAGAAGATGGCTCCAGAAGAACCACTCGTTATGACATTGATATGACGAAATGCATCTACTGCGGGCTTTGCCAGGAGAGCTGCCCGGTCGATGCTATTGTCGAGACCCCGAATGCAGAATATGCGACGGAATACCGAGAAGAGCTCCTGTACAACAAGGAAAAGCTACTCGCCAATGGCGACAAATGGGAGCCTGAGCTGGCCGCCATTGCAAGGGCAGATGCTCCCTACAGATAAGACTGTCTTGCAAGGGGAATGTACTATTTTTGTCCCGGTTCAAGTTTATCCCACGACACAGCATGAAAGAAGCGAACATAGCGGGAGATAATCAATGGATCAGCGAATTGCTCAAGCATACATTGTGTCGACGTGGCTGAATGCTGCATTGATTGATACAGGTTACACTCCTGGTATTTTAGGACCAGGCCAAATATAACAAGCCGATACTCGCTCCGTTTTTTGACCTAACTTGTCTATCCCAATGCGCGCATTGTGAACTCAACACTGTCGAACCACGTTAGCCGTCATTCTTCTATACCGCGTCCAGAGGTTGTCAACTTACACAGCGAATGTCCCTGCGCTGACAGGCATAGCCCTGAACATGGTGGGGAAGATGCCTTTCCAGAACCCTCTCATGCCTTCAGCCTTCCACGTCTGTGAGAAACAATCTCGCATGGTCTTGAACTGCTGGTCTTTGCCAAACCCATCGCTCTGCATCTTACTCTTGACCACATCGAAAGGATAACTGGCGATCCATAGTGCTTCTCCGGCCAATCCTCCATAGAAGGCGACCTTGGCAGATGAAATATCGGATCTTTTGACGTTGTTTCGTTTCATGTCTTGTGCCATGAGGTATTCAAACGTCAGGAACCAGACACCGTAGGCTTGCGCCTCACGGTACAGCGTGACGACCTGGCCTCGGTAGAGACCCCGGAGAACACCTTCATGCGCGGAAAGCTTTTTGATGCAGTCAAGAGGTCCACTGTATAGGCGGTTCGCCCCATGAGGTTGTGTTTGCAGACGAATCCTGACGTGCTCGATAGGCCCTGACAGCACAGAGTTCGTAAGACCGGCAAAGGCACCAGAAAGATAATATTGGCCCAACGATAACTCGGCAGGACGGTTGGCCTTGAGGTTGCGTTCCTCAAAGGCACGGCGCGCGTAGTGAAAGGCTCCAAACTGGACAGATACACAGGCGCCAATACCGATCAGAGGAGTAAGCGTCCCCTTGTAGAACGCTAATGGGCCTTCGTTCTTGAGGATAGAACTTGCGCATGACAATGCCGAAGGATGTTTTGTGGATGTTTGTAGTCTTACTTTGACAATGTCTGGTCCCTCATTGAGCATCAGAGTAAATTGCAGGGCATATCACTGCTTACCAAATGGCTGGCCTGCACGTTAAAGTCAGTTTATGCACACTTTAACAAGAACAAATATTCATGCATATCAACCCCGTGGGGCGCATTCATATATGGGGTATTTCTTGTTCGAATAACAAGGTGTGTCTTCAATTTCTAGTGCCTGCTGCCATAACAGCGATGTACTCACCTAACAACACTTGCGCTACACCACCAGCAGCGCCCGCAAATAAATCTTTTGCGGTGCGAGCCCAGCTGCCTTGTGCAGCCAGGTCGGCCTCGATCGCCTCGATACTGTCGGCCATTTTCGATCAAGGAGTCCACGTCTGGTCGCGACGAGTATCAACGGACGGCGTCACGGGCTTTGTTTCATATCCGACCCGTCAAAGGGAACAGAGAATAATAAGTCCAATGTAATATTTGCTGGCACGCAATTTGTTGACTTCAAGTATAGCGGGCAAGCCCGCTCGGCAGTAATTGGCTGACTGTTTAGGAAGGATATTCCCATGCTTGTTTGCGTCCCCGTAGAAGCACATGAGGCTGCACTGCTTGGCAAGACACGTCACCGTAGTCTCCGCCCGGCAGAAAAAAAGTAGGAGGTCCGGAACATGGCCAGGATGAACACCCTGCGCTCCGCCCAATTCTACCCGATGTTCTGAGAATATAGAATTGAGCCGCCATCAGCACCACAGATGTGGTGAAGTGACAGTATGCGGAGGGCTGTAACTAGAAGAGTATGTCTCTGGCTTTGGACTTTGATACATTCAGACTGACAATTTCAGCTGTTGCAGGGGCAAGACGTCTGCCTCTTTTGCGCCTTAAGACATGGATTCGAGTATCGGGCAACTGGCGCTCTCCAGCCTCAGCGCCGGCTTTACAAATCGACAACGCCTTCGCGGCGGCCTGCTGGAGCGGCTGCTGCACGTGCAGAAGAGGAGGAGGACGGCTTTCATGCACACACTCCTGCACCTGTGCCAAAGAGAGAGCTGCTTGGGTGGAAATGTCGTTGCAATCATGTGAACGCATCTCACAGAGCAGAATGCACAATCTGCACGAGCCCACGCCCACAAAATGCCGAGCTTGTACACAAAGAGAACAACTCACATCGTCAACCAACTTCCCACAGATCACTGTCGTCTAGTTCAGCATCCCCCGCCGCCTCTCGTGAACCGGCAAGACAGGATCCGCCACTTTCCTCCGGCTCAAGCGATCAGTCTACAAGCGGGCCCAGTCGCCCTAGATTTGATTCTAGGACAATCCTTGACCAAGCAAATGTTCCATTCACGCCCTACCAGCCCGCGGTTCCCGGCCAACAAAGGCCTCCTCGAAGTGGTCGGACACGGCACGGTGCTGATGAATCATTGGGAGAAAGCGCGCAAAATCAGAGTTTCAGACATCGAAATCGACTCCCCACTTCCGAAGGACCGATCATCAAGTACAGCAGCCCCCGGGCTCCTCGAACGCAGCAAGACTCCGGCGCAAGAGAGGGTGGTTTTACGGATACGTCTGGGTTTGGCGACCAGCGGAGGCCACAGTTTGAGTATGGACGGAGAGATGGGTGGCACACCAATGGAAAAGCTTCTGGAACTGGCTCGCCGTCATGGAGACAACCGGGAAGTTATCAAAATACACATAATACTCGGCCCGCGAATCGACCGATGAACGATACTGTCCCCACCGATACTCGAATTGGCCGTACCGTCGGCACAACACGCCGCGAAGGGTCCGTCCCACGAGATTCGAATATTCCGCGGTCTAGTTTTCGGGAGCCTCGTCAATACCGAGAACCTCGTCCCGACTCACAGCAGCGCAACGGCTTCGACCGTGGGGGTAGGAAAGGGGCACCTCAAATGACTCCACTGGATGCTCGCAGGCCCGATTCAGATCGGACCGGTCGCGTCTCAGAATTTCCGGCCATTCCCGACGATGGAGCTGTCGAGACTGTTGATGCTGCAGTTCTTGACGGGTCTGAGGAAGACTGGTACAGGCGCAGGACCGCGGCGCAGAAAGAACGTAACAGAAGAGGCAGGGTCTACGATGTCGAGACTGAGGAGCCCTTCCATACTTCGCAGATGGCTAGTTCCCCGGTTCGAACGAAGAGGGTACCAAGGCAAAGCACGCTTGATTTTGACCCAGATATGGTGGAAGAATTGCTTGACGAAACAAGTTCGAGACGCAAAAAGAAGAAGGGAGGGCAAGCTAAGGCGGTGCCGAAACAGCCAGCAAGACCTGAGATTCGGCTGCCTGAATTCATCACTGTTGAAAAACTAGCCCAATGTTTGAAGGTTAAGCTGCAGGACTTCATCGACAAGTTGGAGGAAGAGGGTTTCGAGGGTGCTCGCTACGATCATATCCTGGACTCTGGAACATCAGCCATGTTCGCCGAGATCTACGGCTTCGAACCCATCATCAGTAGCGTGGATGAGTCGCGGGACATAGTCGCGCGTCCTCCGCCTGAGGACCCGTCTTTGCTGCCACCACGGCCACCTATCGTTACCATCATGGGCCATGTTGATCACGGCAAGACCACGATTTTAGATTACTTCCGAAGATCAAGCATCGTCGCCTCGGAACACGGAGGGATTACGCAGCACATTGGAGCATTTTCTGTTACGATGCCCGGATCCGAGCGAGACATCACCTTCCTTGATACACCTGGTCACGCCGCGTTCCTAGAGATGCGGCGACGAGGTGCCAACGTTACAGATATCGTCGTGTTGGTAGTGGCGGCAGACGATAGTGTCAAAGCGCAGACCGTTGAAGCCATCAAGCACGCGCTCGAGTCCAAGGTGCAAATCATTGTTGCCATCAACAAAGTCGACAAGGAGGACGCCAACATTGAGCGTGTGAAGCAGGATCTCGCCCGCCACGATATTGTTGTCGAGGACTACGGCGGCGAATACCAGGCCATTCCCGTGAGTGGGAAAACCGGTCAAGGAATGGGTGATTTGGAGGAAGCCATCTTGACCTTGGCCGATGTGGCCGACTTCCGAGCCGAGACCGATGGTCAAGCAGAAGGCTGGATTATTGAAAGCAAAGTTGGCCCGTCTGGTCGGGTTGCCACCGTACTGGTACGCCGAGGAACCCTGAGACCCGGTGATTTCATTGTCGCCGGCACTACTTGGGCGCGCGTACGTACCCTACGGAATGATTCGGGCCAGTTGATAGACGAGGCACCGCCTGGCACCCCTGTCCAGATTGATGGTTGGCGAGCGGGAGACCCGATGGCTGGTGACGAGGTTCTCCAGGCCGAGAACGAAGCGCGAGCCAAGGAAGCAGTAGAAGTTCGACAAGAAAGAGAAGAAGCAGCCCGGGCCGTGGACGACATGACTGCCATCAACACCGTCCGCTCTGAAGATGCAGAAGCCCGGGCAAAGGTGTTGGAATGGGAAAAGGAACAAGGATATCTTTCCATGAGAGCCAACAGACGACCTAAGGACAACGAGGGCTGGGTGGAGAAAGAACAGTCGGGGCCTAAACAGGTTCATTTTGTCATCAAAGCTGATGTTGCTGGCAGTACTGAGGCTCTTGTCGCTGCAGTGAGCGCGATTGGCAACAATGAAGTGGTGGCGAACATCATTCATAGCGGCACGGGATCGCTGACGGAGTCCGATATCAAGCTTCTCGCCGCCACTGGTGAGGTCGGGTATGCAATCTCTTTCAACCAGCCGGTGGATGCTTCGATACGGCGTCTCGCAGAGGCGGCGCGCCTGCAAATTCTTGACCACAACATTATATACAAGGTCACGGATGATGTCAAGGATAAAATGAGCGATGCACTGCCTCCAATCGTCACCCAACGAGTGTTGGGCGAGGCTGAGGTGGGTGAGATATTTGATATCCACGTCAAGAAAGCGACGGTCAAGATAGCGGGATGTCGAGTGACTAATGGAACCATACGCCGATCGGAGAAAATCCGAGTCCTGCGAAACGGCGAAGTGGTGTACACCGGTAAGAAAATGCTCTGGCATGTTCAGATGAAGACGGGGCTGACTTTAAACTACAGGCATGCTTAGCTCTTTCAAGAACATCAAAAAAGATGTCACCGAGATGCGCAAGGGCTCGGAGTGCGGAATGGGCTTTGAAAACTGGGAAGACTTCCAAGTCGGTGACCAGATTCAGTCCTTTGAAGAGATCAAGGAGAAGAGGACCTTGTATTAGTGGCCGGCTGGTATTCTGGACTGTAACTCAGCAAAAGAACGCCAGCCTGATCTGATGCGGAATGAGACTGACAGAGATCTGGCCAGCTGAGACGAGCAGGGAGGGCGGCGGCTACACAACAAGGCTGTAGCACGAGGCTGGCGGGTTTCGCCTGTGTCGACGTGGCTCAACCAATCAATGTCCGAGAATCACCCTGTCTTGGCACGAAACTCCAGCGCGGCCAGGCGCCAACATCGCGTCTCTATTCAGTTTCTCCTCGCCAACCATGTGCGTCTCTTCTTTGTGTCTCTGACGAGGCAGTCCAAACCCAAAAGCAGTGCAGGTCGCTGTATATGTTTCAGTGGCCGGAAATTAACATGTCTCAGGCGCTTTAGAATTGTGTGGCGGTAGACAACTGCCTAACGGAGGCCATGCATTTCATACATACTATATGATCAAGAGCTGTGTCCTGTAAGTTGTCAGGTCTGGCTTGTCGACTCTCTCCTCAAGAAAATTCCTTTATCATCTGCTTGTTTTTGTGTATCAAAAGTGTCGTCCTTGCGCCGGCGTGAACCCCCCTCACTCAACTTCCAACTATTGCATGACTTGGAGCACATTCGGAGCAGAGTCGTTTCAAGATACAGCGCTGTAAATATGCAACTCACTCTCGGTTCATTGTGCTTGCTCATTTTTTCAAGCGTGGCATCGGCTGGACCGATTCATATGTGCGTGCTGCCCAATATGCCTCTTTCTAGAACATGAACTGACTGGCCGGCAGGCGGGATAATGTAATACGACATGCGAACGACCCGGCAAAGCGTTATGTGGTCAATGAACATCTCACTAGAGCGCACAGTCCTCTGAGAAGAAGACAGGCATCTCCACTGCTGGTTACGGGTGTGGAAGCCTCCAGCACGACTATACGAAAAGGGACGGAGGACGGATCGGTCCCTGCAGTCGGCGTTGGAGGAGACAATACCAGCCTGCTGAGCTTCTTGACATTTCCAAGTTCCCCGTCCACGACAACAGTCACTACAATAGTGGCAGCCCCAACCACAGACACGGATGGAAGCGCAGAGTCCGTGACTTCGAGGGCGGGAGAAAACACCGGCTCCGATTCTACGCAAGCACCGGACTCGGGGACAGCAGTCCTCTCGGGTGCCGCTCAAACAGAAACCGAGCTCCAGTCACCGGCAGCCTCGACAACCACAATACAAATCCAGACCACAATACTCAAGACTGTTCAGGTCACCGCTGAAGTGACTGCTGAAGCTACAACTACAGATAGCGCGACGAGAGAGGTCGAGCCATCAACCACGCCTGTGAATGGTCAGCAAGGTCAGCAGCAGCAGGGACAGCAACCAAGTGCTACAGTTACTGTTGTGTTTGTCACTGCCGCGCCGACCTTTACTGGCCCAACTGCCGGGTTTATAACACTGACCCCTTCCGAGCCGGCTTCAGTTAAGTGGTGGCAACCACAACGGTTCAAGCTGTATCGTTATCTTCGGACTCTAGCAGCGAGACAACTGGCATTTCATTGTCTGGAACGGCACCTCTGTCAAACCAGAGTAGTGCAACGGGTTTGTCAGTTCTAAGTCCCGACTCTGCGTCCACATCGTCGCTCTCGGCCATAACTGCAACCACGGCCCCTGCTTCGACCACTGCGGGTGGTGTAGCCGTGATCCCTGTGACGCCGGGGTTAGTACAGGATCGAATCACTGTCACAGAGACGGTTACGACGACGGTGACTGCTAGATAGGAGATGCGGGAATGCTGGTGGAACAGAGTTGACTTTGGATGTTTCCTGCAAATAATATTGTGCTGCTTGCATGGATGCTGAGATAGATTGGACAACGCAAGTAATGGTAGAATACCAGTAGCGCAATGTTTAAAGGTGATATATTAGAACGTCTATACACCATTGCAGATTGCTGGCGCCATATGGTCTGAGGGGTGTTTGTACCATAGTTTAATGTTCAGAACAGATTCAAGTGTTGATAAATAATCCTGTAACGTGGCAACCCACATGACGTCGATCCGTTCCGCCTCGTTCGCTTTCATTTCCAGCAACTTTTTGACCACACGGCAGGTTCCAGCATTAAATGGTCAACACCTGGCTTCTACTTGCTTTGCTCCCTGCACACCTCTCTTTTACCTGATAGACGTAGACCTGCGCCATCCGTTCCCTCAGCTCCAGCGCTGTATCAAAATACACGAGCCCTCTATACACACCCCCGACTCGCCGCCGCAGCCTGCGAACATTCGAGAATACCTATTCGAGCATACTACAAGAGACCGAATAAACACGTCCGCAACTCCTTACACCGATTGTTGCCGTTGAACAAAGCTCTTTCACCATGTCCAGTGCTACAATTGACGCCGATGACGTCCTTGAACCGTCCCTGCAAAACCTCCTCGACCAGAAGTCACTGCGATGGATATTCGTGGGAGGCAAAGGTGGTGTCGGCAAGACGACGACCTCGTGTTCTCTAGCCATCCAAATGGCCAAAGTACGCAAATCAGTCTTACTCATTTCGACGGACCCGGCGCACAACCTGAGCGACGCATTCAGCCAAAAGTTCGGCAAGGACGCACGATTAGTCGAAGGCTTTACAAATCTCAGCGCCATGGAAATCGACCCCAATGGCAGCATCAACGACCTGATCAGCGGGGCGGGAGACGAGGCACAGGATGCCATGGCAGGGCTCGGCGGGATGGGAAACATGATGCAAGATCTTGCCTTTAGCGTAAGCAGGCATATTATATCCGGACCTTATGGTTGATGGAAGGCCGTGGTTTCGCTAATACACTTATGTTGTACAGATTCCCGGTGTCGACGAAGCAATGTCTTTTGCAGAAGTCCTCAAACAAGTCAAGTCGCTTTCGTACGAGGTGATTATCTTCGACACCGCTCCCACGGGCCATACTCTACGCTTCCTTCAATTCCCGACCGTCCTTGAAAAGGCTTTGGCCAAGATCTCTCAGCTGTCTAATCAGTTCGGTCCCATGCTACAGTCGGTGATTGGGGCCAGAGGCGGGCTTCCCGGCGGTGGGAGTCTCGAGGAGTTGACGCAGAAACTGGAGACGTTGCGGGAAACTATCGCCGAAGTCAATGGCCAGTTCAAGAATCCTGACATGACCACCTTTGTCTGTGTCTGCATAGCTGAGTTTTTGTCGTTGTACGAGACCGAACGGATGATTCAGGAGTTGGCCAGCTACCACATCGACACCCATTGTATTGTCGTCAACCAGCTTTTGTTCCCGGAAAAGGACAACAACTGCAAACAATGCAATGCCAGGAGAAAAATGCAGAAGAAGTATCTGGATCAGATCGAGGAGCTGTACGATGACTTCAACATTGTCAAGATGCCTCTCCTGACTGATGAAGTCAGAGGGGTGGAAAGCTTGAAGAGGTAAGTGCTTGTTATGTTTGTCGCTATGTTCCTGCAGCAAGGCTAACTTGTGGTCTGGTAGTTTCTCGGAAATGCTGGTCCATCCCTATCAACCACCCGCAGGCTCGTGAGACATGCAGTTGAGACGGAGGTAGTTTATTGCCTTGAAGTTTGGTCCATCACATCATCTTCAACGTGTGGCATCGTGTTGCGTTGCATTGCATGTGACTGTTTCTCATGATTAGCGAATTAGTGTTGTTGGTGGTTTAGCGGTGTGAAGCGAAGCGGAGCAGAGCAGAGCGATGGCGGTGCGAGAGAGCGGTTGCGGTTGCGGAGACAATACAAAAGCAGTGAAAGCAGGAGATTACCCTAACCATGACAATCATGACCATGAAGCCGAGTACAATCACTTTACTTTTTGTTCCTGTCTGAATAACTAGATTCGATGACCGTGGGCTACTATGGGCCTTTTCATTCCGCCGGCACACGCATGGGTTGTGAAGCAAAGCATTGCCAGTTCGACCTTCAGAGAGTCCTATCCATCTACCAGACCCGGCCATATGTATCTGTGGTGGTGGTATGTCATGTGGCCATCATGGGATGGGACTTTTGTCGTTTCTGCTCGTTCAGCAGAGTCCAATTCATACTGCCCGGGCAATGCAGTGGCTTCAGCCCCAAACCAAGACGGCTGATTGCAGTGGGCTGTGTCGAGTCAATCACATCTGTCACGCTGTCATATGACATGCAAGATGATAAATACTGTGATAAGGTACAGGGAGAATGGAGGCAGGGAGGGAGAATAAAGTATTAAGTTCAGCCTCAGCCTCAGCCTCAGCCTCACGACTTCCTACGGTATCAACACCAGTACAGTACCCTCCCTGTACGGGCCACCCATCAACCAGCTAGGCGTCAGAGTTATTCTTTCTAGCCCGCAGTGTCCGACACATTCTGAACCGCTGCATCTCACCTCGATTCGATTCTCACAGTCATAATTACCTGATCATCAGCAAACAGAAGTCAAGTCTAATATCAATGTCACCATCTCACAGAGTTGTGGTATCAATCTCCACATTCCGTACCACTGCCCGTGTACCTACCTACCTATGCACACAAGCACAGACTCACCTCCTCAGTATATCCCCGCCCGGGGTGGTGTACCTTAGGCAGTGCATTGGTTTATTCCTCTAGTGTACTACCAGTACTAGTACCCGGCCCGAATGGAACGGCCGCGCGGTCCAAAGATACAACTATCTACCATCCGAGTCTGGTAGAAATTGTTGGTCACTGTGTAGTACAATCTTAAGGTACTTCGTTCGTTGTAGGTAGAGTGTACGATGCAATGTACTACTAAGTACTACTACTACTGTACAACTACCTACAGTCGCGGCGGATGCGGTGTACCAGCGCTGGACGCAGCTGAGTGGTGTACTGGAGCACGCGCGCGCGGGTGGATCGGTGGGGAACACCACAACGTCTTTTGCTTTTGCTTTTTGCTTTGTTCGCTTCGAACATTCGGGCGCCCCGAAACCTACACTAACTACTGTGCTGTGTACACTGCAGGTATCGAACTATACTACTCTCGAAAAGAGAAGGGGAAAGAAGGGACGGGAGTTCGTAGAAATTTTCATATTACATGTTCGATTTCATCGTGCCGGTGTTCAAGTTTTCTGGTAATCCAACTTGCACGTGGCTCAGCAACCTACCGGTAAGGTGATAAGTACATACGCCGCAACATGACGAGGCTCACATAATCGAGAAACTCGAATCCGAAGTCTCGGACAACAAACAAAGAAAAAGAAGCGTCACAAGATATCTGACCAAGAGTGTCAGTTTCAAGCTTCAAGCTGTCGTTCAAGTTCGTGTCACTGTCAACTTGACCTCTTGACCCTGTTTTGGCATGTAGTCCCGAACACTAATCAAACTACGATGTAGACTAATCCTTTTTCCCACTGCACTGCAGTCAGTTTCTGACTTCTGTAGCGTGTCCATGGGGTAAGGTAGTCATCGTGCACACGGCAGAAAATTACCATATACTGTAAGTAGTTATTACATGAATGAGTAGGTAAGCGTGATGTTCGGCCGCACCGAAGTACTAGGCCAGAACCAAACCAAACCGCGAGTAGTTGAGCCGCCAAAAAGTACCCAAAAGTCCCTACCCAATAGCCCGGTGACTCTTCACGTCAAACCCCGGCTCATCGAATTCAAACTGCCGTTTCTCCCGTCTTGCTGCCCCGCCTGCGGGTTTCGCTGAAAAAGGGAAGAAAATAAAAAAAAGTTGTGCAAGGACCCCGTCGCCGATGACGCAAGACAAAGTACCAACTAATTTCCATCAAGCTTGCCGCTGACCCGTGCGACTGCCAGCAGTGCATGCGGGTTGGATGCCAACGATCAACATTGGCAAGATGTAGATGGAGAGCTAGAAATTGAAGGATAACGAGAGATGCTTTCTTGATTATCGGACGGCCATCATCGCTGCATACGAATCCATGCCAGCATTCGGTCCAGAGTAGGATCTTCGTCGAGCCAGTATCCTTTGCGACGGTCGGCGTTGCGCAAGTCGTTAACCACGTATTGGTCGGTGATCTGATTGAGTTCCTATGTAGAAGAGGTCGTCATGTCAGCATCAAGACTTGTAGTCTTTGTAGCCTCAGCCTTGTGGGGAATGAAATGTCATTCGGCCTAAGGTGCCAGTGCAGTGCTGATCATTTCCATCTTGGGCATATATGAGAATCCAACACCACATGGCGACCAAGGATGTTTGCTGCAAGCGTGGGGGAAGCGAGATGCAGTGAATCCGAGTTTGTGATAAACATTATACTCCACGGAGACGTACCTCGTGGAGCCTTTGGTCAATTGTACGCAGTGAACTCATGTGCCTTGCACCAGGTTTCTCTCCTCGTAGCAATTGAGATCGCATCCGCACCCATCGCATGGCAGCGGCCGCCCGAAGGTATATCTTATGTGCTTGGAATCTTCTCGTAGAGGCGTCCAGGATGATTCTGTTTCAGCGTCAGTCACTATAAACTGGGCACAACCGCTACAGGACTTGCTGCATGATATCTGTCGTACCTTTGTAATGTCGCCTTCTGAACCTCTGTTTCGGCGACATGCCCGGATTGAAGGCCGATATTGCCCGGATTGTAATGCGTTGCCAGAATGGCTTGACACTCGGCCGCGCACTGCCTCAGCACCATGTAGCCGTCCAGATAGTACGATAGATCATCTGGCGGGTTCGCCTCGTTCCTTGTGATCAAGGAATTGATATGGATTTGTAGGGTGCGAAAGTCATTCATGATCTCCAGAATGCGTAACGCGCGCGCTTCGTTTCCTGTACATAGGATTGTTAGCGGACTTCATCTCGGTCTGATTACCAAGCTGAGATGTCATGACAAGACGTACGTCCATCGGCCATTGGGCCCCAAAGAGTGGTTCTGCCGACTTGGAGGTTCTTGAACAAACGCAAGCGGCGGTTCGATGGATGGACTTTGGTCTGGCTGGCAACTTTCAGCCTCTTACCGTTGGCTCGAAGTCCAGGTCAACTTGCTTGCTGCCGTGAGGTTGGAAGAGAGGAAAGGGAATCTGAAGGCGGTGATTCAGGCATTCTTAAAGACCGTCAGTGCTCAGATTGATAAATTGTAAAGAAACTGTTTTCGGCTGATAAATGTATAGAGTTGAGAAAAGTTCACAACAACTGAGCCCAGCGGAGCGCTCTCTCTATCGTAGCTTTAATGGCATCTGACCAGTCAAAGTCGTGAACGAGGCGTTGAAGAGATGGGCTCGGGCCGTAGCGTGAGGGCGAAAGAACAATAGCTTCCAGCTGCAAGACGACTTGTCATGGCAGAGGTAAATGACGGTAGAAGCTGGGGCATGTTTTGTAGATTCAAACCCCAGGAGGCTCGTGAGTGAAAAAGGTCCATGTTAGCATGACAAGAGCACACGCGGCTGCAAAGGGGCACCAGCAGTCTTGGTCCAATGGAGCAGGATCATTGGGCATTGCAGGACGGCATCATCAGACCCGTCGGAGCGCTGCAGCCACGACAATGGATCTGTCGAGGCTCTGCTGCGACCGATCAGCAGTCGACTGGCAAGCCACCGAGAACTCGGGTCAATATTACCACTGGCCCGCCGTCTCTGACTGTTGGAACGGGGAAACATGCAGAAGACGCTTGTGAGATGGCATTCAGACACGAGACCCCAGGCACCATTGCCATGTGCATGATACGTGGGTCGGGTGGATGCCTTTTCGTGCCGGTCTCCTGTCCCTACACGTGTGCTTTGTGGAGACCGCATGGTCGATGATTTTGCAGTGGACAAGAGGTGGTCCAAAACAGCTGCTATGAAGACGGCCCGGGGGGTGCTTGTTGAGTTGACGGGTTTGCAAGTTGCAGGTGAGGCTTGATTAGGGTGCAATAGGCATGAATTTAGACTTCATCCGAAGCCAATCACCAGCCGTGGAAGCGACAACTGAGTTGTCCTCGATATGGAATAGCGCCAGACTAAACAAACTCTGGGCAGCCACTAAGACCGCTTTCAGATGTGTTCGCTGCCTCGGTAGTACTAGTGGATATCCGATTCAACGGTGACGCTTAACTGGATGCGGACAGCTGAGAAATGGCAGGCGCCAATGCTCAATCACAAGCTTGGGAAGGTGCTCTACACGGCAGGAACAACCGCAGCAGAAATGCCAGTGCTGCAGCTTGTTTGTTGGCCTGCAAACGGTGCCGGCACTGTACAGCTGAACATCTTTTCTTGCCGTGTGATGGTTGGTATTGACTCGCCGCTAGCGATTCAAGGCTTGATCGCGCTGGTATTTTTATCCACCTCGCTTCTGCATGGCAGCACAGGGATCAGTTCAGTTCAATTCGTGTCGGCCAGCCCAAATCTATGAGGCCCTGGGGGACTTGAACGAGCGAAACATGCAGGACCTGAGTTCCGAACTCTTGCTCCCTGCCCTCCGAAGACAAACCATCCTGGCTGTGCATCACATCTGTGGATTGCAAGGTCACTGCTCACTACAGCGCTAGCACGACTAATAGATTACAGACCTAAACCTCCCATGTCCATAATGTTCTTCGGCAGATGGGGACGGGTACAGCCACAGTAAGCCACGTTGGCAGTCTCGTCTGCATGAGCGCGTTGTCTAGAGACGCAATACTAGCCGGTACTCGTGAGGCTGGAAAACCGTGTCTTCCTCACCTCGCTACTGAGCTTCTGACGTCCCATCAAAATCAAAGGCAGATCCTCGTTTGACACTGGCCCCGTTATTTTCTGTTAGCGGGAAATTCACGAACGCTTCGAGTCCAACCAAGACCTCCATCTCGTCGTTCCGTATCAGCTTAACCAGCGCGCTGAGAGTCATCCCACCAAACAGCCCCCACAAACGCCGCGTACCGACTCCAGATACGGTCAAGCTGGATCACAGAAGAATCCCTGTCCAGCGTGGTCGTTGAAAATGTGGCATTGCCCCCCGGTCACTAAAGGCACCTCCGGAAGTTCTTTTGAATTGTCAAGTGGTATGCAATCAATCCCGCTCTGCGATGGCTTGAAGACGGTCCTCAATTTCATCTTCCGTCAGCGTCCTGAACTCCCTATCCACGCCTTCGCTTCCATCAGCCTTGGGCCCGCCCACGATTCCGATCTCTAATTCGCCCTTCTTGAAATCGACGCTGAGAACGGTGCTGAGAGTGCTGATACCCAGTTCCACAACTTCCTCCCAGCTGCCCGGTGCATACTCCTTGTTCTTCAATTTCTTTTCCAGATGATTGAGCGCCTCTTGCTGCTTGGGTCCTGATGCTGTGGCCTTGTAGCCGACATAGTAACCGGCCGGATCGCACTTGTAGAGTTGGGGGCCAAACTCTTCGTCGACTGAGATCAAGGTAGTCGCTACGCCGAGCGGTCGCATGTATGCCTATTGTGCATTAGCTTTCATCTCTCTGAGGAACCGTTGTTCACATACACGTTGGGTGTAGACTTGGTTGATGTTCGCCAATCGTTTCGCCAGGACGTCACACGGCATCTCGTACCCATTTTTGTATCTGAATTCAGCTGCTTCTCCTCTTGCTCGGTCGACTGAGGCCCTGGCATCCGCTATTGACCCCGTCATAACGCATCCGACGGAGGGCGATATTTTGAAGACATGAGAGACGGAGGAAGGATCGATCAGCTTGTCCTGTGACAGCAGTGTGAGCGGCCGACCGGCATGAAACCATGGTTATGCTACATACGGGTACTTTCTTCTGCGACAGAACAACAGCACAATTCTTCCCGCGTACTCCTACCGAGGTAATATTCGCTGCGGTAATGGCTTTGAAGGCATATTCTAAACGGCGAAGTCAGCAGGCAGTATATGATAGTCCGCTGGTGTATCGAAAATGAGAAACGTTTGCCTGGGGCGCAGGGGGACGCCTCCAACGCTGTGGTCGAGAAACATTGGATCCTCATGTGGACGTACCAACTTGATATAACCGGCCCTGATCCGAGAAGATAGTAATGTGCCGGTCATAGCCAGCGCTTCCTGAGGAGGTAGCCTTGGTTAGCTCGGTGATGCCGACGCAGCTGCAATGATCTAAAGTACAAACCTGACATCTTGAGCGTCCGTCAGCCGATGCAGCTCGCACCGACTTTATTATCAGGGCTAGTAAACGGATAATAGCCTTCTGCACTGGAGCTTGTGTCAAGGGACGTGGTATGATTTGTGAGATGTGGCTGAGAAGGGCGAGTTGAAAGTGTTCAGTGGTGATTGTTCCAGTCGGTCACTTGAAGTTGCCTTTACGCGCAAGTTCGCGGTGCCTGCGCTAGACTCAACCACGAATGTCATTGAACTGCAGCCACATCAAATCCCCAGAGCCTTGCACCGCCACATCTACGTGTGGCGCCAAAAAAAGTCTCGCCAACCAGACTGGTAGCCGAAATCTCAGCTCTTATGTCTCGTCCATGCCCCTTCTTTCCTGATTGAGGCTGTTTAGTCGATAACAATTAAAAGCAATCGAAGGTCACGTCTCGTACTGGCGGGTGTTGGATATCTTCAGCCCCAGATGGCCGTACAGCAAGCTGGAATTCCAGCTTGGAAACGGCTCGGTCTCAAACTAAAATATGCAAAAGATCCAACTGAAGATGTTTTGGCCTCCAATAACAGTCCAAGCCAGTCGTCCGGACAAGATGCTCCTACAGTAGAGCCCCCAAAGAAAAAACGCAGAGTTGAGCCACAAACCAGTGGTCACTCCAAGCCCGCTGGGAGTGGTTCGGAGCCTTCTCAAGTTTCTGAGCCAGCAGATGGAGAGCCTAAAGCAAAGAAACTGAAGAAACGAGTTTCATTCTCTGTTGACACCAAGGTGACTTCTGACACTTCTGCGACGTCTTCGCCGGCTCAAAAGCCAGAACACGGAACCACATCTGAAGCCTTGCCAGCGGAACCCAAGAAGGTAAAATCGAAAACGAAGACGAAATCAAAGCAGAAACCGCTTTCGGCCCAGAAACCAAATGCAGCCCTCGATTATCTCAACCAATACTACAAGTCTCGTTCAGACTGGAAGTTTAATAAAAACCGGGAGGTCTGGATCTTGAAGCATGCTCTCTCCGAGAACGACATTCCCAGAGAGTACGATTTTGCATTGGCAAAATACATCCATGGTTTACAGGGATCTGGCGCCCGTGAAAGGCTGAAAACACAGTGTTTTGACCAGTTACGAATGGTGGAATTATCTACCCCTTCTGAGGACAATCAAGCTCAAGATGAAGAGTTTTCCCGGCAATTCCGTGAAGCTCTTGACGAGGGACTCCGAACACAAAGCGACAGAGTGAGGACTGATGAGTTCATGGCTTGGCTCCGGCAGCAGTCGCGGGCCAGGCTGTTACTTTGGAGTCTGGGGATCGACGATCATGCAACCAGTTCGAATGGCACAGACGGTTCCGGTGCGCAAATGAAACCAGCGACGAAGAAGAAGCGGAAGAACAGGACCGTGGTCGTGGACTATGACACTTCTAGTTCCGACTCCAGTTCAGGTTCTAGCGAGAGCGAGAGCGACAGTGACAGCGACACCGACAGTGATGAAGACGACCAGGAGAGCAAGAAACAGCACCAGCCTGAGGAAGAGACCTCCAGCAGCGGGAGTAGTGAGGATGATACGAGTAGCGACAGTGACAGCGACAGTGAGAGCGATGACTGACACGTCGTTGACTCCAAAGGGCTTGTAGGATGTGACAGGATCGGCGCCTGCATGGCATCCGGCGGTGGTTTGGGAACAAGTCTGAAACAGTCCGAGTCATGGTTCGAGTACAATTTATTATGGCAACTTGAAGGTGCTTCACAGTGCTCTAAGGACACGCCTGATGCTCCCTGTGGACGAGATAGTACTGTACCTACCCAGGTAGCGCCTCAATAACTCGTTGTACTACCCAGGTACTAGTAACGCACTACTGTGTACAGTTCTTCAGTTCTTGAAGTTGTGCAGTGCTCGGCTACTACTAGGAACCTGTTTCAACCTATAAGGGCGCTAACAACTATTAGTGGACCGTACTAGGAGTTCAACAAGTTGCACCCTGCAGCCGGCCTCGGAGGGTTGTCATATGGGGATTGGCAGGTGCCTGGAGTCTGTTTGCGAGTCTGCTGCGTCATTCCTTCAGCCTGCACAGGTAGAGTGACGGAAGGGGAAGGACTAAGTCACGGGCCAAGGGTTACAGCCACTCCATCCCCGAAACAGTCCAGCCACCACCACTGCCATCACCCACCTCTCTCTTGTTGTCCCTTCTATCAACAAGCCATCCTTTGCTGCATCTACAGGCAGCTCGTCTTCATCCGCATATTTGTCTCAGGATAGCGTTTGGTGGTTGCAAGTATGAAGAACACTTTCATCGTCGCAGCCGCTGCGCTGCTCGGTGGTGCCAATGCTGGCATGCACCGTATGAAGCTCCAGAAGGTCCCGTTGGAGCAGCAACTGGTATGTCCCGCCGTCTGCCTCAATCGATCGATCATTCATCTGACTCGGATGCACTAGAGTGCCGCAAACATTGGCGACCACTTGCGAGCCCTTCGTCACAAGTATACGCAAAAGACACTCGGCGGCCCGGCTGAGGACATCTTCAGACATACGTCGATTGATATCGATAGCCCGCACGAGGTCCCGGTGGAGAACTTCTTGAACGCACAATGTAAGCTTACACCGCCCATTCATGATGATATGTCGATTATGGGCTGACGCTGGAATGAATAGACTTCAGCACCATTGCTCTTGGGACGCCACCTCAGGAATTCAAGGTAGTCCTCGACACAGGCAGCTCCAACCTCTGGGTTCCCAGTTCCGAGTGCGGCTCGATCGCCTGCTACCTCCATCAGAAGTATGATTCCTCCGCTTCCTCTACATACAAAAAGAATGGGTCCGAATTCGGCATTCGATACGGCTCTGGTGAGGTGGCTGGCTTCATCTCTCAGGACATTCTGCGGATTGGAGACCTCAAGATCAAGGATCAACTCTTCGGCGAAGCAACCAGCGAGCCTGGCCTCGCATTTGCGTTCGGCAGATTTGATGGTATTCTTGGTCTTGGCTATGATACCATCGCTGTCAACCATATTCCTCCTCCCTTTTACAACATGATCGACCAGGGGCTCTTGGATGAGCCTGTCTTTGCCTTCTACCTTGGCAACACCAATGATGGAACCGAGTCTGAGGCAACTTTTGGTGGCATTGACAAGGACCACTACACCGGCAAGATGGTCAAGATTCCCCTGCGTCGCAAGGCATACTGGGAAGTCAACCTTGATGCCATCACCTTTGGCAAGGAGACTGCTGATCTCGACAACACCGGTGTCATCCTTGACACTGGCACTTCATTAATTGCTCTCCCTTCCACTCTTGCTGAACTACTCAACAAAGAGATCGGTGCCAAGAAGGGATTCAATGGCCAGTACACAGTGGAGTGCGACAAGCGTGACTCTCTCCCAGACGTCTCCTTCACCCTCAGTGGGTACAACTTCTCGATCACAGCTTATGACTATATTCTTGAGGTTCAAGGCTCTTGCATCAGCAGCTTCATGGGCATGGACTTCCCCGCTCCCACTGGACCCTTGGCCATTCTTGGGGACAGGTGAGTCATTATTCCCACGCTGTTTATTGTATTGTCTACTAACTTGACTCAGTTTCTTGAGACGCTGGTACAGTGTCTATGACCTCGGCAACGACGCCGTTGCTCTCGCTCGCTCCAAGTAAATCCGAAGTCTATTGGAAGGGCCGCACATGTGTTGCTGCTAAGGATGGATATGCTACTATGAGGCTGAGATGCTACGAGGCTTGGAGGTGCATCGTAATTCCGTGGATGGCATTGAAGGAGTCTACGTGGTTTTGTAACTGGGCTTAAGCCTCTATATTCACGTCTCTTATTTTGCTGTACCACATACAACTTCAATTCCAAAGCAAGCCCAATATTCAGGCCTCCTTAGATCCAAGGCCTGGAACCTATAAAAGCTTGGAAGCATTGAGGCACTTTACATGCAAATCTCATGATCCGTACATCTGTACTAGCAGTGCAGTACTAGGCTGGCCTCCATGCTCTGCCGTAACTGCTGTGGCGCCCGTGGAAAGCGCTGCGTCACATGTCCCATTCGTAGACTAGCAATTGAGCAATTATGTGCGTTCTTTGTCCCCGACGGCAACAGGCGGGGCACTCCCGGCAGGACCAAACCCCCTACGGACTAGTACTCTGCTGCGGCCATTAAGCATAAAGCTGGGAGCTTTGGCTGTTCCCCGTCGCCCGCAATGCAATGCGCTGCAAAAGCTACACTACTACGAAGTACAGCTATTACGATTTACTAGCTGTGCACTTTGGTTAACCGCATACTAGTACAAGCACTACGTACTATATCTTCCCTCTACTACCATCGAGTGCAGTGGGCTATTAACACCAAAAATACTACCGCGCAACTGCTTCAATAGTTTAGCCCACCAGTCTCACCACCCCAAGATCCCAGATCTCAGATCTGACTTCCGTACAGTTCGCGTTTCCTGAGCCGTGCTACAGTCCACGTCCCGCATACATCGACACCCGTGCAGTCGCGGGATACGACCGTCCCTTCGACCCTTCGATTCCAATCACCCTCGAAAGGTCACGCGATTCTCGAATTGCCCTCCCAACTTGCTGGACCGTCTCCTTCCACCCTCGTCCTATCATACTACTCATAAGACGGCCCAAACCCTTCTCCTCGCTTCACGCTACTCCAACAAGGCGCTCCAAGACCCCCGGCGGCATCATTCGGGCTTGCCATCGCGCCTCGATCCCGGACCTGACTCCCACTTACATGCGCTGGTCAATGAAAGTCGCAATCCAGTCGCGTTCGGAATGCTATTACGACTCCCCAAGAATCTGCACTACCCTCTCACTATCACCAAGATAGAGAAGCGCGTCGGCGAGTTTGTCTCTCGCGACGACGACCTTTTCCTTTATTCCTATACCACAAAGGTCAAGGAGGGTAGCCGCTATGATGATGAAGAGCATGAAGTGGAAAAGAAGTTTGTCTCACATTTCGCCAGCACCCTTGAGGGAGTGATCAAGGGCTGGCGCGTATGGGAAGGAGACGTCTTAACCCATCCGTAAGCTAGTTTGAGGTGCTACATAGGGCCGATCTGAATACTGACTGTTTGCAGGGTAGATGTATGTGAGATTGAGGAAGAATGCCCGCATACCGTCCAGTTCCTGGGTATGTGTACCAATTGCGGGAAAGACATGACAACGTAAGTTTGGTGGCTCATAGAAGCTCTTTCGCCACTGCTGACCGTCCACGAGTGTCCAAGCAGGCAGCGAGACCACCGATGCCGATCGGGCACCCATACGAATGACCCACGACACTCCACATTTGACCATCAGCAAGGAAGAGGCAGCTCGAATCGACGAGGAGGCAAAGCGTCGCCTTCTCTCTTCGCGCAAACTCTCGTTAGTTGTCGATCTCGACCAGACAATCATTCATGCGGCGGTGGATCCTACGATAGCGGAATGGCAGAAGGACAAGGACAACCCGAATTACGACGCTGTCAAGGATGTGCGATCTTTCCAGCTCATCGATGATGGACCTGGCATGCGGGGCTGCTGGTACTACATCAAACTGAGACCAGGCCTGACCGAGTTTCTGGAGCACATTTCTCAGCTGTACGAAATGCATATTTACACCATGGGAACCCGACAATATGCCCAGCAGATTGCGGCAATTGTGGATCCAGAACGTAAGTTTTTCGGCGATCGCATTCTCAGCAGAGATGAGAGCGGGAGTATGGTAGCCAAGAACCTGGAGAGACTTTTCCCTGTGGACACAAAGATGGTCGTAATCATTGATGACAGAGGGGATGTCTGGAAATGGAGCGCAAATTTGATCCGAGTTCGGCCGTTCGATTTCTTTGTGGGCATTGGTGATATCAATTCAAGTTTCCTGCCCAAGAAGGAGGAAATACAGACGACACCAAAATCCGAAGGCCAAAGGCTGTTGGAGAATGGCGAAAAGACAGAAGATGGGGAGGGAGACTCCAACGGTGTGGCAGAAGACGGCACTTCGACGATTCAGAATGGGACATCAGCCCTCGAACAACTCATTGCCATGAGTGGCGGAGATGATCCGGCCGTCCGGGAGCTACAGAATAAAGGACAGGAAGAAATCATCACGTCACAGTTGGAAGACAAACCCTTGCTCAAGATGCAACTACAGCAGGACGAGAAAGACGAAGCAGAAGCTACTAATGGGGAGCAGGCCGCTTCACAATCCACCGAGTCAGACTCAAGTGATTCCTCCGACTCGTCAGAAATGGTATCTTCTAAGGCCAAACCCCGTCACAGCATTCTGAAGAATGATGACGAGGAGCTCATCCATCTCGAGGCAAGCCTCACAGCTGTCCATGCCGCCTTTTACGCCGAGTATGACCGAAAAAGACTTTCTGGGAAAGGAGGCCGTGTGGCAGCGCTGGCAGGGCAGGGGAAGGCACCACTGCCTAACAATGATGAAGAGAACGGAACGCCTGTGGACCTCCTCCTTGTGCCCGATATCAAGAAAGTGATGCCGGCTATGAAAATGAAAGTTCTCTCTGGTGTCACAATCGTGTTCAGCGGGGTGCTTCCTCTTGGAACCGACATTCAGAGTGCGGACATCAGTACGTGGGCAAAGACATTCGGAGCCACCATTACCGACAAGGTTGGCCGAGGCGTCACTCACGTGGTGGCTGCCCGACCAGGAACTGCCAAGGTCAAACAAGCCGTCAAGCGGGGAATCAAGGTGGTTGGGACCGCGTGGCTGATTGAATCAATGCAACAATGGCGGAAACTGGATGAAAAGCCATATCTGCTGGAAGGCGTGCGCAGCCAAAGGCACGATGCTTCCAGCGAGATCGGTGACAGTCTGGAAAAATCGATTGTGACGGCCAATGATTTCCTGCTCAGTTCGTCGGACGATGAGACCACAGGCTTCAATACCGAGGACGACCAGCCAGCACGGAAGAAGCTTAAGCTGGACGTCAGCCAGGATACTAATGCTACCGACGAGGACGATTTGGAGGACTTCATCGACGACGGTAGTCCGATAACAATCGACCAAGATGAGTGGGCTGATATTGATGCCGAATTGAAGGAATTCATGGGAAGTGAGGCCGAGAGCGAAAGTGACACAGATTCGGTCAGTTCCGCTCTGAGCTTCCGAGAGCGTCGCGCAGCCAAGAGACGGCGTGACGATAGTGGAGAGGCAGAACCTTCGGCCAGCCACGTTGAGCAGTCACCAACATCCAGGAGAACTGGGGCTGGTAGCGCTCTCAAGACGGTCGCCAATATCAGTAGTGAAAGAGAGTCGGAAGGAACAAATACACCTCTGACTCCGGACTTGGAGGAAAAGATCAGTGAGGAGCAACGAGAGGTTGAGGAGGAACAACAACGCGAGGAAGCAGAGGAAGAAGATTCGGATGACGAGTTTGCGAGAGAATTGGAGCGCGAACTTGAAGAAGCCGACGCTGAAGAAGAAGAGAAGAAGTCTACGGAATCTTCTTGATCTGGTTAGGGAAGATGATTCGAAAATGCTCCAGAAGGTCGTGATTGACCTGACCCTCTTTACATGTAGCGAGGCGTTTGGAAGCGGGCATTGGCATTGGCATTTCCCATCCGTTGCATTGCTGGAGGTTTATGCATACATGCATTCAGGATACCATGGCGACTCAACATGACCGCGTGGAAGAAGCCTTGCATAGCATCCGATGTACGTGTGACTTGATTTTCTGCAATGGCAGCAGAGCTTAGCTTAGCTTAGCTTAGGCGGGCTGTGCTCGAGAAAATAATTGTTCAAGTGTTCAGTGTTGCGCCCTTCTCATACAGTGCCACGTTCTCAGGTACAACTACAGTACATCTCATTCATGCCAGCAGTTCCTCATGCGGGAAATGGTTGCCCCGGCCCGGAAGTGTCTGTTCAGATAAAGTGTCTTCGGCACCTGCAGTCATCTCTTGCTTTGCCCCTCGCTTTCTTCAAGATTGCAGCTGAATTTGAACCTATCAAGGCTATTGGGACCACAAGGAAAGGACTGTGCCATGATCAGAGGTGAAGTTATAAACTCGAAGATACCCTTCTGCGGATATTGAACGCCAGTACTATTAGATGCAGTTACACTTTGCTTAGTATATTCAGATGAAATACTACCATGTCGACCATTCCGTACCGTACTGGTATATTGGTATACCTACTCTCTGATGTTTTTCCTTTTCCCATCTGTCATATCATCAAACTTTGTCATAACACATTCACATTCATTTCCAGGTCCATGTCCATGTCGAGATTTCGCAACCAGATAGTGTCCCATCATCTCCCGCCGGCGGCGCAAACAATACCTGTACTGTACCCTACCCTACCCTACCCTACAGGCCTGATTCTTCCCTTCAACATCGACTCGACATCACCAGGAACGGACTCATCAAGCACGGCACCAGGCTTGTGCGCAAGTTGCCACCGGCTCGTCTGTCCCGGGACACGGCCCTTGACGGGACGACACGGCCAGCGATCAAATCTCCGGTCCCGAATCGATTGATGAAGCCGCTCGTTAGTTCTGGCGGGATCGAGTCCTGCGGCATTAGGAGTCCGGACGCCCGACTTGGGCGGTAAAACCCAATTAGTCACGGTCCAGAAGGCGTCTGTGGCCTTTTTCTTGAGGCTTGACAATAGACCACTGGCCCCTCCACCTGCTGCTGTGTCGATCGCTGGGGGATATGTTGCGGTAGCCCAGGGCGTGTCGGCACCACCTGCTGCTGCACTGGCACTAGTAGTCGATTCAGCAAGCAAGTACGACATCCTATCACTTTCATCGACATCGACAAACGACAGCGTCTTTGTGCTGTTGCATTCCGATACCATCCAGCCCAACGCGATGTCCGCGAGTATCGAGTCCTTATCTCCGCCTCCAATGGCATGCGTGCCGCTGAACCAGACTTGTTTGACGCTGTTTGAACCGTTCGTGTTCGTGGTCACCCCGATCTCGGAATCCCACAAAGTCGGCAGAAACGCCTCTCGCGTCTCGTCCAGCGACAAGGCATGGAACCCATAATTGACCCGCGACGATAGAGCGGTATTATAGAACTCGAATTGTTCGCCTGTGTCGTTGTTCCCCAGGATGGGTTTTGGATCATGGAACCCCACGGTGTCCCAAACTCCCACGATCTCGACGCTGTCTTTGGCTCCAGGATGTAATTCGCCGCCTGAGAGTTCTTCCAGTCGAGCAATGTTCGGCTGCTGGGGGTGGCTGCCTTGGCTTTGGCTTTGGTGTTGGTAGTACTCTTGATACACGGCGCCGAAGCGGTCCATGCCCTTCTTGGTCAGTAGTCCGAGACTGGTGACGAGCCCGGCAATCGCTCGCGCAGTGTATGCTCCGCGCGAGTATCCGAAGAAATAGATCTGGTCGCCTGGATTGTAGTTGTGGGCGAGGAAGCCGTATGCGGCGCGCACGCAGGCGGACAGACCGGCGCCGTAGATTCCTGTTTTCCGGAGAGGCCAAAGAATAGTTAGTGTCAGTAAATAAATGAGCATGAGCTCCGCTTCACTTCCACCAGTCAACATAAAAGGAAACAAACAGGTTTAGTTGCCATTTCGAGCGGTGCATGGACGATAGGGTGGAATGAAAACATGAAGATTAGGAGGTATGGACTGATGAGACAAGGCATCTAGATAGTCCTGCCTCGTTATGGAGATGAAGCCGCAACGTGAGCGGGTAAGTGGGTTTGTCGAAGGAACAGTTTCGAATGAAATGCAGAATTGAGACGCCCACGCTTCGCGAGAACGTGAAGAACAACAGGAAAAGAAAAATCCTTACCTCCAGCGAGCTTATCCGCTAGGGCGCCGGTTCCCACACCGGGCTGATAATATATGATCTGCGGCACTTTCTGGCCATCCCGGTCGCCGAACTGGCTCAAGGCCCGCGAGAAGCGCGTCACGTTGGTAGGATAGCTATACGCTTCGCCGCTCACCGAATTCTGCCATGTTCCTAGGATGCATGACAAGGGAACGAGTTAGTTTTGATCCGAATGTTCTAGTGACTCTAACATCCTCCTCATGGACACGACATCATTGACCACCTTGGTAGGCCAGTGTGGGCATATGGCGCCGTTTCCCACCAGCATGAGTTGTGGAAAAGACAAATCGAATAATGGAAGATACACTATTTGACTTACCGTCACAGAGAACAATGAGACGCTTTGGCGTCGTCGTTGTAGAAGATGCCATTCTTCTACTCGTGCTCCACCGGCAGCCGAATGAAGAAAGCAAGACTTTATCGATAGAACGCAACGATCTAGAGTACCAAACAACGAACTGTGTACTCATCCACAGAACTCGAGTGATGTCGAAAGTAGGCAGAGCAAGCACTCCGGTGGTCTGGTTTCAGCTCTTCAGCTGTGGCGGAGTTGGAAATCTGAGCAAAGGGCTGCAGGACAGCTTGTTGGTCAGCTAGCGATGAGTCTTGTGATCGGCTTGAATATAGATGTTTGTCTGGAGAGAAAAAAGGACTGAGGGGCGCGGTTGTTCACGATACCACGGCCTGTGACTCGTTCAGGCAATGCGGGTTTGAGGACTGCGTATATATTTGTATACGTCGATTGATAAATGATGAAGAACACGAGAACTCGTATTGCTCAATTGAAAAGAGTCATAAGGCATCCAGGCAGCCAGGCAGGCAGAACAGTGTCTCGCTTGGGAGATCTAGCATGAAGTAGGGCGCAAGACCGGTGAGTAGGAGGCAGCGAGTTCCAAGAATCCAATCATGCCGTGCCGACCAGCAGCGCAGCATGAGCTGAGTCGAGTATAGGTGGTTGAGCAGCAGCAGCACCACCACCACCACCGCCGCCAATTCTTGGAAGCTGAAACGTCCAGCTGAATCCCCCTTGTAGGTAGATGGATAGTGGCCAGGTTTCGGGCAGAGGCCTCAGGTGGCTGGTATCACATGGTTGGCTCAGGGATGGTACACTACCTAGGTGAGTACTGTAGGTAGGTCGCAAGTCCGCTTCACAATCAGTAGCAGTTCAGCTTCGGCTTCAGCCTCAGCCTTGGCCTGTGCGAGAAGGGAGCCTGACTGATTTTCCCCTCTTTTAGCCCTGGCCCGGGGTACTTACAGAAAGTAGAACGGACTTGCTCTGGGGGCCAAGACAGCCCAACAAGAAACTGATGCACATCGCCCAGAACGGGGGTGCCGATCAGCCCGCCAGAGATCATTAGGAACGCCATATAGCGAAGTCATGCGACTCTCCACTAGCGGGTGGTGGTGGTGTGTACTCGAGTCAAGGAGACAGGGGTTATACTGGAGTACTAATACCTCCATATTCATGCCTGGGCGCATTGCCAGCTTCCTTCCTAGTAGTAGGGACCAATATGGGGGCAGCGCATCTGCCCAGACAAGTCATCAACTTCTCATGCCCGCGCAAAGGCGTTAAGGGTGTTCGTCGTAGATGGCAAACGTGACTCTTCTACAATTCACGAGGGTCGTAGGAATTGGTCGTAGGAATTGGGTGTGATCATGCGGTAATTTTATTCTTTCTGTCGACCAACCACCATTCCATAGACGGTGTTGCTCGCCCTGTTGCGTAACGTCAATCAACCATATGGTACGGTACGTTGAGTAGTACGTTATCATCTGCTCAATGAGTAGGAAACGTCTAGACTAGAAGGTTTGGTGTTTCGCCGACATCAACTTTCCTACAGGAACACTGATTGCTCCTACGAGCAGCTGCTCATGTATGGCCTAGACAGAATCCTCAGTGACCGATTTACTGGGTGCAGGGATCTGGCTGAAGCCAAATTGCTCTTCAGTCGGAAGCTCACCCGTGTCACCCGTATGGCTACCTTCCTCCGGTTTCCTCAGGTGGTGAGGCGTTGGAAGAGTCTCGCAGTGTTTCTTGAGCGCTTTGCCAAAGTTCCCAAGCAGAACAACTCCGGAGAACTCGACCGTGAAGCAGGGCAGCCAGAGACAGAACATGTCCCATCCTCCCAAAGTCCGTCAGGGACTGTCCTCGCTTGAGCAGAATGGCTGACGATTGTGCTTTTTGTCCTTTCGACATGATGACCTCTTAGATCTCCTTTCCAACTAGATGCCAGAAAGGGGTAAACTGGATCAGACTGCAACATGTCTGATCGCAGCTCAGCATCCCATTGTGCGTTTCGGCAAGGGATGCACGAAGCCAATTGACGGCTGGAAGATACATCAGACGAAGCTCGGCACCAAGGGAAACGACAGCCTGATTTGCTAATAGTGCGAAGACACATTGTCGAAAACACCCCACGAGAGAGGTGCCTGCGAGTCCGCGGATGGTTTCGACAATATGATGGCTGGCGAAGTCTTGTTCATGTCTTGCTGACTGAGCTGTTCAGATCTTTCTCTGCTGAGACATTACCCTCGGAAGACGTAGCTTCACGAGCTCTTCTCTCCAATTCTCGCTTTTCCCTCGCCCGTCTCGCTTGCTGCCTTCTAACATTGACAGGTTGATAAAACTCGTTGAAGTTCATCACGACACCCAAAAAGCGGAGATTCACGTCCGGTTGGTGACCTAGATCATATAGTAACATGCTCAGCCGTGACCGGAATTCCGCAGACAAGGCCAGTTGCCTTGCCCTCAGCGAGTTAAGGTGACCCTCATCGTCTGGGATGCCAAGGTTCGCCATCGACGGAGCAGGGGAGTCACTGTCTTCCGGTAGCAGCTGTGACGCCTTGATTGGTCTCCCTCCTGCCGTAGAAGTGGGTGTGCTTGCTCTAGAATCCCCCATGAGATCTTTCTCCGTGATGCCCCATTTCCCCTGTGCGGTCCGCCGCTCGATCTTTGCGCTGAATTGCTGCCTTCTAGTATATTCGGCGACGCTGTACGAGTACAACGAATCGACGACTTCACGGTAGTTCAACATGCACTTCAAGATGTGATGCACTTGGACAACCAGACTGTCCTCTTGCTGCCCGGTAACGGGATGCTTTTGCTGGCCAATGAGGCCTTTCTTGGTGATATTGTTGAGATAGGTAGTATGAGCTTCGATCAGGTCGTCGAGAGTGGCTTCCGGCTTATCCAGGGCCGCTTGCAGCTTCTCCCAGCTAGCCTCGATCACTTCAAATAGAAGGTAGTATTGAAGTTGGTTGACAAAGTGTACCATTTCTGCGACCACGCAGCTAGAACGCTTCCAATCGTTGCCTAGCTTATCGCCAACCGCAGCCAATACACCTCGACCTCCTGTCATACAGCGTTTGCAAGTCGTGTTGAGAGAGAACTCTACCCGCTTGATCCTCCAGAGCAGATTGAAGATCTTGAGGTACTGCGTGTTGGCCCATTGAGTGACCACCACATCGCAAGGTGCACTAATCTTGTATTCCAATGTGAAGCAGTCCCAACCAATCTCACCCGTGGACAGCTCGAGCATCCGGGCATCCAGTCGTCGCAGAACCTCGGGATCGTCATACTGAGCGTTGGAGTGGCGAATGGCATGTTCGAGCTGTGACGTGAGGTTGTGGCGGTACATAGAATTGACTGGACGATCGAGATGTTGAGCTAGCGACTCGATGAGCAGTTCGAAGAAATCCCCCTGCGCAAAAAGCATGTATTTCTTGATGGCCACCAGGTGTGTAAACAATCCAAACTTTGTCGACATAAGGTGCGTCAGCCGCGACATGGTCGTCCGGTAGGCAAGATCAATTGAAGACGACAAGCTGGCCGTATTGGCGTAGTCTAAGGACTTTGAATTCGTCTTGGAATATTGAATAACCCAATCGGAGTCGCCACAATTGTGGCGGATGAAATTGAGCGACTTGCCGATCAGAAAGACCTTCCGGGCAAACTCGGCTGAGACTATGGAAGGAATCAGACTGGAGTCGACCTTGTATTTTTCCTCCCATACAGATGTCGCGACATGCCGATGGTCAACGGTGGGTTGAGAGCTGGGGTCAGGTTCAGTGATGAAGAATTCATGAAATGGGTCGATCAATTCCCCATCGTAGATCCAGTGCCTCAGCATCTCATAGAAGGGGCGTGCAACCCGGGCAAGCAGTCTTTCAGCGAAAGCGGCAACAAATGGGTCGCCGTGAGAGGATGCCAAATTATGGATGAGGGAAATCATCTGACCACCACGCTGCTGTCTCGAGTCTTCCACTATCAGTTTCATGAGCCGTAGACCCATTGTAGCGTCTCTGGTCCATATCAAACATCGTTTCAAGGTGACGCCGGTTGCGCAACCGGCTTTTCGATCCTTAGTATTTTCAACTCTAGCCAGGGCTTGTCTGATCTCGCTTTCCAGGGAGGCGACTAGACTGAGATATGATCGCAACTCGTCTTGGATGGCAGAACGCAGGCTTTGATCCATTAATCCGCCATCTTGGGCTGCGGCATATTCAGATAGACCCCGGTATAGGAGGCATGGCTCTGCAAGGGCATAAAGTAATGAGATAATGGGTACAGGTAAAGTTGGAGGAAGTTTGATTGTGGTGGCAGAGGTAAACTCGAGATGCGCCGAAGAGACACCCTGCAGATTGAACGGCAGATCTCGTAGCAGCTCCAAGTCAGTAGGACCAAGTACTTGCTGTTGCTTTTCTTGAACTTGCTCGACGGGCACCTGACCTGGAGAGTGGACAATTGCTTCATTCTTGTTGTTCCCATGTCGCAAGAATGTATTCTGGTCATGCCGCTCTTGTCTTAATGTAGGGGGAAATCGGCGGCCCGGCGGAGTCGCAGGCTCGCGTTCGTGTGTCTCTCCCTCTACTCCATCTTCAGAAGCAAAAGATTTTCGTCTAGGCAAGTCCTCCCGCTGTGGAATGTTGGCAAATTGATTTGAGCCTGTTAAGGGAACGCGTGGGCGCGGCTCCGGGATGGTCGGCTCGGACAGCTTGTAGAGGAGGTATAGGATTGCCCATTTCTGGTTCAGAATCGGAATTGCAAGGAGTCGCGAGTACAGATTGCTGAACCGGGCAGCTTTCTCTGGGGATGCATTTTCGCGTAACAATTTTCTCTTGATGAGATCCTGCGCTTGATTGGTGTCAGGTGGCAGTCCGTTGTCAGCATCGTAGACGAGAGCTTTTGCATTCTCGATGGCGCGTTCAATGCGAATCTCAGTGTCTGTATCGTCCTGGTCGGGATTCGAAGGTGGCACGAGACTTTCGAAAAGAGAGGTCAAGGTACCGTCAACGCGATTCAACCGTGGATCCGCCATGGACACGGCCGAAGAGACACGAGGCTTGGTGGCATGACAAGAAGGTCGTCAAAGGTCGAAGTGAGCAATGTTCAGACGGCTTCAGGACAGGCTGACTTATTTCTGCGCGATTCTTTGAATCTTGTAGACAAGCGGTAGTCTGCCCCAATGATTGTTTACACAACGGTCTTGAACTCACTCGAGGCAATGTGGGCTGTGAGTGTGAGTGGCCCGCGTCTATTCGGGGTCGCGTCGCGTGTGGAGCGTCACCTGCGAACCCCACGAGTTTCATCGCTGACAAACATTGACTGCGACAGTGCACAGTTGAAGAGTCCTCATCTTTGTGGGCTCTTGCAGTCGATTCTCAGTAACTAGTATCTCCCGATACACTTTGAGCTGCCTGTATAACGTGTCCATCCAAGGGGAATCTAGCGCGATCCGCGACACAGGTCTTCAAGGAAGCCTGAGAGGGCCTCCCTCGGATCCTAGTCCAACATGCTGCATGCGGTCCCCATCTGGGCCAGGTATAACCTACCTTGGTCCCGTAGCCTACAATTACTAGTACTGAACATAAAGGCAAGATCATGATGAAAAAACATCAAAATAAGCAACATAAGCCTCACACTGGAAGCTACGTAGCTTCTGCAGATTCAGTGCGCTAGGAACGCCTCCGACCACCAGTTCCCCAAGAGCCCAGTGACCTCCTTGACTCTTGGAAGCCAGACAAAATACATGAAGCACATCAGCGAAGAAAGATGTATCCATGTCTAGCGCGCATCACTCACCTTGACAGGGACGATTGGCGATCGAGACTTGTCGTCGAAGTCTTACTGCATGACGGCCATTGCGAACGGGCTGTGTTGGTTAGCCTGCCTCCTGAGGATGATAGTAATTGATGCTTGTCCAAGAATTTTGATATTCCATCCTCGGTTGCGCTGAAGGTACGCACAAGTAGCTGGGGTCTTCCGCAGATCGTCGCAAAGAAAAGAATACCGTTCCAAGGGGATCAAAAAGGCGCTTCTGCCTGAAAAGCATGCCGAGGAGTACCTAGGTATGGTACGAGCATACCAACACAATCGGCCAAACCTGATGAATGACTTGGCAATTAATCCCCCGGCCCGCAGACAATGCGGGTGCCTGGCATTTCTTCCAACGCCAATACGCAGGATAACAGCACCGGGGCACAGGGTGCCTAGTTACCAGACTGGGTTATTCCGGCCTCGAAGTTTGGCCTTGAGAACGATCCTCAGTAACATCAGGCATTCCGCTGCTGCAACAGAGTCTCCTTGCCAAGAATAACACGAACAATGATCAGCCAACAGGGGAAGCGGAATTTGCCAAGGTGACAGGCTTTCAGCGGCCAAGCTGTTGGAAATAGTACATGTTCAATCGATGACCAACGTTTTCATAAAATTGTGTGATCTCCTCGCTTCACGAAAAGCAGGCCAGAGCCGACGTGATCCACCAACATGAGGCTCGGAGGGACCATTGTCTCTCGGTATCTGGACGGCCAGGCACCGCCATCAAAGTATCAGAGTGCCTGGCACATATGTATAAGCGCAGTTAGAAAGCAACCTCGGTACAGTAGGCATCCGTCCTGGGGACACGCTGGCCTTTGGCTGCGGCCTTGAAAGGCAACGTGCCCACTTCCTCACCGTAGGTAGACACGTGGCTTTCTTGTTATGCCGAGAATGCCGAAGAGATTGGCATCTTGGTGTCAGTCAATCCACGCCGCCGATAATAAGAGCCCAATACGTTGTTATAATTGGCCGTGCGTGGGCATGTGAAAGGCCGGCCTTTTCTCGTGCCGGGGACTCCTACCATCGAGGAGATATCAGCCCCGCGTGGAATGTCCACGGGTTGTGCTTGAACATGATGGGAAACACGCGCTGGATCGGAATGTTGAGCGCTTCAACTGGAAGCGATGATCTGGACGCTCGCTTGGCTGACACTTGGCGCGAAGACTCAAGCCTTGGCATGCGCTGGATATTGACTTTGTGGCTTGATTCATGCTTAACAACCTTGAGTGGCTTAAGCCTCGACGCAGGATTGACCCTGGACATTGCTGCGCTGCGCTGCACTGCGGATCAGCCAAGCCAAACTCCAGACGCAACTTGAACAGAGCGTCAGGTGGCTCACTGTAACCCGGAAAATGCAAGCAGATCCCCAACACGAGTTAGCTGTCTTCATCTGGGTGAGAGTCTGCAGGCTCAATAATGACTGTTGAAGTGTCAGGATGGAGAGTTTGAGCCAAGGATCAATGGAGACTGGCGCCTGTTAGGCCGAGACGAGGGTTACGCAGCGCCCAGGCTCCCAAAACAGGCGCGGCGGGTACCACTGACACATCGCAGACGAGACCAAGACAACCAAGCCTGTTGGCGTCGTGGCACTCCCTCGTTAGCCCCGTTGAAAAGTGCTCTTTGTCCTTGGCCCGGCCAATGATGAATTGTGCAACTGGGGCTGCTTGTACATGTAAGTGGGACGTGATCAGAGCGAGGACCCAAGTACTGCCCGGTGGTAGTCATTGTTTGAGATCCCCGTAACAGTACTCACGTCTGTTGTGTCTGATACTGGAGCAACTCCTTCGTCCACTGCCCAAAGACAAGTATCATCTCTCGAAGGTGTTTTGTTAGCGATGGATATGTGAAATGGGCGTCGGACTGCTCTGGACTAGCCCTGACGGTCCTTGCCGGCGGATTCAATTTGAGTATGCCAAGCATTGAAGTGAGTATTAGGCTCGGACTAGCAGCGCCGCTACGGGCAGCATGTAGTGCGTATCTTAGGTACCTGCTGTGACGCCATTTTCGTCATGTGACTACTTTGGCCCCTAAGGCCTCTTCTGCCACTCATGTAGCACTTAGCTTCCTAGGTATCACAACACGCCTGTTCTCTGAGTTACTACTTGTCCCCACACTGCTAAAGTGCCAGGTGTTTGTTGGACTGTACACAAATGCTCTGCGGAACAGCGGTATGGGGTTCAAGGCATTCAAATTGGCGACTCTTCACGGATGCTGCGCACCAAGCATCAATCACTGGCGCTTCGTGACAAGCGCGTGTACTAGCATCTTGAAAAAAGGATATTTGTGATCACATGAGGCCCCTGCCGAGGATGTTAGAGTTGATCTGAGTCAGTGCCCAGCCAGGCCGAGCCGCCCGGGCCTTAAGCGGGCTCTTAGACTTTGAATTTAAGCATAAGCCCCAAGCTTGCTGTGGAACGCCAGTAGCGCCCCTGCCCGGCTGCCACTCAGTGCGGTGATGGGCCGAAACTTGAACCCTGCACTTCCGCTTCTCCACCACTAGCATTTATTATTATTGTTCAGCCCTCTTTGCCCGCCTATTTCCCACACTGCACCGGCCATCGCTAGACACTGCACCGGCCATCGCTAGACACTGCACAGCACCGATTACGATAATTCCTCCAGATTACAAGTTCGCAGGCCTTCCACCTCCCTCGATTTATGTGGAATTCGGCACCAGATCAGCCATCCTGTTCCATCGTCTTGGTCACAAGACCGTCCTGCACTGGCCTGGGGGACATCGAAAAAGTGCTCCTCACTAGGCGTCACGCGCCTCGTCTTCCCTTCCGAAACCTCGCGCACTTAGCCGGGTAATTCACGAGCGGTTGAAACTATCGGCGTGGTCGCTACCGGGCGTTTTCCCGGTGATACGACGGGTCTATTGGATCGAATATACACCACATACCCGACGCGGGGACGAAGAGTTGGGAAACGGTTGCCGTGAGGCCTTACTCTACATTGCAGGCTTCAGTTCAGCAGCGTCACTAGATCTGCCCCTGGTCTCTCAAAACTTCAGCAATGGAGACATACAATGGTCACGTTCGCACCCCAGCGGACGCCATCATACTTTTCGAGGCTTGCAGGCTGGGTATCCTCCCTCGAGTCCAGCGGAGACTCTCAGAGAAAGAGAGACAATCCATCCGCTCTGGGTCCGTGTTTGTATGGGATGAACGAGAAGCAGGAATGAGGAGGTGGACAGACGGAAAGAGTTGGAGTGCCAGTCGAGTCTCAGGCAGCTTTCTGACCTACAGAGAAATGGAAGGGAAAAGAGGCGGACAGACTTTCCCTTCGAACGCAAGTAAAGGCACCAAAACCCCCGAGAGCACCGCGGAGGATCCTTCGCAGAACGGCGAGGCTGAGGATGGCCCTGATGGATATCGCTATAAGCCCGATGGCCTGATGAAGCAGTCGTTCAGTATCACTACCTCTCAGGGCCAACACCTGCATCTCATCAGCTATTACTCCCGCTCACACCCCACCGCTCAAGTCTTGCGTCAACCGAGCACGGACCCTAATCTGGCTCACGTTGTGCCAGCAAAGGGCCTCTATCCCGAGTCAACGATCAACGACCAGTCTTCGGTCCCGGCCGTCACTCGTTCACCCATGGTAGGGGTGCCCAGCTACGTCGTCAGCCCCAGTACTCCCGGTTATCACAGACCGACTCCCGCCAACCCGCACCCATATTTGCCGCTTGGATACATACCTCATCCGACCTACATCTATCCGATTAGTCCCATCCATACCCCCCCAGGTCATTATCCCCTCCAACATTACGCGTCACTTCCTCCTGGGGTATCCCTTCCGCCTGGAGCACCACTCCCTCCTGGCTTACCTCCCCTCCCCTACGGCCATGCACCGTATCCTCCGCCTCATGCATTGGCATTGCATCACGCCCCTCCATCGTCTTACGACCAGCGGCCACTCCGGAACACGGATTCAAGGTCACCGGGACCTGCTCCTTTACCTCCCGCAACATCTGCTCAGGGTTCTTCGGCGCCGCATAACACCACGCAACCTCCACCGACACAACAACAGGCCAATTCCTCGGTGTCAGCAACCGCTCCTGCATCTACAGCGGAATCTGGGACCGAAAACCCTGCCTCTTCTAACCAGGTAGATCCTACACTTGCTAATTCAACAAACGGCGGCGAGGGACAGCCTAATGCCAATACACCGCGGGCGGAACAGGGTCAAAGCGAACCACGGCCTGCCGAAACTGCTGGTGTAGGCGCGAGCCAGGCTCCTACTATCACCTCGTTGGTCCACAACATTACGACCAGCCTGCCACCCACGGAGAAGGTCCACGGAGGCTCCGAGGTGAACCGACAAGGCAGTACAAGTCCCGGGGGCACCAAGAATGGAGCTCCTCCACAGGACATTCCCAGTGAGAAATTGGGATTTCGAGAGGACAAGAGAGCACTGAGCAAGCTCGATCGCGTGTTTGCGCGTGTGATTGATTTATGTCAGGTTATTGTGTGGTCTGTTGCGTAAAAGCGCTGTCAAGGACACGATGACCCAAGACCAAAGGGGACCAAAGGGGAGGCTTAAGCGTTGTCACGTCAGTTTGATTGTCTTCATCTGTTCTGCATTGAGGGGTGGCTAGCGAATACGGGGTTGTTTGTCGAGAAGCACTTCCAAAATGGCATGAGACAATGATGCTTATGATTTTGATTTCCTTGTGGGTGGTGTGTTCTTGTGAAGAGAAGCTGCGGAGTGATGATGTTGGTATTCGCCCTGCTCCGTTCGGATTCGTGAGCTCTCGTGCCTTTAGCACTTTGAGTCTTTAGATCGTCTGGTCGATGGTTTCACAAGTGGTACTTGTCCTCGTGGGTAGCGAGCTCTGAATACCAATGTTATAAGTGCGCACGTCCCCTCGTGCGGTTGTTTTGGCTCATGGACGTGATGCCAGCTTGTTTCCTAGAGTCCATGTGATCTGGACTGTATAGGTGCAGTGTCCGGGGAGACCTGTACAGGGAGTAGCCGTGCTTACTTTCAGTAGTATAACCTTGAGCGTCCGAGATGTTCTGACAAGGCTGTGGTCGAACGACCTGGCGGGTTATGTAATCCGACGTACGGGGAAGCAACCATGCATCGACGACAACCCTCTTTGAAGTTGTCGACAATGGCCCTGAAGCGATCCGAAAGACTTCATCGGGTGTTGTTTCTCTTGTCCATCGCACTTGTCAGAGATGTCTTCACCTATATCAAAGCCTTCGAGAGGGTGATTAAATGAATATAGAAGCACGTCTGCCACTTGGTGGTATGGTGCATGTGGAGCGGGACTCGACGGATGGCATGGTTATAATCAATGGCCTGACCTACAACAAGACGACGTTGGATTACTGGAACTACACTACTTATTCAAATGGGACTCTCTCGAACGGATCGCACTGCTACCTTGTATTTGATGCCTACAAACCCGTCCTGGTCGCGCCAAATGGGACGTTCGTCAACTATACCACGTGCTATGAGCCCATCCATGCTGTTGGACCTAGAGGGATCACCGGGATTGTTTTCGGATCACTCTTCGCTATCTCCATTCTCTTTTCGACCATTAACCTCAGAAAGCATGGTCGCGGCTACCTATCGAGGCAAAAGAGGTGGAAGCCCATCGGAAGGCGGTGGCCTTGGTACTGGACCCTTTTTGTCGCCGCGTGTGGTCTGCTAAGCTGCTTTACCGCCATTGATGTGGACCGGGACTATCTCGTCAATACCCCCATGGTGCTTCAGTCTTTTTTCCATACCTTGATGATCCCAGCATTGCTAGCATGTGTTTGGGAGTCTCTGCGAAGCTGGTGAGTGGTCTAATGGCCTTGATGCCCTTGACAAGGTCCATTTAGAGACGTTCGAGAAGGGCCTATATACGCCTAATGGTTGCTGACTTCCTAGTAGGTCTTCCTTTCACCATCGCCGCCTTCAGCATGCCGATGCTTTTGCTCTCCCTAGGAACACCCTCCAACCAAAGGTAGACTTCTATCTCCCTCTACTGTTCTACGCCATGGACTGGCTTGTCTTCTTCCTGGCCGTCCCTCGCTCGTGGTCTTTCGTACAGAAGCAGCGATCACCCAACCAGACGCTCCAATCGGCGAAATCCGCGGCCCTAGATGCCAGATTTAAGGCAGCTTCGTTGTTTGCAATCGTATGCTCGGGGCTTATTGTGTTCCGCCTAATCTACAGCAATCGGGTTTATCATTCAAAAGTTCCTTACATCCTTCTCCTTGTGACTGTGCTTGTTGTGATCCGGAACGCTTACTCCTTGGTCGGTTCTTTTGTGTGGAATCTTTCGCCTTACCGCCTCGGAGTGAGTATTGGGTGGTTGTATGGTCTCGGATATGGCCCGGTTTTACTGGTCCTCTTCTTGTTGAACCTCCGCGGTTACCTCGAACAGAATGAGGACAAACTACTGATCGCCGAACGGGCTCATAGGGGAGAAGAGCTCGACAATCGGCTTCATGATACAAAGCACAAGATCACAGGCAATATAATAAGAGACAGGCAGCCTTTTAGGCTAACCAAAGGTCGTCATGACGACGGGTCTTCGAGCCATGCCTTCACCCTGCCAAGATCACAATTGCGAAGTCCGTTCACGGATGCCGACAGAGGCACATCCTACAGCCACAAGAACGACGATGAAAGCGGACACTATTGGTGGCAGAAACGCAGGGAAGGAGCTGAGGATACAAGGCTCCGAAGGTCTCGAGACACTACCTCAACTGTACAAAAAGCGTTGCCCAGTGTCGACAGTGATAGTGATCATGCAAGCATGACTTTGAGATGGACTGAACGGGAAACACTGAACTCGCCGGCCCCAAGCGGGGCTCAAAGGAGCAGAGTACAAACCAACCAGAGTAACCGCAGCGTATATGGCTCGCCAGGGGAAGAAACTCCAGGTCCTCCCTCGTCGACCGATTCGCTGCAATCGAGGCCGCAGGTTGTCAGGAGTATGTTAGATGTGTAGTAAACAATAGGGCAACTGAGCTCTCAAGTGGCACAGTGGAATTCTACGGGATGCGATGGACTGGGTATAGAACACGAGTGAACACTGCCTGCTGTAATTGTGTTCGACAAGGCTGTGACAACGTCGTCACAAGGCTGAGGGTCGACCGGGAAAATAGTTTATGCGGCTCCAGCGCAACTCCAATGATGATTTTGGTTCCGCGCAGCCTCACAACATCCTCGCAGATATTCAGGTCATTGTCTAGGATCCTCGCGAGGGCTACGCTTCATACTGCCAGGACGTGATGCTATGGCGTACTTTGCCGTCGCCATGGCGTCCAGGATGTCCTGGTCCGGCTCGATACCGCGACCTCGATAAATGGTTCAGTCGACTACGGCATGTGCCTCATTCGCGCAGCATCCGGTTGCTGCACGAAGATCGATCCAAGTCGGCGGCGGTTTCTCCTGTCCCTCCATCTGTGCGTTATGCACAGCTTTTGAACAATCCTGGAAAACATGAAACGCATCAGATCAAGATCACCGGCCTGGTGCGCAGCGTGCGCAAGCAGAAAAAGGTGGCATTCGCTCGCATCGCAGATGGCTCTACACTAGCAACCGTGCAAGCTGTTTTCCCAGACCCAGCTTTGGCCAAAGAGTGGGTTGGTTATGTGCAAGATTTCCAGAGCATTGAGTTCTGACTGGTGTTTCTAGTATAACAAACGGTGCCTACGTTACCTTGACTGGCAACTGGGTCCGGTCCGCCGGCGCCGGCCAAACTCATGAGTTGCAAGTGCAGAGCATAGACTCATTAGGGGAAAGCAACCCTCTTGTATGCTGTCGAAGTGTCTCTCTTTCTACATGGCCTAACCATCTCCATAGGAAAATCCTATCCAGAAGCAATCCATGTCTGTGGACTTTCTGCGAAGTATCCCCCACCTGCGAATACGGACATCATTCCAATCCCTGGTTGCTCGTACACGGAGCCATTTGACCTATGCCATTTCTTCACATTTTCACAATCCCACGGAGCCGGTGTATCAAGTTCATCCGCCGTTGATCACCTCGTCGGACTGCGAAGGAGCTGGGGAAGTGTTCACAATAGCACCACGGAGCAAAGAACGAGTGCCCGGTTCGAACCCGAATGCTCCCAAAGACGAGGAGCGACTATATTTCCGGGACCCCAAGTACCTAACAGTCTCTTCCCAGCTCCATCTCGAAGCGTACGCGGCTGAGCTGGGGGATGTATTTGCATTTTCGCCAACATTTCGTGCCGAGGAAAGTGACACTCCGCGCCATCTGGCCGAGTTTTACATGCTGGAGGCCGAACACCGGGACATCGACCTTGAGGGGCTATTAGCGAAAGTCAGGGCTCTTATTGTCGACCTTGTGGAATCTCTTCGAGCCCACCGAACTGGAAGGGAGCTTGTAGAGTACTATACAGACCACAAGCACCGGGCTCAAGACATTGATGCGGTCGATTTGCACGAGCGATGGGATCGGCTTTCCGGCCCTTGGCGCACGGTGGACTATACTACTGCTGTCAAGGCGCTCGGTGAGGCGCATGAGTCGAGCGGTGGAAAATTGTTTGCCACCCCTCCGCGCTGGGATCAGGGACTGCAGCTCGAGCATGAACGCTGGATTGTCGAGAACATTGGGAACGGCAGCCCGATCTTCGTAACTCACTATCCGAAAGACATCAAGCCGTTCTATATGTTGCCATCGTCTATGTCTCCTTCCAACCAGGACCCTGGCAAAGTTCAGTCGACTTCGTCACCAGACAGTCGGGAAACCGTTGCATGTTTTGACCTCCTCCTTCCCTACGGGTACTGCGAGGTCGTCGGTGGTAGCCTCAGGGAACACCGTCTGGAACCCTTGATCCAAGCCATGCGTGAAAATGGACTCGTCAAGAAAGTGGACCCGCCAAACAGTGATCCTTACCCTTTTCTTGAACCAGGAGAGAGCTTGGGTAGCATGAAGTGGTATGCTGATCTTCGACGATTTGGGAGCAGCCCTCATGGAGGTTATGGTCTTGGTTTCGACCGGTTGCTGGCCTATCTCACGGGTGTGAGCAACGTCAGGGAAGTGGTCGGGTTTCCGAGGACATGGGGAAGGGCTGATTTTTAGCCAGCATCGCCCTGTACGCAACACAAGTGGGTGCGTGCTTTCCACAGCACTTGATTTTGCGGAACGCTGATATGGCTAGCTGTCCAAAGTCAAGCCAGCAGCTTTCCTAAAACATAAGATGTACTTTCTAATATCTAGAAAAAGGGTCAGTTTCTACCGTATGTCGGATGGGTTCGTATATCATGAATTGGATGGGACCATCACGCATATACCATGCCATTGTGCTTGTACATTTTTGCAATACAATGTGGCAGAGTTGAAGGTGGTCCTACAAATTCGAGGGTGCCTCAGTATCGAGCTACCTAGGGAGGTAGGTATGTACCTGGTATGTGGTGGTCTGGATCACTGGCAAGATCCCTGCCAAGGCTCGGAACCAGTCCGAGAGTTCTTCCGCTCCGCTCCGCCCAGGACGTCCACTTCCACTTCAAGTTCGTATCACGATTCCCATGTTCCGTCACGCGTTTGCAGCGTGCTCTCAGGTTCCCCTTTGATCAATGACACCTATTATCGTCTGTTATGATGATCCCTTAGCGGATATGTCATCAACAGCATTCGCATCTGTGCAGCTGGTCTTGCCAAAGAGGTTGGCGGGTACGGCTGGGGGTGACTCCATGCTCCAACCTCGATCAGTTGGACCAGGCAATCCTCTTCTTGGTCATTGCCAGAGAATGCTCTCCTCCTTCTCCCCTGGTTAGAGAAGTTTGAAGGTGGTAGGTCTACATTTCCTGCCCATATAACAACCCTCAGTGGCTCAATGCCCACATTCCTCGTCCCTTGCTGTTATCATTCCAGGCGCGTGAGCGGTTCACACGGACCATCCGGTTTCTCGTGTCTCTTGCAATGCCTTCAGATATTTTTCTTGTCAAGACTGTTAAGCTGCACATGCGGTAGGTTCAGGTAACGCCAGCATAGGACCTCAAGATATCGAAGATGAAGTGGAAACATTTGTCCCTTGTCGCACTCACGCAGCAGCTGGTGCTGCCAGTGTCGGGATATGGCACGACCATTTCAATTGCTGTCAGCTATTGCCCTGCCACCTACTCCAGCTCGAGTACCACTACCAGCGCATCATCTGCACCTAGGTACGCTGAGCGGTTTTCTTGCTGCATTTACTAGAGGCTGACACAAGATAGTTCTGGATCTCCCACTCCTTATTTTCTGTTCCTGGCCAACAGTCTAGGTGGGCAGCCTGAATATGTCGCGCCTGATGGAACCATATCAACGGACCCGCGACTAGCGGTACCCTTTACAATCACACCTTCAGGTCAATTAATAAGTGGAAACGGCTATGTTTCCACGAGTGGAGAGGTTCCTTCGCAGAGATTTGAGGTCTCTCCTGTCCTCGCGGAACTCGCGACTGTGTTCTCCATTTCAACAAACAACACGTTGGTCTGGATGAACGATGCATTTGCCGGGCGGCAGGCTATTTTCTGCGCCTTCGGTTCGGTGGTCCAAGTCATCTTCAACGGAATAGCGCCTGCAGGGTGCACGGTAACACAGGTCAATGTTGTTCCATCAGCGGCTGTTACGCCTTCTTCGATGTCTTCCATGAGTATGACCCGGTCGTCAAGTTTGGATGTCGGTACTGGCTCTGGTCAGATGCCAACGACGACGAGCACAGTTTTGGCCACAAGCATGACTTCGGTATCAAACTCGCTTGCAGCTTCCACCTCTGTATCCTCGAACAGCATGACAGGAACGAGTTCCTTTGCTCACTCTTCCACTACGAGGGCCTCGATGTATTCTTCTCAGGGCCAGCAGGTACCTTCATCCACGCCAACGACCACTACAGCACTTTCCTTCCCGACCACTACTGGGGTGCCAAATTGCTTTGATCGTTCGCCATTCGACGGCACTATCAATGACAACTACCTGGTACTCTGCGATACGGAGCTTCCGGGCTATGATCTTGAAGCTGTACCGGCAAACGACATTGCAGACTGCATTGACGCATGCAACGCTTACGGACCAGGATCTGAGGGACCATGCATTGCCGTTGAGTTTGACATCGTAAGTGCCCTCGCCTATCCTTGTTTCATCCTTGAGACTGAATGTTCTAGCTTGCGAGTGCAAATCCATGTCACCTCAAATTCGACATCAATGTCGTCAATAGAGGGGCAAATGCCTTTGCACAAGCCGCAATCGTGGTAAATCAGCCATATGCCCCTCATATTGAGTTTGCAGACAGCGGAAGCAGCCCTTCAGACACGAGTATTACTGGGGCATCGTCAATCATGGGAACATCTACCACAACTTCTACGGTAGCAACTTCCTCGACTGTTATTGTGTCGTCTTCAACCCCCTCTTCGCTCACGACATCTTCCGCCACTAATGGAAACCATCCGACAAGCATCCAGACGACCACCCAGCAAACATCGAGTTCGCTCAGCGGCGGAAGCTCGCCAAGTATTACCACAGCTTCCTCGGCGGCTACAACATCCACTGTGGACCCGCAGCAGTCTAGCTCTGCCACAAGCTCCAGTCTGGGCACCTCTCCTTTGACGTCTTCTACCACAGTGCTACCGACTACAAGTTCCACGGTGAACCCATCTTCGGGTCTGCAATCGACAACATCAAGCCGTACCACAACTACGTCGACTACGACATCAACGTCAAGATTAAGCACTTCGCAGACAACACCGTATACCCCAACTTCGGTGAGCAGCACAACGTCGACGTCAACGTCCCCAACCTCAGTTTCGTATTGCTCTTCGACCCCGACGACGACTGCCCTTTGCCCTTCGTACAATCATCAAGCATTGAACGTCAACAGCGACGGTGTCTGCTATGAGGTCGAATGCTCCACAACACTGCAGGGGAGCATTCTCTCGGGCAACTCCACCACCGCTTCAACTCTCAAGGCATGTATCGGGTTCTGTACTTTGTACAACGTGGCATTGCCATATGGGTGTGTCGGAGTCAATTACCTAGGCACGTCGAGCGGAAGCCTCCCAAATTGCATCTTGTTGTCCAGCATTACAGGCACATCCTATAGCCCAGGGATCGACAGTGGCCGCCTGCTATACGCAGGATACCCATCAATCGCAGATCCTGTGTTCAGTTCTATGGAGACCACCACCAGCCAGACGGTACAGACGGCAACAACAACGACAGGATCTCGCGTGACGAGCAGTACTAGCACAACCTCATATTCGCCGTTAAGTTGTGCTCCTGCCCCATCAGCATCCGCATGTCCTGGGACATCTCCCACCTGCTACGACTACAACATCTACGGCTCAAATGTCAACTATGAGGTCGAATGTGGCACCAGCTTCACTGGATCCTCCATTCAACCTCTCCTGGCGTTTTCGCTGGAAGATTGTATCATGTGGTGCCAGTACCAGAATCTGCTTCAACCCAACAGCTGCATTGGCCTGACCTTCCAAGAAGGATCCGTTGGCCAAGGCACATCGAACAATTGTTACCGATACTCGAGCTTGACGTGTGCCACTCGAGGGAACAGCACTTTTGATAGTGCTCGGATGCTTTACAGTGGCTACCCACGAATGACGGACTATTCAGATCCCAATTTCGTCTGTGGCGCTGCGGCGTCGAGCACAAGCACAACTACAAGGACTGTCACAAGCACGACGACCATCGCCCCGGCCTCCTCTTCGACAAGTGCATCTACGGCGGGTACTAGTAGCCGAGCATCTACCACCACCAGTGCGGCATCGACAACAAGTGACCTGTCCCAAGCCTCTTCGACACTGTTTCCACGAGCATATCCCCAAGACCCGGTGTGTAACAACAACCTGATATCCAAGTATGAAGGTGAGCTAAGCCCTAGAAGATATATCTACGCCACACTACCACCAGACCAGCTAACCGGAATGTCTTTTAACAGGGGGACAAGCTCTAGTCAACCCATCCCAAGGGCGGTACTATGACATTGAATGTGCGGTAAGTTTGAGATGGATCCATGACCACATTTACTGGATATATAAATATATATTTCCTTCATCCCACCCCGTCGTTCACAACCACAAATTCACGTCAACTAACCCACGCTCTTCCAGGCCGACTACACCAACCCCGGCAACAACCCCTTCGGCGCAACCACACAAGCGACATACAACGGGTGCGCGAACCAATGCGACGTGGCTGCAGCAGGAGGAACATTCTGCGCCGCCTTCTCATGGACAGCAAGCTCAGGCCTATGCACGCTCTTCGGACGAGTCAGCAACGGGCAGGCGGGGACGACAAACATGACCAACACGGCCGGGACACACTCAGGACGATACCTGTACAACTCCGGCACAGGCCCCGAGCTACAACTATACCTGTCAAAGCCGGTCCCGTTTCCGACCGGACAAAACGTCCAAGGGGCAACAGTGCCTGCGTTCCCCGGCGGCACCAACACATACTACAACGGATGGGCGCAGAACTCGCACACGACTCCCCTGGACCTATCAGCCAGCTACGGAATCAACTGGCGCATCTTCGACCAGGTCCAACCGCAACGATTTGTATCGGCCAACTTCTGGTTCACCAACACACCATTGACGCTCAACTCGCAAACCCAAAACACATGGAGCGTCGGCGGACGTAACAACGACGCCGCGCCCATTTCGTTCCCGGCCTCCAACTTGCCCGAATATACTCTCGCCCCATTCTGGACGGTCGGGTATATCTTGGGTGCGGGCCAACAAGGGATCTATTACCAGGTCGACACCATCGACGACGGCAGTAGCAGTGGCACTGGTGTTCCACGCTACGGTGTTTCCATCGAATGGTATTTCAGCCATTATACCCAGGACAATGCCATCCAGCATGCCATCACGACCTACGATACGGGCGTCCCGGGCGTCTGGACAACTTACTTTTTCGCCACGGGCTCTGCCTCCCAAGACAACGGCGGGCTTCGTCAGACTGTCGGTGGCCAGGGAAGCTCGTCCAGCAGCTCCCAGTTTTTCAATTATTGCCGCGGCCAGGCTGGCTGCGTTGGTGCCGGTGGGAAACTCGTCTTCGATACGACTCTCTTCGATGCCTCCCAGGTCGCCAATTATACGGCGGGTTATTTCACCCCGGCTAATGTCGCGCCTGGGTCGTGGTCGTGGTCGACTATTCCGACTGGTACTTAGGTACCTTCCATATTCATCAGAGGATAGGTAGCTTCTAGCATCTGGCTTTTTGTACTGTAGCGTCTCCAGGGAGAGCTCGGTTTCTATTCAACTTGGGTAGAATCCATGTACCACACTGGACGTATACATGAATGAATTTTGAGTTACAAGGTACCGTAGAACCCTGTCGGTTGATGGTGGACAGTGGTGCTACGTGTTGGAGACTTTGAGAACCTTGGGCCTAAAGATTCTGTTGTTGTCGGTTTAGGAAGGATGCTTTTCGGCCAACACTTTGCCACAGGGCTATGGTACGGTACTGTCCAGTTCGTGGTAGTTATAGTTTCAATCAGAACCTAAATTATCTCTGCTCAAAGAGCATCGACGGGGCAGTGGATACTGGCCCCTTGGTTCTGTTCGTTTGGTTGTGATCTGGTCTGTAATTCGTGACATTATAATATGGGCTTCTCTCGGCTTGCAGAGCACTGCGAAGTCAGGGTCCGAATACTGATTCCATCCTACAGGAGTCCACGAGTTGGCGCAAACAGATCTGATCCTTGGTAGCTGATCCCATTTGCTCAGATATCTATATCATGCAGATAGGCCGTGTCTCCTTGCCAGGAATCAAACCGGTTGGATAAATGCTCAACGCTAAAATAATTTGGGATTTCCAGACAGACCCCGTTCTGCAGAGCCTTGCAAGAGAGAAAGGAAGCTAGAGGGAAAGAAAACGCAAGTAGCAGGCACAAAGGGGGGTATCTCATCTCATATCTCGGCTCGAGAGAAACTGGCTGATTTGAAGCAAAAATTACATGACAATCTGAGGAGGAAAGGTCAGTCAGTGTCTCAGTCGAAATGACATGGATTTTTGTCATCTTCATAGACGCTAGAGTCAGGTCTGGGTCAAAACTTACACATTCGCTCTTATCCTTGCCAGGAGGTACGCCCATCTCATCAAAAGTCTTGGGCCCTTTGCCTGGTGGTCGAGCAGCGGTGGCTGGCAAGGAAGCAGGCTTGGATGGTGGCTGGCCAGCACCGGAGCTGTTCGGTGCATTGTTGGCTGCTGGTCTGTTCGCAGTCTGCTGTGCAGACGGCACTGGTGTTCTGTTTGGAGGGGTCTGAGTAGTCGGAGGAGGGCCACCGTAACCTCCTGGCCCAGGTCGAGAGTTCACCGGCGGGGGTCGACTTTGAGGATAGTTCTGCTGCTGTGCAGGCACGTTGGGCCGAGAAGCCGGACGAGAAAGGTTGCTAGGTGTAGGAGGCTGGGGTTTGCCCATATTTGTCGTTCCATTGACTTGCTGTGGGCGGGGTTGGGGTTTTCTCTCCTCAACGGGAGCTGAGAAGCCGATATCAAGCATGGGAGGCGTGGGTGGTAGACTGGCTGCTCGAGGATCAAGATACGGCGATGTGCCACTTGCCTTTGGCGGTGGCCGCATCTGCGATCCTCCAGGGCCGGGCTGCCTTCCAGATGGGATGCGTGTGCCTTGGCCATAGGAGCCCGATGATATTCTTGAGTCACTTGTAGAGTGAGGTCGCTGTTGCGGCGATATATGTGGCTGTCCGTATGCATCAGGTCGAGGTCCACCTACCGTGGCGGCTGAAGCAGGTCGAAGATTAGGGTTGATGCCAAAGGCCGAGGTTGGTCGGAACTCTGAGGCATGGCTGGCCATTGGCATACCGGTGTTGTCAGTCGGATAGGGTGCAGCACTACCGGGCCGCGTTGTCGGTGGTCTCTGGGGGTTGAGGGAGAGGCGAGAAGGGTCAGGCATGTCGATGATAGATGGGCTATGCTCCTCGGAAACGGTTGGCATTGCTGGTAACGTAGGCAAGGTAGGTAATGTAGGCATGGGGGGCAAAGGAGGTGCTTGCACCCCTCCAATGATCGAGCCTCGCTGCTGGCGAATCTTCGACAGAGCAATCTTTTCATGATCCTTCCGAGACAACGTTTTGGATCTGGAAATGGCTTCAATCCTCCCCCCAGCATCCTGATTGCCCCCTTGCGATGCTTTCCGGTACCACTCTTTGGCTTGCTCAAAATTGACTGGCACATAGATACCAACCTCGTAGAAGTAGCCCAGGGCAAACTGTGCCGTTGCAAGGCCAGAGAGCGCCGCACGTTGAGCATACGTGAAAGCCATCTCTTCATTCTTGTCAAAAAGGCCTTCATGGCCGCAGAGAAACCACTTGCTGATGGCCATCTCGGCATCGGGCTCACCCTGCCTAGCTGCAAGTGCGTTGTAGTGCAAAGAAAGCGCGGGGTCAAAAGGACATCCAAGCTCACACAACTCATAAGCGGCTCCCATCTTGACCTGCGCCTTGGCAAAACCCAGATAAGCGGCCTTTTCAATGTTGGTTTTCGCCGCTGCCATGTCTATCGGCAAGTAGCTCTCGGGTATCTGTATCTGTGGCATTTGGTGAGCTTGAAGCATCCCAAAGACGTAAGCACCTTGCGGAGCATTTTCATCGGCCGTTTGGGCGGAGGCATATATGAGATTGAGGCCACGTTCATAGTCCTGCGCTTGTCCGTGCTGGCCAAGAAGAGTCATCATCCCCAATCGGTAACAAGCAGCAGAGTCTCCAGCATCTGCCCCTTTCTGGTAATATTTGATTGCCTTCAAAGCGTCATTGGACGATTCGAATTGCATGCCAATCCTGTAATCGGCGCGGATGTAGCCTTTCTCCGATGCTCTGGAGTAACAATCAAAGGCCTCTCTCTTGTCGATCCGGTGACCGAACTTGCCGAACTCGAGCCACATCCCTCTCATGAATTCAGCTTTTGGATGATGTTGGTCTGCCAGAAAGTTCACGATTTTCAGCGCATCTTCTCTTAGGGTATGCTCGACGCGAGGCGTCCGTGACCGAGGAGCTTGTGCGAGTGCTACTCTTTCCTCGTTCTGCTGACAGACTTCCACGTAGGACAACGCATCCTGCGCCCATGTCAACTGAGTTTCAGGATCATTGCAAGCCAGCACAGCCGATCTCGCCGCTTCCAATGTCGCTTCTTTCTGCTCGTCCGTAGGTGGGATGTTGGGGGGAGGGTTTCGAAGAATAGGAAAGGGAGAGAAGTTGGGTTGCTCTCTTTGAGGCACAGGGCTGGTTTTCTGGTGGTATGGCTCCTGCTGATATGGTTGGGTCTGGGAATTGTTTGGGGCCATTTGGTCCTGTGCGAACTGGTTGTTGACCACCTGCTGCACCGACGGCCAGAATGTGCCCTGGTGCATGTATTCTGCCGATTGGGGAGAGTAGACTGATGGAGAAATTGGTGGAGGGTTCGAAGCTGCCCTTTCCATTTGGGCCACATTCTGCTCAATGTTGGTCGGAAGTTCATGGATGCTGTTGAACGTCAGCACATCGTCTTGGACCAACAAGCGTGACATACCGGTTGGGGGTCGGTTGAATTAGTTCAGGCATGTAATAAGAGTCATCGCCTCCTGGCACGAATGTGGCCGCTGTATTGTAACTCATGGCTGCGGTGAGCAAGGACTGGAGCCTCCGCTTTGTCTATATCTCGAAATGCAGCTTCAAGGCCGCCTGAGATTTCCTCGAGCGCCAGGATTCCGTCGACCCTAGAGGGTAGGTACGCTTCGAGAAGGACAGGAGTGTCCCCTTATGCTTCAAAAGACCGTTGGACAGAGAGACGATGCTTTGTAGAAAGTGTGTCCTTCAGCACACGCGGGTAGCGCGGGGACCTGGGGGACACGGGCTTACGCCCGGGGTATGCGGTCAGGGCGGGCGACGAAGGACAGGTTCGCAGTTCGGTATTTAGTGCCGACATATCTTGTCATAGAGAAGGGAGGCAACCATTACCAGTGTTACCTGGCTTTAAGAGCAGCGAAGGCAAGGCGACATGGCATGGTGGTGACCGTTGTGGACTGCACGATTGATGTTGATGATGGCAAGAGGACAGACAAGGGCGGGCGCAGCAAGGCTGCGAGTGTGACAGTTGTGGAGTATTGGTTCCAGTTTGCGGTCTATTCCTAGGGCCGAAAGGGCACTTAAGGGCCGACGCATGCGTACCTAAACGAGCCCTCGTGCCGCTAATTTGAAGCGCCCCTTACCGGCTGCTCATGCCTATAAGTGTCCAATGGGAGCGGCCTCAGCGGGGACGACGGGGTCCTTAGGGGCTAGGTTGCCTCCGCCATTAACAAACAGCTGATTAGTATCCCACTGATGGTTTAGTTAAAAATGGGTGCCTGCGCCGAGAGCCTTGTACACGGCCACAGCCCGTTCCCTCATCCATTTTTGGAATCTGTCTGTTGTCATCAAAGGCCAATTAATCTTTCAAGCAAGTTGGACTTAGAGGACCAATGGACAGGCAATGATTGTCGCTCGCATAGTGGCTCTCGGTGAACCTTGACTATCTCGTTTTCGTGTTGACTCTTTGTCGATAATGGACATTTCTTGATCCTTGTTTTTGCGAAAGCGAATGCGCGTCAAACACGCGTTCCAATCTCGCAGATGGAGACTTCCTTCCAGAGAGGAGCCACCCATTCCGAAAAAAGTGGCTTCAGGGGTGATTTCACAGCACATGACAAGAGGACGCCTGCACTGGCCGAATATCCATGAATTACGATGGAGTCCAGCGAGGCAAACTTCTGCCATCCCTACCAACCTTATGACATACAGCTGGAGTTCATGACACAACTGTACCGGTGCATCGAGGGGAAGAAGGTAGGCATCTTTGAATCTCCAACCGGTACAGGAAAGTCTTTGAGTTTGATATGTGGCGCCTTGACTTGGCTCCGTGATCATGAACGCCGTGCCCTCGATAGCACGCTAAAGGCGGAGAATAAGGATGCGCAAGACGACTGGCTGTTGCAGGCTGAAGCGGATGCCCGCCGTCGCGAATTGCTTCTTGCCCGGGAAGAACTGGAGCGGAGACTTGCCACGCTTCGCGAGGAAGAGGCTCGTCAGAAGCAGCAGAAGTTGGAGAACCGGTCTGCCAAAAAAGCGCGCCTTGTCGGCGGAACAGGGCCAGAGAATCATGCAGATGATGAAGAATTTCTGGTCGCAGACTACCACAGCGATGAAGAGGACAGTACCAAAGTTGAGACCGCCAGCATTGGCTTCTCTAGTTCTACTCAAGCTCTGCTGGACAGATTACAGAAACCAACAAAAGAAGAAGTCGACCAGCCAGAAGAAAATCGGCTAAAAATCATTTATTGTTCGCGCACTCACTCCCAGCTTACTCAGTTTGTGAACGAGTTACGACGTGTAAAACCTCCCTCGTCGATTCCGTCAGCATTTGATAACCTGAGACCGAGCACCGACCTGGAGGAGCGTGTGAAGCATCTCCCCCTTGGATCGAGGAAGAACTTGTGTATCAACCCCAAAGTTGCACGCCTCTCATCCACTACGGCGATCAATGAACAATGTCTTGAGCTTCAGAAGCCGGGAACCGCAAAAGACAAGAAATGTCCGTACTTGCCGTCCAAGGAAGACAGACAGAGAATGGAATCCTTTCGCGACAAAGCCATTGCACAAATCAGGGACATCGAAGACCTTGCTCATCTCGGCAAGAGAATGGATCTGTGTCCGTATTATGCTTCTCGCAGTGCAATCACGTCAGCTGAAGTACTTACCCTGCCCTATCCTCTCCTTTTACAAAAATCAGCCCGCGAAGCACTGGGCATCTCGGTCAAGGACGATGTTATCATCATTGATGAAGCCCACAACTTGGCGGATGCTATTGCAGAAACGTTCTCTGCGGCCTTACGGTTGAGTCAGCTTGATCAAGCTGTGCATCAAGTTACTGCGTATGCAGTGCGATTCAAGAATCGCTTGAAAGGCAAGAATCGAGTTTACGTAACCCAAGTCCTACGGCTGTTAAACTCGTTTACAGACTGCCTCCGAAGCGTGGGAGAGAAGTCACACATGAAGGATGTAACTGTCACAGCCAGCCAGCTGATGTCCGGTAAAGGCGTGGACCAGATCAGACCACACAAGCTGATGCGGTATTTGCATGAGAGCAAATTGTGTCACAAGGTCGAATCATACACTGAAGTTCAAAAGAGTGTGGAGGGCCAGAACCAAGGCAAAGGCGCGTTGATGCAGTTCCAGAATTTCTTGTCACTTCTGATGAATCCCGATGATGAGGGCAGATTTTTCGTCGTTCGCCAGGATGGCGATATCACCGTTCATTATACGTTGCTCGACCCCAGGGAACATTTTCGAGATGTGGTTGAGGATGCTCGAGCAGTCATTCTAGCAGGAGGAACAATGTCACCCATGGCTGATTATGCCAATTACCTGTTTTCCTATCTCGACAAGGACAGGCTCGAGACTTTCAGCTTCGGTCATGTCGTCCCGTCCAGCCATCTTTTTGCTCAACCGGTTGTTCAAGGGCCTTCAGGATCCGAGTTCGATTTCACATTCGAGAAACGCAGATCAGAACAAATGATCTTGGAACTGGGCCATCTCGTTTCTCGAACATGCAAAATCGTGCCAGACGGGGTTGTGGTTTTCTTCCCGAGCTACGATTACCTCGCCCAAGTTGTAGCTGTCTGGCAAAAACAACCACCTGCCCTACCTCTGCTGCAATCGTTAGGAAAGACCAAGGTAACATTCCAAGAGTCTAAGGGCGTCTCTGTCGATGAACTCCTCAGAGATTATGCAAACGCGGTGGACTCGGGTAAGGGAGCACTTTTGCTGTCAGTCGTTGGCGGGAAGCTTTCCGAAGGGATCAATTTCTCGGACAAGCTCGGCCGAGTGGTTATCGCAGTTGGTCTTCCTTTCCCGAATGCAAACGGGGCAGAGTGGAAGGCAAAAATGCAGCATGTCGAATCACTTCGATATCAACAATGCAGGACAGAGTCCATTCTGCCTGAGAGCCAGTGGCAGATTGAGGCAAAGAGGGCAAGCCGGGATTTCTATGAGAATGCTTGTATGCGCGCTATAAATCAGAGCATTGGCAGAGTGATCCGGCACAGGAATGACTATGCGGCAATTATCATGGTCGACCGACGGTATGCAACGGACAGGATCAGAACAAAACTACCGAAGTGGATTCAAGGTAGCATAGGCAGTGATGCGAAGTCGTGGGACGAAATTGAAAGGGGCCTGGTAGAGTTCTTTCGTACAAAGCCGAGATAGAGAGCCAGAGCTGTGGAAGAGCGCACTTCAATCGGTGCGCAAAAAGCTTAGCTAAGGTTATAACACAGTAGAAGCATGCACATTAATACTCGCATATCTTTGTTGCACATATTCTCAGCGAACAGACGCCTACCCACCTAAACTTGAAGACACCTGCATCTGGCTGAAGCAGGTAGTGGTGATCCTCGGGTTCAGGTCCAAGTTCAAGTTCAAGTTGGTTATGGTGTTTTGCGCCTCGGACTGTAAAGTTCCACCGCATCCGCACCAGCACAACTTTATGCCAAGATTTCAGGCTACTAATCCCAATCAGGATCTTGGCGCACAACCTGCACTTTCAACTCTTCCGTTGAAGTGTCGACGGATCGCAGTTAGAGATCAACCACGACAGCTTCAGTCTCAACACCGCCAAAATGCCTACGAGACTGACGAAGACCAGAAAACAGTGAGTACAGTCCGCCTGTATCTCCCAGTCGACGTCCGACCATACCGAAGCGGCTGTCGCAGACCGAATTGAGAGCGCTGCAACTTTTCGACAATGAACGAGATCTTCGACCCCTCCAGCTTGCAAATTAATCAATCATTCTGTGCCTGGAAATCTCGCCTCTCTTTTCAACAGGTCGACCGACAGCCGCTTCGGTTCAGGATGTTGGGAGCTGTTGAATAAAGAAAGTATTGGGCTGACTTTTGAATCTCAGCCGCGGCCACGTTTCCGCCGGTCATGGTCGTGTAGGAAAGCACCGCAAGCACCCAGGAGGTCGTGGTCTTGCTGGTGGTCAACATCACCACAGAACCAACATGGATAAATACCACCCTGGGTACGTTTCCATTGCGATTTGAGAGGTCGTGGAGGCCATATTTCCCCTCCCGTACCCTTCGGTGAAGCTTGGACGGTGTTGCTAATATCCTCTTAGTTACTTCGGAAAGGTCGGTATGCGACACTTCCACCTTCTGAGAAACCACTACTGGAAGCCGACGATCAACCTCGACAAGGTCAGAATCCATATGCGATACAAAAACAGATTGAACAGAAGACTAACATGATCATTGCAGCTCTGGTCGCTTGTCCCTGAGGAAACCCGCGATGCCTACATCTCCGGCCAGAAGACCGATACCGCACCAGTTCTCGACCTCCTCCCTCTCGGATACTCCAAAGTTCTCGGAAAGGGCCGAATCCCAGAGATCCCGATCGTTGTGCGAGCGAGATGGTTCAGCAAGGAGGCCGAGCGAAAGATCAAGGAGGCCGGTGGTGTTGTCGAGTTGGTTGCATAAATGGGGCTGTCTCGAGATGTTTATGACTCGGAGTGCAAGGGCACTGGATGGGTTTGACGTTTGCAGGGAGGGTTGATTCCCAGCATGCATTTCATGCAAAACTTAGAATGCCCGAATTGAGTAGGCATCGGCAACAAAATCCACAATGAGCGATTTCACATATCGGTACTCTACGATTGAGGCAGAAACAAGCAGGGAGCGAACGCCTACAAAGCTCATGCCGCCCACTTCTGAAGTGGTTGCAGAGGTAGCCCTGTGAAAGACCACAATTTGCCAGCGCCCTGCAAACTACCTACCTAGGTAGATACCACAATCTGTATCTGCATTCCGCACCCTGTAGCAATTACTTACCTACCTGTATCTTCTACTACTAATTACCCATACGGTCGAGGCAGAAAAAGTCCGATCACGTGATCACTCGACTCCGGCATAAAATTGTACTTTAGCCTGTAGTCAATTACCTAAGCACTACGCGTAAATTGAAACGCGTCGAGACCCGAATGACCGTGGCACGTGTACCGGGTTCAGAATGTACCTATCTACGGTCCTGTCGAGGCATTGAAGTAGTTCTAGCTGCAGACTATTCCCGAGCTATTCATAACCTTGGATGTCTTCACGCACGGGAGTCCTGATGTCCTATATCGCGCTCTTGCATTAGAAATGGACGACTCCATTCCACTATTAGACACGCTCAAAAGGAAAACCATACAATCGCAAGCAGATGCGCTGCGAGGGATCCTAAAGGACTTCGAAAGGAACTTCGCAGCGGCCAACAATGGCCGCAAGCCTGGCAAAGAGGACATCAAGGCCGACGCGACCATTGCCGCAAAATACAAGGAGTACAACAAGATACGGGATGTTTTGGCAGGGAAGCTGAGTCTCGAGGCCTTGAATGCTCCTCCCGCCCCTCCTGCTCATCACTCTCGACGGAGGCATACTCGGACCGACAGCGCGATCAGCCTGACGCCTCGACGACCGCGAAACGGAAACGGCACCAAGGACACTCCGTCGAAGGCGCGTCTGCATCCCAACGAGATCGATCCATATGATGCACCGCCTGCATCAGCGTCGCCCAAAGTCATCCTCAGCGCCATTGGCCCTACACCGCGACGGGACGGGACTGTCCTGGGGATATTCGACCTGCTACCTAGTTCTGGGTCGACGGTCAAGACCACGATTTCGCAAGAGACTCCGGCCAACAGGAAAAGGAAGATTGACGCTCTTGTTGAGGCACAAGATGAAAACAGAAACTTGAACCCCAACCTTACAATTGCGCAGACACCAAGTCACAGACGGAGGAGCAGTCGTACCATGGACGGTGGTGTCGCAGAACCCCTTCCGACGACCACGACCACTCCACGGTCATGCCTCAACACGGGAAGACGATTACAACACTCCAAGACACCGGTAAGCGAAGGCAAGAAGTTCATGCTGAACCATTTCTTCGCGACGCCCAGTGCCGTCCGCTTCGCGACCATGATCCACGACGATACTGAAGAACCGGATCATGATGTCGCAGGAACACCGGCCAAGACTCCTCTACGAGACACCGTTCTCGGTCTCTCGCCATCGTCAAAGCACGACACCACCCCGCCTTACTTGAAACGATCTTTCTCCTTCAAGGAGAGGCTGCTGTCCGCCTCAACCTCGGCAGGCTCTACGACCATTTCGTCGTCTTCACTAAAGCATGCTGGTGTAACTAGTCCGACTGCAAGCAGAGCTGGTCCCCGAACGCTACGTCAGGCAAAGTTCGGCCCCAAACCCTTGAGCCAGATGATTGCGGAACTTCAATGTCAAGACGAGAGTCAGACCCAGAAGCAGAACCAGGGAGCAGAACAAGTGTATCATGATGACCAGGAGGACGATGACGACCTTGAAGCTCTGCGAGAACTCGAATCGAATGAAGTCAATGTCCTCATTGGTGATAGCCAAGTGGGAGCGAACGGAAATCAGGCCGATCACAGCCTCAACCTAGAGCCTGTCAGAACGTACAAGAAGAAGGGACAGAAGAGAACAACAAGACGGGTCATAATGAGGCCTGTCAGGATGAAACCTGCTGCAGCTCCCAAGTTTGTAGCTGCCGACGATGAGGAGGACGACGATGACGAGAATGAAGACCCATTAGCAGTGAGCAGTGAGCATGGTGATCACCGAAACCGCAGTCACGTCTCCCGAGTCGCTGAAACACAGATCGTTTCGACCGGTGTCTCTCAATCAGAGCCGGTTAGTGCAGAAGATCCCGACTTTGATTACTTGATTAGTCAAGCAGAGCAAGGAGGCGACTACATCGATACCGAAGACGAGTATTTACCTGAAGAACAAGAGGGAGGAGAAGATCTCGACCAGGCGAGTGCAACTCCTGGACGAAAGGGAAGCTCTAGCACAATTTCAAAAGCGAAGTCCACAGTCAAAGGCAAGAAAGCTTCTTCGAACAACAGCAACAAGAAAGGGTCTGCAAATGCAGACGGCCAAGTTGGGACGGCCAGGACGATCGACCCCAACGCTTACTCGCACATGAATTTCCGAAGCTTGAAGATCAAGAATAAGAATTCAAAGGCCAAAGGGCGTGGACGATTCGGAAGGGGACGAAGATAGCGGGAAGAAACCCATGCTTTGTTGGATACCTACAGTATGTACCAGGTAGGTAGTGTCTATGCAATGCACTATCGATGCCTGGAAGAAGTGCCCAGGATGATGAATATGTGTTATGTGATGTGATTTGATGCATGATTGCTCAAAAAAGTACTTGAGTGGACGGCAGGCAAGCGTCGCGAACGTTTCCACAATGTAGAGCCTTAGCCGTATGTGGCACAGAGTGGGCATGACACCAAGAGACAGATGCAAGCCAAAAAGAAAAGAAGTTCCGAGTCAGGGATTCTATAGTTGTGAGGCGAGCCTTAGTAGTCTACAACTAACCATCTTGTCCGAGGCGGACCAATTCGTGCAAAAAGTCCTCCCCGTTGACCAACTCGGTGCTACCGTAAACAACTCTTCTGCTGCGCGGCGCGGCGCCAACGCCGCCACCGCCTGCTCCCTGGCCACTGGTCCTCTTGACCCATTCCTGAAGATTGCCGTACTCGTCCATGCTGCCGCCGCCTACCGTGAAGACGATGCCCTCAGTATATCCTTGTCGACGTTGCCCGAAGGACGGGTTGACGCCACCACCAGCAGCCGATTGGGCGCCTCCTCTGGACGAAGCACTAGGCGTTGGACCTCCCGTGGTGCCACGGGCATGGGCACTGCGGGGGTCGAAGTAGAGATAGTTCTCCGTCTTTGCAATGGCCGAGGAGGAGGCTGCCGGAGGATCCATGATGGATTCGACAATCTTGGTGACGGTCAGGTCTCGATTGGCCGGAAGGAAGTTCTTGACCCCGGACACCAGGGCTTCGAGATTCACGTTGCCGAACGTCGACGAGGAGATTTTGTCGGTGAAGTTTTTGGAAAGAGATGACAAGCCGCCGAAGAGAGGGGCCTGTGTGCTCTGTTGCGAAGTCGACACGGTCGAGGCCATCATCGTGCCTCGTGTCTCCAGGCGGACATTCGAAATGTGCTTGATGGCGACAACTGCGTCGCCGACGCCAGTAGCCCGGAGTGCTGATTCAAACTCGGCTAGCTCGGCTTTCGACGGCTCCTTATCCACGCTCAAATACCAAATGATGAAGATCCGTAACTTATCCAGTGGGTTGTTTCCCTTGTCGTCAGACTTGATCAGACTGAGCATTTGATCGGCCGTCTGTTTGGTAATGTTCTCCTCAAGCTGGAAGAAATTGTCCAGCTGACGGTCCTTGATCCCTTTCAAAAGCGCCGTAGCAATATTCATGTGCATGTCCAGCGTCGCTTTTCGCTCCCGTAATTCGGGCAAGAGTGTGATGGCGGCCTTCAGGTGTGCCGCGGACGAGGAGCTATCATTGAGATCCTCGAGGCTATTAACCCCAGTCTTCCTCGTCACCTCTTCCGCATCCGCCTTGTACTTTGTAAGCTCTTTATCAATGTCCTCCGCGACTTGCGGGAATGGTGCACTGGCGTTGCGAGCCCAGAAGAAGTCGCTCGCGTTAAGGTCGTATGCCCGTGGTTTGGCGTTTGGGTTTTCCTCGTCCGCAACATCCACAGTGATGCGGTTCAAATGCATTTTCAAAACATCATGGACAAGCGATTGGTATGTCCATGAATGCGAAAGCATCGGCACCAAGTCGATATTCCGGTCCAGAATGATCAACACCGGCCGTGAAGGAGCCGAGTATATATTGGCAGAGGAGCCTTTCGAAGAAAACAGATTCTCTTTCGAATTGAGAACGTGATCTCTCAGTTTGCGATCAAGTTTTGTGGCAATCATCTTCGCTAACTCGGTCTGCGGACACCGTATTATGGGCACCGATCCCATGGTGACACTCACACTGAACAGCCCGCTAACGATCCTGTCAATGGCAGCATCCTGCACTTCAGCCTCCGCTTTGGCACTGTTGAACGTCCAATAGGTCTCTTTGCCCATTCCCAGGCTGAAGAGATCTGGCTCGGCGACAATGAAGTTTAGGTATTGGTCATACACCTGGGCAATGCTGTCGGCTGTATTGGTTGCTGCAATCTGCGCGGCGAAGTCTTCGAGGAGGGGGCGAGGTATGGAGGAGATGAAGTTAACATAGGCCGGTGTGTACAGCCCGCGGGCGAGGTCGGAGCAAATAAGGCGGATATTTTCGGCGGTGGGTTCGACAAGGTAGAGTACAGGTACGTCGGGAATTGGGTATCGAGTCGTGTTTATGTTTCTGTAGCAGCACAGTCAGATAGTGCTCCTGCGGAAGGCCACAGACGACGATTCAAAAGATGAGGAACTGACAAGTGTATCGTGACTCCCTTGCTCCTTAGATCGTTGACTCTCAGCACGCTGCTTATGATATCTCGCCCCAAGTTGTCGAAGACCAAAACCTTCCATATCGGATCTCCGTTCTCGTTGACAAGACCACTTTTCTGCACGCCATCCGCCGACTCAGCATCCGGAGATTCTTCTTGATTGAGGTTGAGCAGTCGCTCGATCGCGGCTGTTTGAAGTCAGACTTGTATGGCCTCCAACTACCCCAATGAATGGCGTATATAGTGCTGCTCACCTATCTGACGGTCCCGCAGGGTATGGCCACGGCCGGCCATGGTGAATGTGAATAGGATTCCGACTGTGATCTGCTACAAAACGCGAGGGAGTGCAATTGGCACCAACTCCTCATCTTGAACTCACAGCGCCATATGGCAAGGACATGCTGACTGGCGGATTGGATGCGAAGGGTGTCTGGCGCAGGACGTTGGTCACAACTTGAACTGGAAGAACATGGGCAGGACAGGTCGCAAGCATACACGGTGGTGGTGTTAGTGCCCAGTGGGCAGGTAAATCTGTCATTTCCGCACGCGCTATAACCACACCATTCCGAATGCGGCTAGACCGTTCTGGTTTGAGAACTTCAAAGTCAACGTCGCTTTGGCCCTGTTTCTTTCTCATCATCACAAACAATCCTCCCTGACTTTGCACTCTCCTTCCGACTCTCTTCACTCTGTAATCGCTCTTCTCGGCACTATCTGGACGTGGTCTGTAATAAGTGACAAATTTGAATGATCTTTCATTTTGCTTCACGCATGGGCTGGAATCGGGGTGTACGGTTGCCGTGACTGAGGCGCGTTTGCTCGTCATCTGATATTCTGGCTCGTCCAAGAAAAGGCATCGGTGGCCCATAAACAAGTTCTCTGTGACGGTGCATGAATGGGTTTTAGTGCCTGTGTCAGGCTGGTCAATACTAGTGGAGTGTCTTCGTTGGGCGGTGGTTTGCGATACTACTCAGTCCACATCTGCAAGGCTCGGGACTCGAAGATTGTGGTTTAACAGCCTTGTTCCGTGCCAGGTGGCCTACAAAGGAGTCGACATCGGCAGTGTCCGGACAGCTTGCACTGAACAACACCTTAACCTAACCTACTTCTCAGCCGGCATAAATTTCCAAGTCTATTCCGCTCGCAATTGCAGGGCGGCTGCCTTGCGGCTGTTGGTACGGCAGCGCGCGTTGCGGCCTGTGAGTGGCAATTCTGGGCGTAAGCCAAAAAGTCTTCCGCCAACTTCACTCGGATCGGCTGCACCACAGATTGCACGTGACCTCTCCTGCAGGCCATAGGTATCGAAGTACGGTCACGTGGAATTCGTCGCTCACGTGACATCAGATCTACCTCATCCTCCCCTGATCTCGCTCTCAATTGCGCTGTCATGGATTCCTCCACCAACGGGCCCATGAATGGTTCTCAACCTGCAAACAACCCATCCTACACCTTTCTCGAGAGTGTACACAATTTTGCGGCGTCTGACGCACTCCAAGATGGCGGTGAAGACTACAGTCAGTACTTCGACCCTGCCCTTTTCGACAACACCACCATCGGACCCGGCTTCTCTCAGCAACAACAGACTATGTCGCAGAATTTCAACCCCAATGTGGCCAGGCAGTCAAACAGTCCTGCATTACCTCAGTACAATCCATCGCAACAGAACTACTCGATGGGCCAATACCAGCAAGGTCTCTATGATTCTCGACAAATGCCCCAGCACAACTACGATCCTGGGTTCTATGCACGGCCTTCAGCATCGCCTGTGGGATTTGATAGCAGCTACGGCTATCACGCACAGATGCCGTTCAACGGTCAGAACTATGATACCCAGCAAGCACACATGCCAGCGCGCCAGACACCAACTCCTACCGCAAACTATCAACCAAGACAGCAACAGCCATCGCCGTACGTTAACATCGGACCGCGTCCATCACAGCTGTCGCAGGTACGAGTATGGACCGAACTTCCCAGCTCTGGCATATTTACTGACGCCTATGGCAGAGCCCTGGAATGATGCAGTATCCAAGTTACCAGGAGCAGCAAAGTCAGCATACATCAAATCCGTTCGTGGACCCTTCGCTGTTGACAGCCAGCCAACTAAACAATCCTAACCGTAAGTATCTTACTATATCTACTTAGTATACTCGAGCCTTGCTGACCCGTCACAGAACCCGGCTCGAGTTTCCAACCCCACCAGCAGTTTATTGCTCCCTCGTACTTCAAGCCTGGCTCCACCATTGATCCACAGTCACTTCAGGGCCAGCAGCCTTTTCAACCTGTTCAACAGCCTCAACAGCAGTCCTTACAAATACCGCAGTCAGGTACGTCATCTTCTGTCTTTGGCTGCCATAGACTGACCGTATTAGCACCTGTAATCCAACCAAAGCCGGAGAAGTCCTCAACATCAAAGCCTGCTGCCGCCAGGAAGGCCAACAGTGCGACCAAGAAGAATGGTTCCGCTGGTCCTAAGGCTGCAGGTCAGCCGTCCGGAGTGGACTCGGACCCGGATTCGGATGACGATTTGGTCATCGAAGACCAGGAGCCTCCCGAGACAACCCCGGCACTGCTCTGCGTCTCCAAACCAACTGATGAACGTGGCAGAGCTTTGTATGATGCGGTCCAAGCAGTCTGGTACCCTCGTAACAAACCAGTTCCGGCCGAGAAAATCCGAAGTGCGATCGCCGCTTTTGGCGAAACTGTGAGAGGTCTCAGAGACGCCTGGAAGGCCAAGAATGATAGTTTGAGAAAGGCTGAAATCCCCAACTCACCGACAGCTTCACAGGCAGGGCAGTTGAAGGAAGATGTAGCCCGTTATCGACAGGTTATGGAGAGCGTTATGGCTCGATCGTTACTCTATGGACACCCGGCAATTGTCAAAAGGTATGTTCTCGCAAGAATCTCCCCCTCTCTATGTCACTTCGTATGGGCCCCGTACTCGATATGCCTGTATCCCGGTATACTGGAAGATCTTGTCGTGGCAGATGCCTTTGCCAAGAGCCACCAGAGCTTCTGTACGCAAGGCGCAATAAGTACACCTAGCCGGCGCAAATCAAGAACGCGCAATATCCGTATTCATAGCCATACTTTTATAGATAGTGTACAACCCGCCGTACTATGTGACGTCCAGCCGATTTTGCTGGTGGCCAGGAAAATTATACAGCACCATGAATCCTCCATCTAAGACCTCTACTGATCTGCTCTCAGACTAGGTGACAATCCCATCACGATGGCCGCCCTATATTCTTTCATGCTCGACAGATTCAATGCGGGTGACTATGACAGTACTGTTGTCGCCGCGATACTCAAGGTGTGTTCAGCCGTATTATGATTGGTTGGATTCTGCTAACACTGGTCAGTTTGTGGTTGAGTTCAAAAGCCTGGATACCGAGATGCTGGAGATGACAAAACTTTCCAAAATCCTGCAGCGTTTGACCAAGAAGGCCACTAGCGACATCAAGACCATGTCGCAAAGCATCCTGGACAATGCTGTTACTGCTTCTGCCGAAAAGGCTGCAAAGGGCGCGGATGGAAAATCTGAAAAGCCTGCATCTCCCGCGGCAACAGGCAACGCCACTGATGCAGCGCGTAAAGAAGCTGTGGCAGGGGTGAAGCGAGCCAGAGAAGCAGATTCGGCGTCCTCCGCGGTGCCGAAGAAAGTGGTCAAAGTAATTCCCCAATCTTCAAAGCCTTTAGCTCTGCAAAATGCCGAGCGAAGGAAAGCCTTGGACGCTGCGCAGGCCTCTAAAGGCAGCGACAAGTCTGCTACTGGCACGACCGCTACAGCGGCAGCAAAAGCCAAAATTGCTGTGACGGCACCTCCCAAATCGGCCGTCTTCTCATCGCTCATGTCGGCCTCCAAGAAGCCAGGGACCTCGATCGCCGCCCGAGCAGCAGCCGCGGCCGCCGCAAAAGACAAACCTTCAGCAGACGGGAGCCCTGCCGCTAATAGTGCTGCTTCAGCAAAAAAGGAACAGCCAAGGAAAGAGTCTCCACCACGGAATGGCGGGCCCATAGCGGCTGCCAAGACAACTTCTTCGTTTCTGGGCTTGTTGGCTGATATGGAAAAGAAGCCTGACAAGGAGGTCAAGAAGGAAGCGGAGAGGCCGAATGAAACCGAGGAAGAAAGGGCCCAGCGCCTACGCAAGGAAGCCCGCCGAAAGCTCCGTGTCTCGTGGAAAGCGGATGCAGAGCTAGTAGACATTCGGCTCTTTACCCACGATCCGGAGGAAGAGATTGGACAAGCTGACAGCCTGAAACGTGATGCTGGTGACACCGGAAAAGAAGGAGAGGCACTCAAAATGCATAAAGATATGGAAGACTTGGGAGAGGACGAGGACGAGGATGCGTTCGAAGAGTTTGAACCGTACACCACGCCTTCCGAGGTTGACTTCAGTGTCCTTAAGGACGAAGCCGATCTGCTTACCATGAATGGCATTAAACATGGCGGGGCCATGAAAGCGGAGAGTCCCAGCAGTGAAGCACAGGATAAACATGAACAGGACACAGTCATGACCATCTATGCGTCTAAAGCCGACCGACCGCCTACACCAAAAGAACCGGATGACACGGCGGAGGATTTCGAACCAGCCGAGCCCGAGACTCCCTTTGGAGAGCCTTCGGAGAAAACGCGCCAACGGGAGACCGAGTATCGTGCCCGACTAGCTCGGAATCAGCCCAATACGAATCCCATGCCTTCCACAAGACTTGATCTAGCAGCGCAGATTCAAGCCATGACGATGGCGCAGACCTCCCAACCACAGTCTACACTGATCCCAGCCGAGCTGCAGCGCACGCTCAGTATGCTTGGCCGGTCCAGTCAAGCGACACCACCTCCTCAGCCCACCACCACCCCAGCTTTGGACATCCAAGCCCTTCTTCAGACTGTGCAGCAGGTCAGCCAAAACCTGCAAGGTCCAATGCAACAACCTACTTACCAGAATCCTGTCCAACCTCCTATTCAGACCACCAACTTGAGTGATCTCTTGGCTTCATTGCAGCAGAGCGCGGCGCCTCAGCCTACTACTGCTGCTCTGGGCTTGGCAGGCAGCACTTATTCAGGCTCTGCGGACGATGCTTCGCGCAAACATGGACGCACAGACTCGAATGACTACGACAATGACGATGGTAGGAAGGGAGGCAACAAAAAGAAGAAGGGTGCCTTCACTGGTGGTGACCAGTCCCGGCCTTACAATTACAAGACTCAACCATGCGCATTCTGGGAGCAGGGCAAATGTATCAAAGGGGACATGTGCACCTACCGGCATGGCGACGAGGACGCTTGAACTGCCACACCTCATCTTCTCAATTGCGGAGCTTTTCACCACTCTGTATTGTATGTACATTACATGATACCCTGGCGAATGGGTCTTGAATGGTGGGGAATGGGAAGGATTCACGCTGATATCCAATGTGTTCTTCTTGCCTGGTGGCTTTCATCGCATTGCATTGCTTGGCAGTTTGGGCTGGAAAGAAAAAGCTAGCAGGCGATCATTAGGTGGCGTTGTTTGCATCGTTGCTTGCAGACGTTGGGGAGCCGGATCTGTTCCATTTGACATGGTCTGGCATCAAAAGGAAGCTGGCCGAATGCCTCTTTTCACACTCCTAAATAAAAATTGCTCGGCCTGCAATGGAGGCTGGGGTTTCCTGATAAGGGCTCCCAATAACGTCGAATGATTTTATTTTGCACTGAACCGTTCAACGCTCTCAAGAATTACGGGCTCCTAACAATTAGGTGCTGCCTACTTCAGAACACCCGTGTTTTTGATAGTAATACTGATGAATTAACACATAACGTCCTAGCCCCGGTGGCACTACTAGTGAACCGCCCAGCTATTATACTACGTTGCACGTACAATAAGGGGTGCGCAGCCTTGCCCCCTTAGCATTGTGGGCGAATCGACTTTCACGTGATCGACCATGAAGATCCCCCTTTTTTTGTCCCCGTCCTGACCCCCTTTTCTTCCACAAACAGCTAATAAAACTAAATAAATAATCAATTTCTCTTTTCCTGCTCGTCAGCCGAAGCGGAACAACGTGTTTGTATGATATGCCAGCCGTATCTGGCCATGACCCTCCTCGAAGGGTGACGGGTCGGGCCAACACAGCAGCAGGGGCGGTTTCGCTTCCGACGCATTTGATCGTGGTGTGCTGTCACGCGATATACTTGGGCGGTAGGGAGAATCAGAGCAGACCTGCCAGTGTCGAAAGCAATCAGCAGGTATTAAACGACAAGGACGAGGAATCTGAGCGCAACAACAATTCCAAGAGTCATCAACATGACAGCGACAATGAGGCCAATTGGCTGATTGAGCCGTTTCAAAAGGGTGAGACGGGGACGTATATCCGGCACATTGAGGCCGGGGTGCGGAAGCTGGCGGAGGACGATACCGCGGTGTTGGTGTTCAGTGGAGGAGCGACGAAAAGGAGCAGAACGGTGAAGTCGGAGGGTCAGGGATATTTGGTGAGTACGAACGAGTCTGCTTGAGTTTCGTCCAGGGAAAGGCCTGCATTTCTTCGCTGTGTTGGTGGAATTACTCTATGTTCAATGTGTTGTTTGGTCTGCGGTTGTGGTGGACTAGAGGTACAGCTTGATGGCCTGGCTGTTGAGCCTAGTACCATGTCTTCTTCCATCTGAGATTCCCCTATCGAAGGGCCAGAGACTGGATTGTTGTGTGCTTTCCACCTGTGGACTCAAATTGCTGAGTTGGTCTGTCATAACCCTGCCTGATCTGCGATGGGTGGGCGGGATGGTAACGGTGATCTGGTATTGATCTCAACTGCAGCAGTACATCACTTTCTCCTCCCGTCGGTTGCAGGCCACGGTCGAGGTGTCCTGGGGATGGTAACTGCTATCGTTGCTCGTCATTTACTTGCTCTGTTTCTTTCCCCAGCTGCTGTTTCCATGAGGATTGCTGGATCGTCACTTGCTGGTGGTGTATCGCATATTGGCAGGCTTCGGCCGTGTGCAGCGCTTGTGAAATGTTGACCCCTTGTCACGTCTATTGTTAATCTCTGGACTGATTCCAATTCGAACCTGCTTGTGAGCTAATTAGGACGTCGCCATCGAGCGCAATTTATTCGATCTCGAAACGTCGCCGCCTACGCTCCGGCCTCGGATGTTCGTCGACCAATTCGCCACAGATTCGTACCAGAACGTCCTGTTTTCGATAATCCAGTTTCACCTGTTTATAAGAGATAGATACGGGGCAGGTCTGTCGTTGTCGTCGTCCTGCTCGACCACGAACGCCACTGACCTGCCAGAATGTCGATATCCGACCAAATTGACCATTATATCACATCGATTCAAGCGGCCTCGCTTCCTAGATCTCCATCTCCCGGCCATGCGTTGGACCGGACAGACGACCTTCATCGGGATCGATCCGCCATTCGACGCTGAGAAAATGGCCGAAATCGAAGCCGGAGATCGGCTGAGAGGGTACGGTGTCTGGGAGAAAGACCTTTATGGAGCCGGAGAATTGTTATCGGCCAAGAGAAAAACTAGGGGCTGGGATATACAGCGGTTTCGTCGCGAAGTACTTGAGCGCTTGCCCTCCGTGGAAGATAGGATCAAGCTGGAGGAATTGCTTTCTTGGAATGGTGGTGAGGATGGAAGGCTTCGTTGTCCGTATAAAATGCCGTGGGAGTGAAACTGAACTAAACCTGAAAACTATTATCATTGCGGAATACGGGTGTCCAGACATATGGACACTAAGGTTCCTGCGAGACAGATAGAGGGGTGTTGGCGTTCTCGAAAATAGCTATACCCAGCACAACGTCGTCAAGATAGGTGACGGGTGGGTGCTACGTCGTTCATGCTGTGCAAGCAGGAGATGATAAACCCGGGGCACAGAAAGAAAACGCAAGAGAATCAAGTTTGCTGTCGAGGATGGGCCACGCACGGCTGGTGCAAAGCACAGCTACGAGGAATAGAGCTGATATCAATCCGTTCGGATTCAGTCAAAACTAGTAGTAGTATTCTAGCTTACACGCAGGCCAATTCTCCTTCTGGAAGGGTCAAGCAATGGCTTCCCAGCTTCATCTGGCCAATGCTCGTATCGAAAGCATCGAGAGTCGGTCTTTCCAGGTTGCTCTCTGGCCAAAATGGGCCTGCTGCTGCCCTGTTGGCGTCGCTAGATGGATGCGCTAGTCGTCATCATCATCGTCGTCATCGTCGTTCTTCTTAGCAGGCTTGTCCTTCGTAAGTTTCATTGGTACGACTTTGGGGGCGTCGCCGAACTGGATGTCTTCCAAACGCTGTTCGCGCAGGATATCGTGGATGACGCTGCTGTCGACAATCACTGGCGGCCAGCTATATTGTTCCCAGATGGCGAACTCGGATGGTTTCTCTGGCTCCTCTGGCTCTTCGGGCTCTTCTGGAGCTTTTGCTGGAACCGAAGCAGAGGATTGTGTAGCCTTGTCGGGAGTTTTGCCGATTTGCTTTGGAACCTCTGGGCCATCTTCTGCAGCTTTGTTTGAGTCCGCTGGTTCGGTTTCCTTCGCCATCTCTGCCTCCTTCCTTGGTTCTGCGGACTGCTTTGGCAGCTCTCCAATCTTCTTTGCCTCCTTCCCATTCTTCTCTGCAATGGTTGCCTCGTTGGATGACTTTGTTGGGTTCTTTGGAGCCTCGACGACCTTGACTGGCAAGTGGGTAGCGATTTCGGGAGTTTCTGCCTTGACTGGGATACCGACCTTCTCCGCAGTGTCTGCTTCTTGAGCAGATGATGTAGTAGTCTTCGGTATCTCTTTCATATTCTCTGGCGCCTCAACCACCTTCACTGGAGCCTCAACTATCTCCTTGTTTGGCATCCCGACACTCTTCTTCGGCATCAGGACCATCTTCTCCGTAGCTTCAACCATCTTTGGCATCTCGGCCATCTTCGCAGTATCTGCCTCCTCCGTAAACTCTGCCGCTAGGTGTTGGGGTGGATGGGTTTTTCCAGGAGAAGGCGGGGGATTCTTTGGATAACGTGCCATCTCGTTGAGTGAGACTGTACGCTGATTGGAAGTAAGCTCTGGAGCCAAAGAATGCGCTTCCTTCTTGGAGGATGCTATTGGCGTCTTTGCTGCTTGGGTGGATGAGATGTGCCTAGATGACTGTGAAGTGAAATGAAGAAGAATTAGAATGGTTGTGTGAGCATTAAACAACGACGCCGAGCAGAAAAAGAACTCACGTGTTGAGCCTCCACGCACACATCCTCGCAGGAGCAGAAAACCTCGTCCATCATACGGTTGAAATCGGCATGAGTCCTGAGCATCTGCCAGTCGCGTTTGTCTTCTTCTTTTGTAATGCGGTACATCCACGGGCCGTCAGAGAGTGTGAAACCATTCCCGACAATGCGAGTGTAAGATACTTCAGAATTCCTCGCGGCTTTGTTGGACAGATCTGTCAATGTCGAGAGGAAATGTGGAAAGCCAATATCATGGCTGACTGCCCCGTTTTGTTCGATATTGGCGATCAGATCAACGTATCTGATGTGGAGCTGCTCTTCCTCAGGTGCCATCTTGTCAGCGCGATGCACAGTCTAGCTCTGGTGCAGACAGGCCTACGCGAGAAGGGTAGTTGAGGAGGAAAAGGCTCAAGAAGGTTCGCGAGATGCTAGAAGTCCTGAAAGTTATCAAGCCCTGCAGCGAAATTTGTGTGACAAACATGTTAGAATAAAGTGTAAAGCCTTGAGAGAAGACGCTGGTAACGCTGGTAACGTGCTATTATTGCCTGGATTATCTGGATGGGGAGGCTGTGATGAAAAGGGGCATCGCATGAACCTGATAGCTCCCGTGGCGGCCATTGTGAACGTCAACCATCTTTGCACTAGGTTGAAACAGGGTGCCCGCTGCCTCGAGTCACTATCGTCCTTACCAACGTGCAGTCGACACAGGTTCAAGTTCAGACTAGCTGAACCACCTTTGCAAATGGGGATTATTCAGTCCATTTTATTGTCGTACGATATCTGCACGCTTCATTGTCAGTTCAAGCGAACGCGACCCCCAAGCAAATTCAGGGTCCTGAGTCTTCTCCAAAGCCCCACTGCTTTGTATAGGCATTGATGACAGTCGCCATAAGTTCTGTCAATATCTGCTCGGATCATACCAACTCTCACACCGCGCAGCTATAGTCAGCAGCCATAGGTGCTGGTTGGTTAAAGCCAGGTCTGAAGCACAGCATGCCTCCCGCTGAGAGGCAGTGCTTGATAGAGACATGCAGGCAGCCTTTTCCATTTGGAGGGTTGAACATGGCTACCGACAACCTCTCAAGCTGGATTTCCTGGCTTATGCCCATACATACTCCCAAGTATCAGCACCGCGCCTGAACGTCCATGCATTGGTGTAACGCAGCGGGTCGACACACAAGCAAACACCTCCGATGAGCATCAGGTAGCTCAGGGCTGTCGAAGGTTGAAAATTGCTCTTTCTTTTCAGGAGAGGAACCTACATTGTGACTGTGCCATCGCCCAGTTGTACTCGACTTCGGCCATCACAAGCCTCAAAGCGAACACATTGCATGCAGACCTGCTTAAGGGCGAGCGTCAGGCACATTCACAATTGCTCACCTGAAGATACACCGTGGGAGCCATAGGAAGTTGATGAACATATTTTGGGATGTCATCTGTCCATTGCGCCTTGGGCTATCATGCCGCTTTGCCAGCAGAGAGTGAGGCTGGCCAACACGCTTTACCCTGGCTCTTATTGGCTGCAGGGACGTTTCGGATCGTGATGACAAGGAGTACTCGACGATTGGATTATTGGGTTTTTGGGACTAAGTGGTGGGAAACGGGACCAGCAAACGCTGCTACGGGACGCGCAGCTTTGGACTCGCTGAAGGCTGCCATATGCTATGCAGGGACGAGTTGTCGTCGCAAGGGGCTCGCCGGGAGAGGTACGCCATCTCCATGGACAAGCTGGAATCAAGGGGACAGCAATAAAGAGACTGGCAAGTGAAGTGCTGTGGTATGTGTTCAGCGGGTCTGGCAGGCGGTCTTTTCGATGCACGTGATGTCACGTGCCAGAATGACGGATACTCGCGGCTGAGTGAGGCTCGCTGTTTCCTCGGAACGCCACTAGGCTGCTTTGGGAAGTCTCTGTCTTGAGTTGGACTTGAGCTTCGACTCCGAACCTGAGAATTGCCATCAAACAGGACGTCCCAAGAATTGACTCACGTTTCTCTGCCTGTTGACCTTTCTGTGTCCCTCTTTGGCGATCATAGCACCCTTGCGACCTTTTGTCGCCTCCTGTCCTGTTCCCAGTCCTCCGAGCGTCTGCTCTCCCGTCTACGATGCTGAAGACATTGGTCCCCCGAGGAAGCCGGTCGCTTCTCTCCTCAAAAGCTCCGTGTCTTGGGCCTGCGAACCTTCGAACAGCCCCGAGCTTTCAGATAGTCTCACCAAACCAGCAAAGAAGAAGGGGCTACGCCTCAGAAGCTTCAGAATATGACATTGTCTTCATTGGAGGCGGTGTCGCAGGCTACGTCGGCGCGATCAAGGCTGGACAATCCGGCTTGAAGGTAGACAAAGGCCATTTCCCTTCCTGCTGTGAAGAGTGCTGACCGTGGAGCAGACCGCTTGTATTGAGAAGAGAGGCACCTTGGGTGGTACATGTTTGAACGTTGGCTGCATACCTTCGAAATCCCTGTTGAACAACTCGCACCTCTACCACCAAATATTGCACGACACGAAAAAGCGTGGCATCGACGTCAACGATGTTAAATTGAACCTCGCGCAAATGATGAAAGCCAAAGATGAGTCCGTGTCCAGTTTGACAAAGGGTGTGGAGTTTCTGTTTAAGAAAAACAAAGTGGATTACATTAAAGGCACTGGGTCGTTTGTGGACGAACATACGATCAAAGTCAACCTGATTGAAGGTGGAGAGACGGAAGTCAAGGGCAAGAACATCATCATTGCTACCGGTAGCGAGTCGACGCCTTTCCCTGGCCTTGAGATCGATGAGAAGAAGGTTATCACAAGTACTGGCGCCATCGCCCTGCAAGAGGTCCCGAAGAAGATGGTCGTCATTGGTGGTGGAATCATTGGTCTCGAGATGGTAAGCAGGAACCCGATCACAACCTTGTCACAATGAGCAGCTTCTGACAAACAGTTATAGGCATCAGTGTGGTCACGACTCGGCTCTGAGGTCACGGTGGTTGAATTCCTGGGACAGATTGGCGGACCTGGCATGGACGCCGAGATCGCCAAGCAGACGCAGAAGATCCTCTCGAAACAAGGCATCAAGTTTAAAGTCAACACAAAGGTCACTAAGGGCGATGCTAGTGGAGAGGGCGTTAAGCTCGAGGTCGAGGCCGCCAAGGGTGGAAAGAACGAAACCCTTGACGCGGATGTTGTTTTGGTCGCCATTGGCCGTCGGCCTTACACCGAAGGCCTCGGCATCGAGAACATCGGCCTGGAGCTGGACGAGCGCAAGCGCCTGGTGATCGACCAGGAATACCGGACAAAGATTCCTCACATCCGAGTGATCGGCGACGTGACATTCGGGCCCATGCTGGCTCACAAGGCTGAAGAAGAAGGTGTCGCGGCGGTTGAGTTTATCACGAAAGGCTACGGACATGTCAACTATGGCGCCATTCCTTCGGTCATGTACACCCATCCCGAAGTGGCGTGGGTAGGCCAGAACGAGGCCGAGCTGAAGGCTGCGGGCGTCAAGTACAAGGTTGGCACGTTCCCTTTCACGGCCAACTCGCGGGCGAAGACGAACCTGGAGACCGAGGGTCTGGTCAAATTCCTGTCGGACGCTGAAACGGATCGCATTTTAGGCATTCACATCATCGGCCCCAATGCCGGCGAAATGATTGCCGAAGGTACGTTGGCGCTTGAATATGGGGCGTCGAGTGAGGATGTGGCGCGGACGTGCCATGCCCACCCGACACTGGCGGAAGCGTTCAAAGAGGCCGCCATGGCGACGTATAGCCAAGCCATCCATTTCTAAGCTTGAACAGGCTGGGGATCTGGGGCATGGTGAACGGCACGCGCCGTTTTCAGGGATTTTGGCTAAATAGCGTTAATGGACTTTTGGCGGCAGTCATGCTGTGGGCGGAGCTGGGGTTGTGAACAGGGCGAATGCCGTCACTCGGCCAGCCTCCAGCCCAGCGCAAGACCCCAAAAACACCTGTAGATTATGAAAATTTGGTTTTTCATTAATTGGCCGCCACCTGAAAACAGGACTAGCTATCATATCACAGTGACAAAAGATGCAACACGTCGACGGCAACGACGTATAAAAACAACCCAGCTCAGGCAGGTATCATACACATTAAGCCTTGCCCGACTTCAACATCCTGCTTATCATTGAGGTTGATCACACCATCGAAGGCGCTGACATGACGCTTCTCTTTTTTTTTTCCCTTTTGGTATTTTTGGCCGTATCGCGTGGTTGCCCGGCGCAACAGCCCACGTGCAAACGCGGGTGTTGAAAGGCATTGCTCCAACAAAATGACAGGCAGCGGGGACATGCGAGAAAAAAGCAGGTCAAATCAGAACGCCGGGTATCTGTCCCATTATGACGCCAGGTCTGCGGGCTCAACACCGCTTCCTGTTTTATCGTCGTGGTAGTTGGGAAGCTCACAAGTTGAAAGCCAGACGCGGGGGAGTTCAAACTCCGACTCCTGCAAAAGATGGTCAGTCAGAATGCCAGCGAGAAATCGTGGGGAAAGTAGTCTCTCAGCATACGTGATGCAGATGTCCGGAGGAGAAGAAATCCTGGCCCGTAGCGTTCCATTCATTTTGTCCAGCGTTTCTCTGCTCACATTTTACACCTGAGACATAGCGGGCGCACCTCTTCTGCCCGTGGTTCTCAGGTTGACACCACCGCTGCGGGCTTCCATCAGCGAGAAGAATAGACTGGCCATCCAGGCGGCCCAAGCGAACCACAGGAACGCCGTTGCGGCCTGGGCTTCGCGACACCGGCCCTCTCGGTCGTGGGCGCCGTTGGTGATCTTGTTATGAAGGGTGTACGACTGTGATACGTGACAAGTTAGTCATAAAATCAGGACTGGTGGTAGGGGAGTGCCGTAGGACGTACGCTATTGCTGCAAGAATGTGCGCCCAGCTCGGCTGCCGTGGCGACGGCGGCGCAGAACAGGAAAATGACATTGAGCGTGTCCAGGACGACGGGGAGGATCGGGTGGCCCGTGAAGCCGTCATTGAAGGCGATCGCGATCAGGTAGAACAGAGACAGCATGCCGAAAGCCGCACAGAACATGTCGTAGTTGATCACCGACGGGTTGCCGGCGAAGGCCATGGCGATGATGTTGCCCACCAGCGACATCACCAGCAGGATGAAGAGGAACTGTAATAGCGCTTGTTGTTAGACAGCTGTAGGAGCTTGGGAGGCTCTTCTGAGTCAAGGACAACTTACCTGTAGCCCTCGAAGGGCGAGGTTTATTGTGCGCGAGACCATTTTGCTGGCTGATCTGTTGGATTGGAGAGCTGGAGTAATGGATGCGCAATTGCGGAAATACTACTGCAGTAGGTGTTTGAAAGGTGTGGTATGCGCTGTGGTTGTATGCAATGCTTGCGCACGAATATCGACGCGAGTATGCTTGTAGCTTGAATGTTACTAAAAGGTTGAATGCGTTTGTGTGTAGAGAGAGAAAAAGTGTAGAAGGAGAACCTGGATTTCGTCCGAGCTGGCACAGGGCAGGTTTGCGGGTGCAGTGATGGTGGAGTTATACGGAAGCAGAAGGATGTGGAATAATAATGACGACGGTGGTGGTGATGCAGGGCGTACGAGCCACCTGGGCGTTTGCTGTGATGGAGCCGCTGAAGCTTTCTTAGGGGCGCTTGAACCTTGAAACGCAGGGTGTTCAGGGCCCACGGGCGAGCCTAACAACTAATAAATACCAATTCCAGGCGATGGAGCTCGGGGCACTGACGCAGCGCCCACAACAGCAGCTTCAGCTCCCGGAACCCGAACAACGACGTCACCGCATGGGCTGTTTCGTATTGCATCCGGGTCCCCAGGAAGCACTTGATCACAGCGGCTGAAAACTACAGTACATTGAACTGGAAGTTCCGGGCGTCCTTCTAGTAGCTCATGATCACTGTTCATATATTTCTCATAAAATAAATTCGCTAGCTCCAGGAACCGGGCGGAATTAGAGTACAACATTGTACAATGACGGCGTCTCTACCGCAGTGGTCATATGTACCTAATCGTACAAATAATATGGCTGTCATTGTGGCGTACCACGAGATCAGTCGAGTTCTCGGGGTCGGCAATGCTATGGTAGCTCACAGCTCACACGGACAGGAGTACATGCTAGCATTTTGAGTCTGTTGGGTGCTGCTGACAGCAATAACAATCAAGGCGCAGCCCGTTCGTCCTTGTTGTGAGGACGTCATCACTCTCATTCTGCCCAGGCAACCCCCAAGTTGCTGCTTTACGTAAAGGTCACGTGAATCAGTTATCAGACATGCTTTCCGTCGTCCGAGGAACGAGGCTGTCTCACGTCGCTGACAGCATGTTGCTCGCCGCTTCGAGTCCTGTGCAGTGCGTCTGTCAATCAACTCTCAATCCATTCGCTCCAAAGCACAGGTGACAATATTAGGCTTCATCTATAGACCTCCCAGTGAGCCTCGTCACTTTCGTCTTCTGTGGCTACCTTTTAGCATCGGTGTGAGGGGACTTCCAAGTTGTTATAGTTTCTCGAAAGTAGGTGTTTTCTTGTGTAGCCCGCTCAGCATGGCCCGCTGAACATCTGTGCTTTGCAGCATGGCCTGATTCCAGACTGCGGTATAGTTGAGGTTGTCTTCGACCGTCCTTCCCCAGGCCGCGTCTAGGATGTTTTTGGTCCCTTGCACCGCCACGGGACTTTTGCTGGCCAGATATTTGGCAAACTCCAGCCCTTCCCCGATGAGATCAGCCTTGCTGCCGGCGACCACTCTGCTAACAAAATTGTTTTGCTGCGCTTCCTGCGCCGAGAACGGTCGTGCACTAAGACACACCTCCTTCACCCAGCTCGTCACGCCGCCGACGACCTTAGGGAGTCTGCTCAGGGTTCCCACATCTGCTGCCAACCCAATGTCCACCTCTTTGACGCAGAATTTTGTATCAGCTGTGCAAAACCGCACATCGCATGCCGACGACAGATCGATGCCGAGTCCATAAGTATACCCATGCATCAGAGCAATGACAGGCTTCTCGCAACGGGCTACCGTGGAGATGACTTCTTGGAGTTCGAGAATATGTCTCCTGAGGACCGTCGCTTTGCGGGATGGGTCGGCGAATCCTGACGAGGAGATGGCATTATCCGGCTTCGAGGCGTCTGCAACGTCGAGCCCTGCGAAACGACCATCTTTCAGTTCTGCCCATACTGGACTATCCATGAAGACGCTTCACGAGACTAACCGGCTGTGAATGCTCGATCGCCGGCTCCTGAGAGCAGGATGCACCGGACTTCCGAGTCGACAGATAGTCGCTCAAAAATATTCTTGAGTTCCACCCACATAGGCCCAAAGAACGCGTTCAGCTTCTGCGGCCGATTGATCTCGACATGAACAACATGCTGCGCGGGGACCGTTATTTTGAAAAACTGCCATTCCGAAGGACTTCTCTGAGCCATGCTGCAGGTATTGCACTTCCGCCCTGTTGTACAACTGGACCACGGGAATTGATTTATAGGGATCACACACGAATGAAGGCGCAACTGGCCGAAAGTACGAGAACACCCCAAACAAAATCGAATTGCGATTTTCGAAAGCAAGGCAAAATTATCTTCACCGCTACCAGCTGGTTATAACTAACCGTTGTGCTGATGGTCCCTTACCTGAGGGAATCACAAACACCGCGCAGTCAAGTCACGGCCCGGGGCAGTAACGATATGCCTCGGCTGAAGGATAATTCACGTGCCCCTCACGTGATTGCACTTAAGTCGCGCTTGCCGATCAGGCTGTCATCATTATTATTGAAGAGACTCATCGACACCGAGTCTCTTTTCAAAAGCCTGCTTCAGGAACTTACCAAAACATACCTCTTGACCTCAACCTGCCACCGCGTAACTCGAATGAATGCCTCTGTCCATTGGATTGGCGAATAGTCAACTAGTACTGGCAGCTATCACGTCCCCAGTGCTGCCGTTGGCAAGTTATTCTGCTTCGCGTGGTGACCTCGATCATGGCTGTTCGAGAATTGGGCTACATTGACTTTGACACATTTTCTGTCTTCCGGAGCTCGCCGAAGTGTCTGTGGAACGGTGTTTGCCAGCTCGTGATTCCAAATGGGGCCTTCTCAGGCGCCTTCTGGCGAACAATCTCTAAAAGGGGCCGTACCAATGGCACTTCTGCAGGGCCTCGTTGAGCCACCCTGAGGTACAGTTGCAGGTATCATGTCTACTTCCTGCATTCCGCTATGGCACTAGACATCAACATGGACTCGCCTCTGGTACCACCCGAACAAACGGTGGCTGTCTACCTCAATAACGACTGTGGTTTGTCCGGCATTTCTGATACTACTACATCCCTGTTGTCAGGTCCAGGCAACAGTTCTCGACCATGTATCCTGCCGACGGTACGATTCTCTCGCCTTTGCAGAACTCCCGATGGCCTTGTGCTCAAAGGAGCTGTACGGATGTACACGATGATGTGGTCTCGGAGGCATTGTTGACCCTGGCTCGCCTGATGCAACGCTCTCCGAACCCCCGGAAGGCTTTCTTATCCTGTTATTTGCCCTTTAACATCGCCCAAGTATGTGATCTTCCACATGCACTCGGATGAGATCATACAGACACAGGCTTCAAGGAATTCAATGTCCTAGTCTCAGGAGCTGGCAGAACTTTGCTGACCAGGTGCTTGCTTGCAGCTCGTTTACTGCTCCTGATGGGACTGACCGGTCAGCCACGACATACTCCGGGCCTCATGCGCCCCGGCTCAATTGCTTACAGCCGGCAACAATGAGACTTCGTTGGCTTCAAGAGCAGAATTTGGCCTGCTAGGCTGAATTGCTTCGCTGCCATTTAACTACCGGGCATTTGGTATTTTTAGAAATCCATGGGGTTTTCATTAAGTCAGATTGCTCGCATGCACTGGTTCGCCGGTCACACCTGGCAGATTGGTTGCAGAAACCTGTCATCGAGATCTCTTTTCAACAAGGTTACGTCCTTCCACAGTCCAGTCTTTCTCCTTGTTACATCCTGGGCCTTGTCATTGTCTGCCTTAATAGACCACCATTCTATTTGAGGAATAATCTTCCGGGAAATTTGTCTTGCCGATACCTCTCATGTCCCTCGCAGAATTACAAGCAGAGTTTGTACCTAGAACGTGTTTCATTTTCTGTCTATACCAACAACGGATGGATTTTTGTTGGGAGCATACTAAATATACGAGCAGGTGAACTAGCGGTTGGCACCCTAGGGCTTGAGTTGAACACTTATATTGAACCTCGACAAAACAGTTCATTAGTCAACTGCTTGTTCCAGCGTGCCAGCTAAGACTCTCATGACTCATGATCAGTTGGCATCATACAGGGGGTTTCCTGGATGAGGCACGTCATCTGTGTGGAACCCAGATTGCCATTATGAGCCGTCTCTGTTCAAGTCCATCCGGCAACTTCTTGATACTTCCGGTCATGCAACCATTTGCGGTGAGCAACAACCACCTGACACGGTACCACTGTTGTGCTGGCCTACGCTGGGAAAACTGCTCAGATACGATCAGCTACAACGATGAAGCCGGAACCCGACAAGAAATCTAATAGCTGTCTTACACGGAGGTCAGCAATTTCATTTTCGCTTAAATATGCTTTGATTGAGGAACTTGGGTTCGGACGTCTATCAAATGCATGGCGAACGTGGCATATAAATGCAGCTCTCCTATTCCAGCAACCCGGTCTTCTTTCCAACACAGCTGCCTTTCAGATCCCCCGAAGTACAACTACCGCAAACCGTCAAACACGTGATCAATCGTCAACGACGTGGCCGAGAATATTCGTCAGACTTGTTAGGATTCAAGGACCGCTCGCCAACATGTGCTCGCATCCGAAGTCGTTCGAAACCTGTTATGTCTGCGCTGGCCACGCTCCGCGGTAAGCGCCCCTCCAGAGGCTTGACACATATCACCAAGCTCCTTGTGCATGAGCTGATATTTTACCAGCGGCGACAAAAAGTGCCGCCGATGCAATGGATATGGAGCCTTGTTGAAGGCTTGCAAAATATGTTCGGAGGCGGCTCAAAAGCCTAATGCCACAAACAAGAATGTTGCCAAAAAGCAGGAACTTCCAATTCGTGGTCGAAATGGCGGAGACAAAAAGTCGAAGACTTGATCACCCTGTGCAGCAATACGAAGAGGCATGGTACGGAATGATCCTAGGGCGGTTGTTCTTTTTAGAGATTCTTCCACGTCGAGGCTTTTCTGGCGGTTGCTGTGCAATCGGTCCTTGGCAGAATATATGCTTCCTCGAGACCTGGAATAGGCGTTGGTGCATCTGTCAGACAGTTCTGCCGTTGGCAATGCTGCAAGGTACACTTGGACACTGAGGGACCTGCAGCCCAAAAAGTTCCGGGCGCTAAGGCCTTTCAGCGTCAGTCAAGAAATCCTCACTCTATCCCGATATCATTGTCAAGCATGAGATGCACTGGCCTATCCCTTGGGTAGCTATTGTGGACAAGTACGAGTCAAGTTCCTAGGACGATGTCAAGTAACATGAGTGGCGCACGGAAATCATCCCGTCTGGTCTCCTCAGGTGGCCTTGTGTGACGGGCAGCATGTTTTCCAAACATGTCGTCTGTGCCGTTGGCCGACCTAGGCTTTTCTAGTGTGTCAAGATTTGGAGAACAGCAGATGAGTTTGCCAGCCAGTCACCTCAAGGTTCCAGCCGTCGTGCTCAGCTTACGATGTTGCAGTCGTACGAATCTGGGTTACAAGTCCTTCTGACGCCAATCATACTGTCACTCAACCATAGAATTGGCAGCGACAGCTATTGGCAATCTCATTCCAGCCTTCTCAATGGGAGACAACAACAGCTTGCCAGGCCTACCCTGGCAGTGAAGCTGCTTGAATTGGGGAACAGGCATGCCCCAGCTGTACGTTTCCAAATACTCATGAAACCGGGGAGTCAACAAGCTCCTATGAACGAGAAATGGCTTGATTGAAACGCAGATGATGCGGTACAAAGCGACATGCGCACCTTGAAATCGAGTTGCACGGCATGGATATGGAACTTCCTAGAAGACCACATTGACTGGATACAGGAAACCAATCTGCCAGAAGTGGAAGTCGTCCAGGAACCGTGTTCGTGCTTGTTGCTGGCCTACAGAGCCTTCGACATCACACTGGCTGCTGGAAGACATGACGTCCGGTCGCCTGCTGGATGTGATATCCACCGGGCACACCATCTGATCCTATGCAGTGTCTTGTGACCTGACCTAGGATGCAGGTACAACCTATGCAAGTCGGTTGCAACGCTGGCTTCACTTCCCCCCGAAAATTGCAAGGACATGCCGTAAATGGCAGTCTCGTCTAGTCACCTGCTGTCCTTCGAACTTCCATGGAAGCTGTTGGCGCTTCTACCCGGTTGCCGATATTCCCGACCGTATGACGACTCTCTCACTCCATGCTCACCAGAGGTACACGGCTATCTAACTTTGTCTGCGGAATTGTCAGTGTATCCAACCTAGTGTCACCTGCAAAGGTGCTAACTCGACTGGTTGCGATGGAAATCCTGTCATCTCTTATCTCTTTAAAGGGGCCTACGGTCTACACGTATCTGTCAGCAGGCATGGACGTTGCAACGACCTGGACCGAGGTATCAACAGGCCGCGAGTTGCATTGTGTGCTGATGAGTCTATCCTGGGCTTTGCTTTGTTTTACACTCAACCTGTCGATGCTGACGTGTCATCTCTGTACACCTTGTCTCTGTCCATTCCAGATTCCTGGACGCGTGACTAGAGAAAGGCCGTTCCAGGCCGGGCTGATCAGCCGACTCCTCCTGATAGAACATGGCATCGAAATTTATTGTCAGCCTATCCAGTTCCAGTTTTAATTTCGGGGGTGCTGAGGCCGATGACGACGATTGCCCGTGTATTCAAATGCCCTGTCACAAAACGCAGCTGGGCAAAGTTGTGGCGAGATGATGGTCCTTGAGAGGAAGTTTACAAGGAATCAAGTATACAGTACGAAACAATGATTCAGTGTGACCGGAAGCGACATATTCAAGCAGGACCAGTACCAAAAACTTTCCCCCTTTGGAGAGGCACTTTTCTTCTGGTCACTGGGCATTTTGGCAACCACGATGTGCTCGTGGGGTCGGGAACCAGTATTTATCTTTCCGTGTTGTCATGTGTTGGACAATGATCAAGTATTCATGCAAATATCTGTCGAAGGAGAGGGGCAGGAGAGGTATTGTCTTGCCAGCCTCCTCTCAGCGGGGACCGTTGGATGTCTTCTTTGCAAGGACAGGGGGCAGGCCTGGCTCTCCATGCAGCCGTCATCGATCATATCTCAATAACTGATCACCTAGTTTGTTTGACGCCATTTTAGGCTGCCAGCGGCTCAGCTTAGTCACGGACTTAGTTCAGGTAAGGAACGAGTACCTAGGAAAGGTTTTCCCCTTATTGGCACCTACTAGAACCTGGTATACTTTATGTTGACAGACAAAGAGTCATTCGGCTGGTCCTCTCGTTCTGTGGCTAGGAGACCCAATTTGAAAGAACAGCCATATCGGCCCAGCAAGATTTCTTTCTTCCCGGTAAGTCTTGAGCCGGGTGAACGGGAGGAAACACCTCCTTAAGTGCACATGGTAGGATATCCCGCCAGATTCTGATATTGCTAGGACTCCAATCGGAAGGGGCAAAGTGGCCGGGAGCTGTCGATGAATTGCTCCAGCGAGGAGAGCTCGGGGTATGGGAATCGCTTGCACTTCACCTTGGTCCAATCCAACCACGTTGTAGAATAGCGGGAGACGCCGAAGGGCAAGATGTGAAGGTTCGCATACGTATGTACTTGCGACATGAGGGAAGGAACGAAGCGAAGCGGAGCAGAAGAGACGCTGTATTGCCGCAATGTCTCAAAAAGCTCTCTAATTCGCAAGGGGATTGCTCTAGAATACGATCTCGATGGCGGAATAAGTATCGTAATCAATAAACTATCCACTCTGTTTCGCAAGTCGCCAGCGAAGGACAATATCACGTTCAAATAGCTCGCTCATAATTCATACCCTGCATACAAGGTTCTTTTCGTGGAAATGGGATGGTTTCCAATCCCAAACAAAGAGCCAGTCAAGCTGGCTCAAACTATATCCGAGACCCCCTCCAACACACCACCTCCTATCTCACGGGCCGGAAGAAACACCATGAGAATCAGTTCATTGTGCATTCCAGCTCAAACGGCGGGGGACCCCGGCGCGACCGCATGGTGATCTCCCGCCACGCCACCTGTAACACCGTTATTCCCATTAGATTGGCCGTTGCCAAACCGTTTCTCGCGCTCGGCCGAGCTGAGGTCGTCGGTAGGGCCGAACTCTCTGATCTGGACGCCGAGACGGGCGGGTTCGATACTCCAGTGCGAATAGATGAGGGCGAGCGAAAAGACAGGTTTGGCGAGGAGGTCGAGAATGCCGTAAAAGATACCTTTAACTCAAGTCAGTGACACATGACACGTGTACCCAGCCAGTACTATTGTAAAGATTTTATGCAACAGGCGGTTGTTGTTGTGACCGGGGAAATCTGTTGGCGGACTCTTTCTCACCTTCACTATCAGGTGCAATAACGTTGCCGCCCTCAGACACGCCCCAGGCGATGGGGTAGCAAAGCCAAACGACCAGAGTCAAGACTCCACAGAGAACAAATGCGCGGTGGACATCGTTGCCCAGGGCGGCGGCGTGGCGGCGGGCCGGGAACGCGAGTTCGTAGAAGACGTAGAACATGGCGGCACAGCCGAAGGCGTAGAAACCCCATTTGTATCGAGACTTCACGAGGGCGCCTACCAGACCGGTCACGATCATGATTTCGTCAAGACCTATCACCCACAGAATCGTGGGCCATGGCATGCCGGCGGTGAGGAGGAGGTCTGTGAGCAATAAGGGGGTTGTTATGACCCTGTACGGGTGAAGAAATCCCACGGTTAGTTGATTAGATTTGGCCCCGGAAAAAGACTGGAGCTGTTTTGGTTCTTTTGGGCCTGTGGGAAAGAAACTCTTCTCATGGCCAGCTGGGGGAACGCGTTCGGTCTGACTTACCAATCGATGTATCGAACGTAGAAAATCTGGCGGTTCCGTCCCGCGACCTCGGAGTCGCTGCGGAGGTATTCGACGTCAATGGGCGTCCAACCTAGGTTTGAGCCCATGGCGAAATAGGCGATACAGGCAACGAAGCACAGTCCGCTCGACAGATAGAAGAAAATGCGGTCGGTGCGAGGCTTGAGACGGCTCAGGCCCAGAATGGCCAGCGCCGTCACCCCCATGACCGCGCACACGGCATAGTACCAGTCGGAACCGCGGTCGGTCTGATGAACGACAACGCTCTTGTTGTTCTGTGTGAATGGGTTGATGTTCACCGCGTTGTTGCGACGGTCAAGTTCTGCCATGGCGGGTAGTGTATAGGCCGGTTGCTAATACTGGAGCATGTCACGCTTTCGATATAATTGATTGGGGATTGTGTACACCGACCGAGTACTATCCAGTGGGCAAAGTAAGTGTATGTGAGTATATGGCTGCTCGCACACCTGGAGTGGGCATATTCCCGCTTGATATACCTACCTTTTGTCAGGTTAGTTCCCCTTCGTGTTGTCATGATGTCCGGATGCCCCGGCACTCTGGCTTTGGACGATACTCTCACAATGACGTCCTGAAAGCTCCCTGAGTGTTTCGGCGGAATGCAGTGGTGACTAAATGTACCGCTGCATGCAGTGTATAAGGTTCCTACCGGTATAGCCACGGCACGGGATTCTCAAAAACCTACCGGTGATGAAGATATCGTATCCGCAAGATAAACCGCTAAGCTTTTTGCCATTGGCGGTCATCCTGCTCATGATACCCACAGTCATAATCGCAACTCGCCAGTAAGATGGGCCGCAAAGCCGCTCGGGGTGCTGATGATGACCGGGGTGGAAACCGGTCGTGCTAGACTCCCCAGTGAATGGTGTCCACTCACCCTGGTCATCTCAGGATACACAAGCATATGACAATGAGCTTGTCACTCAGCCGTCTCTCGGCGCCAGGAACCGGAAGTGCGTGTTGTGTGACCAACACGGCCTGGATGTTCGAGGTCGGATTAAAGCTCCAAGATCATCGATGGGTCAAGCATCGGTTCCCGGATGTAGAGTTGCATACTGACTTTTTAAGGATAACCAACTTGAACCTTGTCGGCATCGACAGGACGTCCGGCAGCAGAATGAAGTCAGGATAATACTGACGTACCAGCTGGGATCGCAAGCCTGACTGAGGAGAATCATAGACCACCGACATTGCGAGGCTGAAGTCACATCATCATAGACTTTTGGGCAGCATCACGTGAGTGACCACCTCCCTACGTATCAGAGGGAATATGCATGTAGGACGCTTCGGACGCACCGGGATTGACTTGATTTACCACGCGGATAGTCGGTGTGAGTCCGACGCGTCTAAACTCACTCTTTTGAGATACTAGTACCTTCAAGTAGTTCATTGATACCTCCGCCAGCCTGCGGCCGGGAAAGGCAGGTTGGCCAGTCAGCGAGCGGCCCTGGTATGGGAAAAGGCACCATGATACAGCCTGCTCAAAGCTGACAATATTGGTCCTCCAGCACGTACTGGAAGCGGTGCTGGAAGATGCCACCGAGAGAGATCAAGCTGAGACACCTCAAGGACAATGAAGAAGCAGTTCAACTAAGCTTCGATCACGTGCAGAACGGTAGGTACAATTAGATCACATGATCGTATCTATACACGTGACCACGTCGACAATGTTGTAAAGCTCGTTGTGCCCGGCTGCGGCTCTCACCCGTTGGCGTTATGTTTGCATAACTTGAAGTATAACTCACTAATAATCGCTAGATCAGTCTTCTGGCTGGCTTCATGTGGCAAGAGGGCGGCTCAGGTAGGTATCCTTCCCTCTCTCCTTGGGGACCCGTCTGATCGCTAAGATACTTGGAGAATCCCCGGTGTGTACTACTATCGCCCATTGTGGTTTGGTATGCGAGGCCCGTGATGCTGAATGGCCGGAAAAGCGGACCAGCTCCAGCCCATTCCACAGCGTTGTACTGCCCAGAGACTAACTCATAAGCGATGCGGAACGGCAACTTCACATCAACACATCAATCGTAGGAAAGCCATGTCCAGAGAGATATTGCAAGCTCTACAGAGCAGGACGCTGGTTCTGGCAGGCTGTCGGATTTGTTGAACGGCCATGTGTTCCCTCACCATTTGGTGCCACTACGAACTAATGTAAAGAATGCTTACTACAATCATCCCAGCACTGCCGGCGGACGTCCGACCCTGAGGCATGGCAGAGGAGAAGTGGGATGGTCACATCCCGCCCGAGGCGTGTGAACAGTCATCGAATGAACCTGGTGATCCGCCTGCGAAAGAGGCGAGACTGAATCAGCATGATAACACCAACCGCCGCAATCAGGCTGTGAATGTCCGGGTTCGCCATGTATCGGTGAAAGTGGACCCGGCCGGGGGTTCAGTCTTTACGTCGCTAGATGCTTTCAAGACGAGTGTCCTCCGTCTCAACGACAAACCGGCAATCAAGGATATCTTGAACGACGTCTCGGCTGATATTCCAAGTCGAAGTCTCACGGCGATTATTGGCGCTAGCGGGAGTGGAAAGACGACACTCCTCAATGTCATTGCCCAACGTGTAAAGGACAAAAGATTTCGACAAGTTGGAACGGTCTCGTACCATTCCGAACGACCTGCTGCCCACCTCGACCAAGATGCCCGACATACTAAGGTCGGGGTGGCATATGTGCTACAACAGGACGTGCTTTTGCCTACTCTTACAGTGCGAGAAACTCTTCGGTATGCTGCCGACCTGCGTCTGTCAACGACCAAGACAAAGAAGGAACGCGAGGCAATGGTTGAAAGTGTAATTGCCGAGCTTGGTCTGGGAAAATGTGCCGATACGAGGATTGGCGATGATGCTCATAAGGGCTGCTCCGGGGGAGAGAAACGACGGACGAGCATTGGCGTGCAACTGCTCGCAGACCAGCCCATTCTCATCCTGGACGAGCCCACTACCGGCTTGGACGCTGCATCTGCGATTCAAGTAGTTCAGACACTCAAAAGTCTCGCTGACCGTGGGAAGACTGTCATTATGACCAGTAAGTTTGGCTGCGTAGGAGCTGTGCAGGGCCTTCTGACCGGAACTAGTTCATCAACCACGTTCGGAGATTTGGAGACTGGTTGACAATCTGATACTCCTGGCACGAGGCTCACCGGTCTACTCCGGGCCTGTCCGAGATTGCCTATCCTACTTCGACCAGCTCGGCTACAAGATGCCCTTATTTTTCAACCCCTTCGATTTTGTCATCGATCTTGCTGCTGTTGACCTTCGCTCGGTGGAACTGGAAAGGTCTTCGCTCATCCGGGTGCAGCAACTACAAGAAACCTGGAGAGCGAAAACTGCAGGTGCTGCAACGCCAGAGTTGGATCTGCAGCCCAGCGATGCATTCGACGGCAAATCAGTTGCCCACTCTGGAAACAGGCTCAACGAGCTTCGACACGAGATCCTTGTGCATATCCGCAGAACATTTGTCGTGACTTGCCGCGACCGCTTAGGTCTCCTTGCCAGCATAGTCGAGTCGTTGAGTATGGGCATAATGAGCGGCTGGATCTTTTATCAGCTGGGTAACGACCTGGCTGGTATCAGGTCCCGCGAAGGCGCCATGTACTCGGCCTGCGCTTTGCAAGGCTACCTCATCCTCCTCTTCGAGACTTATTGACTGACCATTGACATCCCAGTCTACGACCGAGAACGCATTGAGGGCGTCGTCCGACCAATCAGTTTCATCGTCAGCAGGAGGTTTGCGCGCATCCCATTAGAAGACTTGCCAGTCCCGTTCTTCTATTCTCTGATCTTCTACTTCATGGCCGGTATGCGCGCGGATGCGAGCCAGTTCTTCACATTTTTCGCCATCCAGCTTCTGCTGCACATGATTGCCGTCAATCTGGCAACCGTATGTGTTGCCATTAGCCGTCAATTTATGCTCGCGTCTCTGGCCGCCAATTTAACATTCACCCTCCAGTCGATGGCATGCGGGTTCTTCATCAACACCCGCACGATTGCAATATGGCTGCGATGGATCAAATGGACTGCATATGTGGTATGTTTTGGCTTGTAGATCTTGTTGGAGTCATATTATTGACATTTGACGCAGTTCTATGCCTTCGGGGCTCTATGTACCAACGAGTTCGGAGGCCACTTCTATGATTGCCCAAGTCCTGGGGGCCCTTCAAACCCAGCTTGTAGGGAGTATACTGGCGACTATATCTTGGCCTCGCTGAATCTACCACCGAACTGGCTCTGGAGACCTATTGTGGTTCTTGTCGGCTTCATTCTATTCTTTTTCATCCTTTCAGGGGTGATTCTGCAGATACTCACCACCGAGGTTGAGGTCGCCAAGACACATGAAAGCGAAGCGGCCTCTGCCGCTGATACTCACGAAGCAAACACAAGACTGGATGCTCAGAGCAGAGCTGTGACGATCACCCTTGAGAATTTTGCACTAGCGGTCGACCGCAAGAGAGTGTTCAAGCCAAAAGTGACCAAGCAGATCTTCCTACCAATCAACACAACATTTAAGCCTGGTGTGCTGAATGTGATCATGGGCCCTTCCGGGTCAGGAAAGTCGTCATGTTTAAACGCCATGGCACGGCGGCTTTATGGGTCTCCTCTGGTCAAGTACCATTGTACGGGCAAAATGCTTCTCAACGGGTCAACTGCAACAGACGATGTCATAACCTCCATCTGCTCATATGTCCCGCAAGACGATTCTGCATTGTTGCCATGCCTAACTGTGCGGGAGACACTGCACTTCGCCGCACGACTTCGACTCCCAGCGTTTCTAAACCATGAGCAGAAAATCCAGCGTGCCGAATCGGTGTTGATGCAACTCGGTCTAAAAGACTGTGCGGATACACTGATTGGCAGCGATATGGTCAAAGGAATCAGCGGTGGCGAGAAACGCCGTGTATCGATTGGGATCCAGATCCTTACTGATCCCCAGGTTCTGCTGCTTGATGAGCCCACATCCGGGCTGGATGCGTTCACTGCATTCTCCATCATCGAAGTGCTCCAAGGCCTGGCGGACGAAGGTAGAACCATCATCTTTTCCATCCACCAGCCGCGATCTGACATGTTCAAACAATTTGGTGGAGTGTTGCTCCTTGCCAAAGGCGGCGAAGTCATCTATACGGGCCCCGTGTCAGAGATGCTCCCCTACTTCGAGAAAATGGGCTTCAAGTGTTCGAGCTCGGCCAACCCAGCCGACTTTGCGCTGGATCTTGTTTCTGTTGAAACGCCCAAGTCATTACAAGGGCTCCATGCCGACAAAGATCTCGCAAATACGGCAACAACAGTGACGGCAACACCCGACGCACCAGAGGGAGACCAACATACCCACACTGCTCTAGGAGCAGCCCCAGCCGCAGACCAACCTGTGCATGAGTTTAGTCCTCCCGCCATGCCATCTGTAGAGCAGGAGCAGACGCAGCACCGGAGCCTCAATCAAGATCAGGAGGACCAACCGCAAACCGAAACAGAGAAGCAGAAGCAACTCACCCTCCCAGCCTCACTGGGAACCTATAGGCGCCAACGGCTCCCATTCCGCCACGCATTCCCGATCCTCCTACAACGTGGGCTCCTCAACCTGCGGCGGCAACCGAACCTCCTGACAGGGCGAATCACACAACTCGTCGGACTAGGGATCGTGCTGACGGCCTTCTGCGCGCCCCTCGGACACAACTACTACTCGGTACAGACGCGGGTCGGCTACATCCAAGCCATGTCGAGCATGTTTTTCGTGGGGATGCTCAGCTCGATCGCCCTGTACCCCGGCGAGCGGGACCTGTACAACCACGAATCGCGGCGCGACGGGACATATGGACTCGAATCGTTTTTCTGCTACTACCTCGCGCTCGAGGTTCCCGCGGAGATTGTGGCGTCGATGCTTTTCTCGCTGCTGACCGTGTTCGCCGTCGGGCTCCCGCGCACCGCGGGGCAGTATTTCCTCATGGCGTACGCGACCTTCTGCGTCGTCGAATGTGGCGAGAGTTTCGGGATCTTGTTCCTGACCATGTTCACGCACACGGGCCTAGCGGTGTCTGTCATGTCCGTCGTGCTTTCGATATCTATCCATCTAGGTGGCGTCCTGAGTATCGGCATCGACCACTTCCTCAGCGCTGTCAACCACATCTCCCCTGTCAAATGGCAGGTCGGCGCCCTGCTGAGCTACAGTCTGCGCGGCGTCCAGTTTACCTGCAGTCCCGAGCAGAGGGTTCCGCCTGTCACTGGCCCTTGTCCCGTCCAGACTGGGGTTCAGGTTCTGGATCTGTATCAGTTGAATGTCGACACCGTCGCGTATGCCTTGGCTTTGGGCGGCGTCACTATCGGGTACCGACTGCTGGCATATGTGGGTTTGAAGATCCAGGCCTCGGGTTGGCAAGCTTTGAGGACGATGATGCGTGGGTCCAGGCATAAGTAATGAACGTTTGATAAGCAGCCATTGGACAATCTTTAGCATCATGTACCTAGAAGAGTCGAAAAAAAGGGGGAAAACCTTGCGCGCCTGAGCACACGGAATTAAGAATACATGATGGATCTCGTCCATGATCCTACGGAAGTAAAACACGAATATAGTATCACCGGTGGAGCGACGATCCGTGTGTCAACACAACACATTCATTACCTACTAATAAGGTGGTGTCTCTAGTTTGAATGTGATGCAACTTCTCTGACAGCTGCTGCTTCAGCTTCAGTGACAACCTCGACCACTTGTATCATACAAATTGAGAGCAGGAGATCAATTGTTTTAGGGCCCAATACTTATATGTGCCAGGTCCAGCCACAAGAAAGCAAGAGCAAGCCATGCCACGCCACACCACACCACACCCGCACGAGTCATTCGTTTTTCTTGGATTCTTCTTGTTCTCGGAGTCGCTTCGCAAACACATCTAAACCGGCGCTTCTCTTTAAGATAAAACCGACGGCCACTCTGGGCAGAAACGTGACAGTAACCCAAAAGATAGACGCAGTAGCACCTCGCCAGATCTCCACAGGGGGATTGCGGCGCGATAAGTCATTGACGACAGCCCGGGCCCATTGATCCGTTGGCTGGGGCGTTAATCCGTGTTCGCCGCGCATGACTGCTCCGATTTTGTCCTTCAAAAGTGCGTAGACGGACGAGTCCGGTAGGACATTGCCCTCATCCGCTGCGAGATTGGCGTAAACGTTGGACTGCACAATGCCGGTCTTGAGCTCGGTGACCTTGATGCCGAACGGCTCGAGTTCATAGCGCAGGTTGGATGTGATGCTCGACGCGGCCGCCTTGGAAGCGGAATACGGCCCGTACCACGGCAGCGGCCAGCTGGCGGCAAGCGAGGTGTTGTTGACAAGATGGCCGCCATGTTGAGAATTGCGCAGGAGCGGGAAGAAATGTTGTGCTGTCCGAACAATGGAATAGGTGTTGGTATCGAAGAGGCTCTCTAGCTCGTGGATTGGAGTGTCGAGTATGGGCATGAAGTAGGCCGCACCGGCGTTGTTGATCAACATGTTAAGAGAGCCGCCCGTGAGTGCCGATATTTCCTGGACGCATGCCTTGATGGAGTCCTCCGAGATGACGTCCAGAGTGAGTGTTTCGATGCCTAAAGCCTGGAGAGACACCATCTTGGATGGATTCCTGGCCGTTGCGAACACGCGGTCGCCGTGCTGGTGGAAGGCCATGGCCAACCCTGCTCCCAGCCCGCCGTCGGAGCAGCCGGTGATGAGGACGGTTCGAGACATGGCGTTGCCGCGAGAGACAACAACAATGTATGCTTTCTCGTGGGAAGGGGAGAACATGGCTGGGTTGACAAGACTATGTCAGCTTATCTTTTATCGAGGCCGTGTGGGCGGGCATTTGCCAGAAACCCCGGGGTCGTCTGATAAGCCAGCTGAATCTTCCTTGGAAGATCAAGCCGTCGGGCAGAAGTACCCGGGCAGCCTTCAAACCTCGACTTTCCAGCAGGTCTATTCGAGGTGTTCCGGCGCGAGAGCTGGGGATTGCTAACTCGGACTCTAGGATGGGGATTCGGGCGTGCTGCAGCAGGCGTTGTGCAAGTTAGAAAGACAAGCAGCAGGCCGTACTTAGTATGCCGCTGCAATCTCACGCTGACCGGTGTCAGGGCTCAGCTGAACTTATTTGCATCTGGAATTGAATGGGTGGTTACACTGCAGTGTATACCAGGTATCTTGATTGGCCGTACCAGGCAAGGCAAGACGTTCACACCCCGAGTATTGTCGTTCAGCCGCCCGCACAGGGGCTTGGAGTAGAGCGTCCCATGATCCGAGCCACCCACCGTGACCTTTTAATCCAGAGATGCATAGGGAGCTTGGGGATCATATTGTTAGCAACCTCCACTGGCAGCCAGCAGATAACATGACAGCCTTCAAGTTGTCCGATCCACCTTCACGACCAACTGCGATCAAGTGGTGCCAGAATATGCCATAAGTTGCAGGGTCGTGGCCCTTGAGCAACGGCGATTGGTCAGGGTGTCTCTGCTCGTGGGCATTGTTCTGGAGCCTCACAGACACCCTCCAACCGGGTTCGACTGATGCAAAATCTTTTTCATCCGGAGGCACTTGCCGGCTGTCGCCTTCAATTTTTGTCCAGCCTGCCAACAGGCTGTAGATTAGATTTTCTGGCTTCATTTGGCCACTCTCTGACCCGGTTTCAGCACACCACGGTCCCCTCCACCTCCTTTCCTCCACAGCCAAAGAGCCTCAATAGCGTGAGCCTTGGCGCTAACATGCCCAGATAGGCGGTTCGCTTCGCTCATCATGACCTCGATAGGCCTCTCCTTCTCGATCACTGACCACAAGGCTTCTTCCAGCTCGCTGCCGCGGGGGCCGAAATCTCCTCTCCCCAACCTGAACAACATCCTCCCAAGGATCTGGTACGCAACACACCGTTGATTGGGCAGGGTAGATCTCGCCAGCATTGCAAGCTCTGGTATGGTATATCCGGCACTGTTGGGATCATCACCATGATGGTGTAGACCTTGCTTGACATCAATTTCCAGAGACTCTCGGGGGGGGATCAAACGGCCATTGAAGCCGAATCGTAGAGCAGATGCCAGGTATGAGTCTTTTTCGGGGTTGTACAGCGACTCCTTGTTTTCTTCCTCAGTAGGGTCCTGTAGCCACTGGAGTGAGGACGGATCGTGCGGTGTGTCAGGGAAATAGTGCGACTTCAGTTCTTGCAGGAAAGAGGGATCGTTGGCGTCTAAGGGGACGTATTCTTCCGTTGATCGTGGGGGCACAGGAAAATGAACCGATGGTCCTGACGATGTGCCTGCGTTCAGGGTAGCAGGGTCTAGGTCATCGCCTGCCGGCAACGAAGCGTCATCCATTTTAACCGGCTCGACTGTTGCTTCCGGCTCCTCTTGATTGTCTTCAGGCCAGGTTTTCTGGCCAGATTGGTCCTCATCGATATTTGCACGTTTCAGCAGTCGTTCAAGGAAGGCAGGATTGAGGCTTTGCATCAGTTCGGCTCGAGCCTCTTCGATGTCTTCAAGTGACATCTCGGCTATTCGTCTTTTGTTCTCCTCGCTGATGTCAGCTTTCTCCTGGTCGTCGAGGCCCACCCCGTGCTTTTTGGCGACATGATGAGCGATTGCTCTATCGGAAGGCTCTACCCGGGAGGAAATGGCAGGCCGCGCCGGGCCCTTTGCGGCGGCTTGGTTCTTTTTGAATGCCGAGACATTCCGCCGAGGCTTGTGCTCTGGAAACCCGGATCTTGAGGATTTGATCGAGGGAGGAGGCGGCGGTGCATCGGTGTCGTGCTCTTTTATTTCCTTCACGGCGAAGCTCGCTGTTAAATCGGGAGAGAGGTCATCGTTGAGGGGTCGTATCGTAAAGTCGTCAGCGTCGAGGTCTAGTTCAAAGCGCTGGCCAGGAATAGCCATATTGCCGGATCACGACGACTGATGGAGAGGATGCTGTAGGTAGTTTCGAAGCATGGTGAGCATGAGACGCCGCAGGCTTCTACAACTTTCAACACGAATGCACGTGAAGAGTGGGCTTAGAGACTAATACTAAATGGGCACACTGGCCGCATGCGCCAAGCTAAGCTTATTACTAACCCGGGGATTTAAGGTTGGACTATGCTGAATATGGATTAGCGCACTCAAGCCACAAGGCAGGGGTGCGTTGCTCGGATCTGACTGCGGTGGATCTCTCGGATCGGTGGCTGCCCACTGTAGGAATTCCAGAGTACAACGCTCATAGTCAATTGTGCACGTATGGTTTATTATTACGCATGATGAACGTGAAAATAACTGTAAGAGAGAGCCAGCACACCATAGGCTCAGGTTTATCGCCAACCATGTAACTCGGAAAGAAATGGGCCATCGAATAGGCACTGCCGTCAGTTACGTTGCAGTGGCAGAAAGTAGAGGTGGGTGAACAGGAGCCCAATTCGTGGTATATCACTATTTTTCCCGAGAATAACGAGAATACCAGTAATTTGCTTGTTGCGATCGCTAGCCCCAGGCGGTGGCGGTGGCTTCTGGGCCTACTAGGACTGTACGTGGCTACCGCCTACCAGGTGTTTCCGATGGCCGTATTTGCTTGTTCTACCACTTCTTGCTTTTCAACGGGCGACCTCCCAGATCATATCGGGTCCGTGTAGTAGTAGTGCTGTGCCTGTGGTGGTTGCCTCCAGTTCTGCGCCAACATCATGATCCTCATCAGCCAGCACTGCACTCGATCCCCAGGTCCCTGTCCGCTCAGGCTGTTCACCTTTTCTTCGCTTCAAGTTCTCCCATTCCATTATCCACTCGCCACGAACTGCGCTGGTGCGTCTGCCGTCTCGTCGCTTGCTCAACTCTTCCTCTCCCCTCCAGAATCCCCTTCGCCTGGTCTTTGGTCAGGTAGTCGTCTCGTCCGTCGCGCTCCCCCCTTGATCTCGTTCGCTCGCTGTTTGATGTCGTCTGACTGCTGCCTCCCCGGTCCCCTTCCCTTCTCGTCCGCGACCTAATTACTATTTCTTCACTATTTATCCACTTTGCCCTGTGTTCAGTCACGCCGGTACTATTGTTCCTTACTAGTCCTTGTGGTCTATTCATCCCCGTCCCCGTCCCCTCTCAATCCTGCTCTTTGTCAACAATAATAGACTGGGCAGCTCCTAGTTGCCCTCTTCGCCGTTTCTGCTTTCCTGCCACAATACTTATATCTCTAACTACTATTCCTCCTCGTTGTTTCTCTCTCAACCCTCTCCTCGTCTTTTCTCCTCTGCCACTCTTGATCTCGCTTCAGCTCTCTCCCATCTGGCTTTGGGATAGACTCTCTCGACACTGCGGTGTTTCGCCAAATTTGATGTTCTCCGGTTCTGTCATGGCACATTCGAGCACCATTGTAAGTCTTGTTGCCTACCCGGTCGAGCGCCAACTCATCCATGTTGTTTGTAGTCGCCATCTTCTCAACCTTTGTGAGATCTGCAGCCACCACACACTGCCGCAATTTCACCTTCACGGTTACCGCCTACTTTGTGCAATTATTATTCACCGTTCTCACCAATTGTCATCGGCACCATTAATCACTGCCTCTCTACACCACGTCCCCTACATAGAGACACGACTTCTTTAATCCACACACAAACTTCTCCTCCTTTGCACGGCAACTTGTCGCCGGACACTTCTCAGCTGGTGCGGATTGTGCAAACTGGTCCTTTGCCTGCGGCTTAATCATTGGAAACTAGGCCAGCGAAATGGAGGTGGTGGAGGGAAGAAGTTCATCCAACGATCTGTCGAGTGCACCTCCAAGCGACGCCGAAAGCACGCCAGGGTCGCTCAGTCATCTTACAGCAAACCACGCAGCTCGCGATAGCGGCGCATCCGGGAACTTTGGTGTTGCAAGTGTCGGTGCATCTGCAGCTTCACCAGCCACACTGCAACCGGGTGCAGCCCGCCAAGACAACCGCACCGCCACACCCGCCATGACCGTCAGCGGCGGTCTGGCTGCCAGCGCCGACCTCCCGTCGCAGCCACCGGCCAAGCGCACGTATAAGCCACGGAAGAAGAAAGATCCAAATGCTCCTCCAGCTCCACCAAAAGAGAAGAAGGAACGTGCTACGAATCGTCGTCCTCGTGGCGCCTCCACGGCTTCGATTGGACCTCGCAAAAAGCTCAAATTGGAGCCAGGAGATGACAACAGCACCATCGAAATCAGCCGGCCCGAGAGCACGGGTTTGCAAACCTCGACATTAGTCCAACCGGTGTTGTTCGCCTCTCACACCCTGCTTGGCGGTGCTTCCGATGGAGCCACCAGGCCGACAGAAACGGGCGGTACGAGTTCAATGCATGATTCTCCGGCGCGCGCTCAAATGTCTTCCCAACGCCAGTATGACTACGCTCCTTCGACGCCAACTTCCAACAATGCCCCCGCGCCACGGTCTACCACCATGTATGACCCCATCAGGTCGGTAACCAGACCCTTCGAATCTTCCCAGCCCTCTGTAACATCACTTCAACCCACTCTCACTCCACCGAGACCGACCTTCAACCCCAGTACGTCTCCGGCCATATCGGGCATCATTGACCACCCGACGGCACCAAGTCTCCAGCATTCGACAACAGCGGTTAATCAGCAAACCAATGTAGAAACGCCATACTACCAAAGCAATGGCAGACCCAAGACTTCGCCCCCTGCGCCGGGGAAGTCGACCTCGATGGAGTTGGACTCTGCTCCGTTGGAACCAGCGCAGGCCAAGAAGGCTGCAGCCCCTAAAAAGACAATATCTGAAGCGCCTACTCGTGCGACATCGCCCAAACCGACTCGAGCAAAAGAGCAACCGCCTCCAGCACCGCCAGGATCTGGTCTTCTTTCGGCCAGTCTCTTTGGCGGAGACTCGAGCAATGATGGAGCTACGAAGGGTTCAGGGAAAGGGCCAAATATTGTTCTGCATATTGACCTTAAGGATCCCAACAACCGAGTCATAAATTTCGCACGTTTGGCGGAGGAAAAGTACGGCTTCGCTGCTCTATACCCGCGCCAAGCTGCTCAGAAAGAGCGCCTCGCCAAAGTGGCTGCTGCCGGGGCTGCATTGGAGCGGTCTGCGTCAGGGAGCAAGTTTGGCGGAACATCTGGCGCCGACAGCGGTGAGGACGATCTCAGTGTTGACATTGAACGTGATTCCGACCATGACGGCGATTTAGCGATGTCCGGAGTCAATGGCGGCCCAGAGGCGGCAAACAGTGGCACCGATGCGCCCGGCTCCAAGCGTCGACGTCGAAGAAAAGTTGAAGAATATAATCAAGACGATCCATTCATCGATGACAGCGAGCTACTCTGGGAGGCACAAGCAGCGGCGAGCAAGGATGGCTTCTTTGTCTACTGTGGACCCCTGGTACCCGAGGGCGAGAAACCTGCTGTGGAACGGTATGTATTTCCACTTCCCGACTTTCTAACCATACTGACTATTCACCGTAGGGCTGATGGAACAATCAAGCGAGGCCGCGGCCGTGGCCGAGGCGGTGGCCCTGGTTCTCGAGGTGGCCGGGCAGGGGCGGCGGCTGCTGAAGGAGGCTCAGGGCGCGGCGGAGGACCCGGCTCTCGTGGTGGTGGAGTTACTCGCAAACCTCGAATCACCAAGAGTGAACGTGCTCAGATGGAGAAGGAAAAGCTCCAGCGGGAGAAAATGGCTCCTCTGGTGGCTCGACCTACGGCCTATCCCACTTGAGCTCTCGCTTCGGTGTGCAGGCATGTGTTGTAGTCCTGCTGCAAGCATGGCGTGTGTGGTTGTCGTTGCGCAGCATGCACGGACTGGTGACTGTTCATGGACTGGAAGTGGTTGTCCAAAGCTGCCCTTGATTCGTTGCCTACCCTATATCATGGGGAGTATTTGTATGCTACGAGGGCGCTGGTTTTCAGTATTGCATGCAAAGGATCTCATGATACCGGATAGCCTATCCGGCTGTCGCGTAATTCCCACATTGTGCAATGGGTGTTTTAGACCTCCTACCACTAGTAGTAGTACAGCATCTACCTACCTAACTTATTAGGTGTGGTGTGCGTTGTCTACTGTATTCTGTGTACTGCGTGGGTCACCGCTTCGATAGAATAAAAGGCTCAACAGTGCCAGTGATGGCAAACAGAAGAATAATTTTTTGATCTTCAGGCCGACGTTTGGATTATCTGCCAATCCACTTCCGCGTGTCCGGTTTTCAACGTCAGACTGTATGCACATCGCTACGTGTGGCTTTTTGCAGATGCAAAGTGCCTCTAATGAGGACCCTGAGCAACGGTGATCCCTCGCCTGGATCTGGCGTGAAGTGGGCAATACCGTCAGGTGGGTTGGGTAAGCCCTGCTGTTGGTACGGAGTATGCCGATGCCGTGGTCCGGGTAGCACTGCGCTGCAGGAGGAGCGGATATTGGAGACAGTACCGTGGTGATACCAGGGGAAATACGGCGACATCAGGCCTTTATCCAATAGGATCTTTTGCCATCCACCAGGACACCACTTCCGGGGGTATTTTCAAACTATCGTACTCGACATTACTCTGCTCGACCGGACCAGTCTAATGTCTCTAGGGACACTGGACTAGTCTTCGTTCAGTAAGTCTCCAGCATGGGAAATATCTCGTTAGTCCAATTTGCCATGGCCCTGACACTGGCCTGCACTGTTGCCGCCGATAGACTAGAAGCGTAGTACCCTGACTAGCAGTTCTTCAGTCCCCTGTGACTTGTCAAACACTCTCCCTGGAGACAGCTTCATTCTAGCGTGCACCCTCGGCCAGAGGCTACTCCTCGCTAAACTGGATCTCAACTTGAGGTCGTAGAGGTTGCTAACTTGCACTGGATCTCGGGCGTAGAACGACTCGAGAAAAGCCATCCAGCAGCCCGTGACCGCCTATCTCGTGCTAGCACCGCGTAGTACGTACAGTACTGCCATTTACACCCTGCAATTGTGGTGTAGGTGCCTTTCCTGACCAATCTTCACCACCTTCGGCATTCCCCAATCCAGACCTCGCCTGCGCTACACCTACCGACTTCTTCACCATCACCACTACCGCCTTCGACCCTCTGTATCACGTTCCAACGGCTCTGCTTATCGCCATCATCCCATCGCCACGCTCTTACGATCTGCTGCCTCGAACAACGTGTGCTCTCCTAAACTTCTCGATTTCATGTTCGTGTATTCTACCGGTCTTCGATTTTTTCGGGCGACGTGCAGTATCCTTGCGACAGCAATGCCACGCCCGGGGCACCGCACTCTCCCACTACATACACGGACGAACCCATGCTAAGTGCAATTGTCGATTCCACAGAACACCTTTCTTCCTCCCGACTTCTGTCGGCGGTTGCTCTGCGCAATTGTCGGAGCGGCGGTGAAACTGAGTCCAGACAATCAGGCGGACGGACACACGGATAATATTGAGCGATCATGGATGGCTCGCAAGGTTTTTATGGGCAGCCGTATACCGCGGTCAATCCGCCACAGACCATGGACGGCTATGCGCAGGATGACCCGATGAATGCCATGGTTTCCGGCAATATGGCTCCCACAGGACTGGGTCAGCCACAGAATCTCCACCAGATCGTCAATCAGAACAGCGAGGAACTGATGCGCAGACGACACACCTTTCAACATCAATATCCTCAGCTTGCTCCGGATCGGAACCGAAGAGCCTCTATGCTCGAGTTCACCTCGTCGATCGACAGTGACTTCGCCGATTTTCAGTTTGATCCCCAACAAACTGACCCGTCGCTGGCCATGCCGAATGCGAACCCCGACATGCTGCCGATGCAGAAGCCCCTCGATCCTCGAAGAATTCGCTCTCGCGAGCACTTGTCCCTTACCGCGCGCTTTTCTCAGATGCAGTCCGACTTTGATGCTCCCTATAACCCCGTTATCATGGCCAGCACTTCAATTGGTGTTGAACCCTCGGCCGCTTACATGCCTACGGGAATGGATATGACCATGGACATGTCCATGGATTTTGATGCTCTGGGTGGCGCCGTGACTAGCATGAACATGCACGCTGGCCCGATCCAGGAGCCTGTGTTCAATGCTTCTCCGATAGACCAGGCCTTCTCGATACCGTATCCACGAACCGGTCATGATCCAGGTGGTGGGTCAATGAGCCCACTGGTTCATAATCATATGGCAAGCATACCACAGACCATGTCATCAATACCACAATCTCTCCATCACCCGGCACAATCGTTGCAGGGGCAACACTCCATTTCAGCCACTGTCACAATGTCAGGAGGAGGTCCTGCTCAAGCAATAGCTTCCCCCGGCCATGCTTCATCCAGGAGTCTTTCGGTGGATGTTCCGTCCCCCTTTCCCGCGAATGGTATTGTACAATGAAAGTCCCTCCATCATCGGAAACTAATGTCGAACAGCCGATATACCTCAAACTTCGTGTCCAACAAACCAAGCTGCCCTGCCACACACCGCTCCAATGCAAGGCCCTCATCAGCCTCTAGCGAAGTATGCCAACGCATATTCCTCCAGTGGATTTGACATGCTTGGTGTTTTGGTATGCAATTCCCCTGGTCAACCACAGTCGAGCGAGGCTAATCACAATGTAGATGCGCGTTGCGACGAGGCCCAGGCCCGAAATCAACATTGGTCCAGTGGATTTGTCCTGCGCTTTTGTCGTGTGCGACATCGAAAAATTCGATCTACCGATTGTGTATTGTTCCGAGATGTTTGAGAGATTAACAGGCTATACAAAGCATGAAATCCTAGGTCGAAATTGCCGTTTTCTACAGTCCCCTGATGGCAAAGTACGGCCGGGTATGAAGAGAAAATACGTCGATGACAGCTCAGTTCTGTATCTCAAAAACCAAATCAGTAAACGAGCAGAAGCCCAATTGAGTCTGATCAACTATCGGAAAGGCGGACAACCGTTTATGAATCTCCTCACCATGATCCCGATCCAATTCGACTCGGACGATTACAAGTTCTATGTCGGGTTTCAGGTGGATCTCGTCGAGCAACCGAACTCCGTCTCAGGCCGCAATCCAGGTATGAGCTTTCCAGTGTATGGACATTTTTCCTAAGATCGAAGTTACTGACATGGTCTGCACCAGACGGTAGTTATGCGATCAACTACAATAGAGGCTCACTCCCCGCATACGCGCTGCCAGCGCCTCCCGATCCAAGCCAGGCTCTACAAGAAATTGGCCAGACAATCCCCAGGGACGAAGTTTCCAAGGTATTGAGTTCGATTGGCCGGGGCGAGACCGACCTTTCGAGGCGCATTTGGGACAAGATCCTGTTGGAGAATGCCGATGACGTTGTGCACGTTCTTTCGTTGAAAGGCCTGTTCCTTTACTTGTCCCCTGCCAGTCGGAAGGTGTTGGAGTACGATGCGAGCGAGCTTGTTGGCGTGGCTTTGTCGTCCGTATGCCATCCCAGTGATATTGTCCCAGTGACTCGAGAATTGAAGGATTCGTCGAATGGTGCTCCGGTCAATGTGGTGTACCGAATCCGCCGGAAATTCAGCGGCTATACCTGGTTCGAGGCACACGGCGGGCTGCATACCGAACAAGGGAAGGGGAAAAAATGCATCATCCTTGTGGGGCGCGAGAGGCCAGTCTATGCCCTTGATCGTTCAGAACTCGCGGCGGAAGAAAACCTGGGAGAAAGCGAGCTGTGGTCTAAGATCTCGACGTCGGGGATGTTTTTGCACGTCTCGTCCACGTCCCGAGTCATGTTGGACCGGATGCCCGAGGACCTGGTGGGAACCAGCCTGCAGGCTCTGATGCGACCGGACTCGAAGCGGGAATTCTCGCGGGCACTTGAAGTGGCCCGAACGGGAGAGAAGGTAAATTTCAAGCATGACCTCCTGAACAGACGAGGCCAAGTTCTGCATGCGCAGACCACTATTTATCCAGGCGATGCTCGACCAGGGTTCAAGCCCACATTTCTGCTGGCGCAGACGCGCTTGTTGAAACTGACCCGGACAGCCCTGCTCAACCAGAAATCCCACAGTTCGTCATCGACCTCGACTGTACAGACATTTTTGGGATCTGGGTTGTCTTCGGGTACAGGGACCAATAGTTCATCGACATCTATATCGCCCGACGGCCAACCGCTGGCTGGCCATGGCAACGCCGTGACACAAGCGGGTGGTCACGGTCTGACGCTAGGCAACCAGGACGATGCCTTGAATTCCGAAGATAACCTGTTTGACGAGCTCAAGACGACGCGGAGTTCGAGTTGGCAATTCGAACTCCGACAAATGGAGCGCCAGAATCGGATATTGGCCGAGGAGCTGCAGATCTTGCTGAGTCGTAGGAAGAAGCGCAAGAGGAGAAAAGGGCTGGGACAGCTGGAAAAGGATTGCGCCAACTGTCACACGCGGGTGACCCCCGAATGGAGACGAGGTCCTAGTGGGAAACGTGACCTGTGTAACAGCTGTGGCCTTAGGTGGGCCAAACAGGTAAGCAGATTGACGTTAGGTCGACCGTGTCTTGACCATGGCTAACCTGGTGCCTAAAATTGCAGAACGGCCGAGTTTCTCCCAGGAAGACTAGCAGTGTCGCTCAGAGCGAGAAAGGTTCAAAGCCCGCCGTCCCCGCCCAGGCACCCGTCACGAACAATGTCGATGTTAAGGGGGGCAAATCGCCAGCCACAGTCAACGGTACCAACCAGGAAGTATCCTCTGGTGCGACTGGTCCTGCCACCACGGTTCCCAAGGACCAAGAGAAAGATGACCGAGATCCATGGCGAGGGACAATGCCTCCTAAGATCGAAGAGGCTGAAGAACCCCCACATCCAACGGTGTTGCCAACTTGAACAGACCCTCCCTCCATTCTGAAAGGAGGATTGTCCAAGTTTTCGCAGCTGGGCAGGACTTGAACTCACTTGAAAGGGCGTGAACTACCCACAGTCCAGCTTCGATGAATGTATCGAGACACGATGACCCGGGTGGGCGAGAGGGTCGATCACTTCGTGTATCACCATACTGCCATTTATCATCTCAAAGGGGTCCATGAATGTCCCGACATCGACTGTCATACGAACTACTTACGATTTGTTCTCGTTCTCACAGGGCCGTGTCACCGATTGTGCAACTTTGCAAGGGATATTGTGCGATAACAGATCTAATCGGTCTCAGCATAAAATGAGATGAGCACTGCTGGCTCGGTGCACAACCCGCGGCAAATTGTTGCAGCTGCCTGGACATTGAAATAACGGCCTTTCGACGGAGCCGACACCGAAACCGAACCCTGTTGAGGCTTTTGCAGGGATTCCCCTGATGTGGCCCGGGTACAGCCACGTCTGGCTTTCAGAGAGTCCAAATTGACGGAACACTTGCATTCGCATCTCAGTTTGTCTTTAGCGGTTGTCGCGATCCCAACAGAAAGCCGTGCGATACTATTTCTGGCAATAGGCATGGAACTCATGGTATCTCGGGTGGTTCATACTCACCCGAGCGCTGCCTTGGGAAGCCCAGATCTCCTCCGGAGCGGTCCAGAAAGCCATGTGATATACATACATGTGTGTCTTTTGTGTCCATCTTACAATGCATGACGACATGTTGAAGAAACTGGCCATTATCGATGAAGAAGACATGAGGTGTATGCGAGTTTGCATCATGAGGTCGAGCTCGAGAAGTCTTTTTTTTTTCTTTGGAGGGCGATGGTGCTTTCTGGATGACATGATGGGATTTTGGGGTTTATGCATAGTCTGGGTGTTTGCGCGGATTGTCAGTTATTCAGTCATTAGGTACAGTTAACGACCACGCACACGACCACGGTTACGAAACAAATATGAGAAAGGGCATGAAATTTATTCAGACGGCACGCTGCGAGGATGAGACGGGTTCGGGCAGGAGGGGGCCTTGGAGCCGAGAGCTTATTTGTCGTGTTTCTTTGTTCTCTCTTTGCTCTGTTCGACTCAGGGGAGGATATACCTTGGAACTTGTTCTTCCGTTGCAGTTTGATGCAACGACGGGGTCGAGCTACGGTGTCTATATCTAAGCTACCTACCTCCTGCATGCCCCGAGATGGATGAGGGCTGAGACCGGGGGCTGGACGAAGTCCATTTATCGAATTGATCATATATTATCCATCGATTCGGGTTGACAACTATATTTCGGACATATCCTCGAAGTTCCTGGCATATTCACTTGTGGGTGTAGTTGTCTAGATTGTGGACATATGTGGATATATTTCGATATACAGTAAGCACGTCGCGAGGATCCTTACCTTTCTCTCTGGTCATCGTCCCACCATTCCACATGCAGTGCAAACACATTGTGTCTACCTATATACAAATATTGAAACAGTCGGAGAATATACGATCTCTCTCTTTCGTTTTGGCATCACGATAGATAGCTAGTCAAGAGGGGCTCCGTGCTTTTTCCCTTTCTCTTTCATGGTCCTGGCTAGCACTGGCCTGCATGACTGATGGTGGTAGGGTACCATGCACTCCCAGGTTATCCGCAGTTGGGGATGCCGTCGGTACACTGGCAGAGCTCGAGGTTGCCGCATTGGTGGCCGAGTTGCCAGACTCCGGGGGAGACGCAGTAGAGCTATGGGATGTTGATGAGTATATCGGCAAGAAAGACGGCGTCCCTCGAGGCCAGACAACAAAAGAGATCAAACGTACAATGGACAGGTAATCGTTGTTGCAGGACGGTACGCCGTCAATGTTGGTGCAGGGCTGGCCGGGCTGGGCGACCTGGCAGATTCGTTCGACAAGGACCGGGTTTGGGTTTGGGTTTGGGTTCGGTCCTGGAGCTGGGGCTGGGGCTCCGGAAATCAATGGGCTCAGTAGGAGGATGAACGTCGTGACGATCAGGGTGATTGAGGCGAGGGGGTGGGTTTGCATAGTTGCTGGATTGGGTGCCTTTGTCGTGGTGTTATGGGAGACGAAACAACGGATCGATCGGTAGACACGATTGACTCGAGAGTTTTAAGACCGCGAAGATGATGTTGCCAGAATTTGAGAAGTTCGGGCGATGGAGAGAAAGACTTGCGAAGGTGTAGAGTGTGGATTGAGAAAGAGACCTCGACTGGGAGGAGTTGGCTGATGTTGTGCTTTTTATCTTGCTATGGACACTTACTTGGTCACCTCACTCACCTGTGGGCGGTGCATGGTTTGTTAGTATCATTGACCTTCTTAAGGGCCCTCTTCTCGAGCGCCAGGTAGTATCTAAGACGTTCATCATGTAAAAGGTGTGGCGGAGGTCGTTCGGTGTATGCCTTTGGCTACGCAGGCTCCCCAGGCGGGCGTCAACAGCTCTGGAACCCCAGGTGTCAGAGTGAGGTTGAGGCCCGGTCGAGGCTGAAGTCTGGCGGCAGATCTGCCAGTGAAAGAATCCACGGCCTGTTTGGGAACATTGCTGTGGACTCTGAGCGCCAGTGAGAGGGCTGATATTGTTGTCGCCGCGCTTATGGATCCCAAAAAAGGTACCAAATAATGGCCCAAGAGTGTAGTTTTTACAGGTAGCAAGACAATGCGTCTGTTCTGAGGGGCCATGTTCGTGTACGGTGATCAGCAATGTTGGCAGAGAGACAACATCAGGGACAAAATAGCCTGGGTGCCGGTCTTGCTGGTGCAAATTATTTGTTCTGATATGATTGGGAAAGACTGTAGCAGCTGGCCAGCAAGCAGGTTGGCGCATATTCAGCACTTGGAGGACATCCGTACTGGACACACTCTCGGCTCTGAACCCACACACACCTCCAGCTGCTCAGTTTAGATACTGAAAGTGTTTGAGATCAGTGAGGGATCAGATTCGAGGAACAGGCAAAATAGAATGGTGGGGCCATTGCTGCGGTCGGTCTTGTTCGAAAAGCAAGATGATGAAGCATGCAGGGTGGTGTCTCGCTTTTTGGAGTGGGCGAAAGAGAGCTTGCTCGCATTCTTGATGGAGACTTGAGTCAATCGGCTTTTGGACAAAAGATCATGGCGGAAGTGATAATGTCCAGCTGGGTCGCAAGTCACTGTGAGTGTGCAACATTCGCGATGCAGATGAACCAGCAGTAGCAGCAGCTTGAAGCCAGCATGATTTAATTAGGTACTGCACCTTGAGAACCACCTCCCCCAGCAAGTACCTACAACTACTTTGTTCAGGTAGGTAGTAATACAGAGGGCGTCAGTATGGACTGTAGATGTGCGAGGCTTGAGGTATCGAGATCCAATCTCTATAGCGCTGCAACATACGTTGCAGGGGATGTGATCTTGCCCTGTCCCTTGGCTGTGGCTCCCCGGGTCAGGCTCCAAGGCATCAAAATACTACTAGTAGTACGCCTTGAAGTTGCCTAGAAGCAACCACGCATAGGTGCCCGGATATGCCTAACGAGCCTCTGTTCATCTACTATACTACAACTGTATGCCTCAATGTTGGTGGTAGCATGTCAGTTCCACGGTTGATGGTCACCTGCAGTGCAGCATCGTAGGAAACAAGGTCTCATGATCTGCTTTTGCTCGAATCTTGATGCCCAACCACGACGATCAACTACGATCAACTTTTTCTTCAGCGCCGTTTCCTTTTGGGCCGGTGCCGCGGCGGTAGTGGCGGCGGTGGTGTTTCAGAGGGTGATGGCTGGGAACTTGTGGCGAAGACATGGTCCCGACCAGGAGGTTTGGCTTCTGTCTCTCCGAGCTCCAGTGGCCGTGGACGCCGCCTACGGTGGTACACGCAGTGCTACTGTAGGTACCTCACAGAGGACCGAACACCTGCTACTACTAGTACTGCACAATTCTTTCCCCAGACACCTGCTGTTCCTGCTCCAGTACGATATTCAAATACTCGTAGATGGTGTATAAGGGGAGCTTCCAAGTCAGTATGGATGATGTTACGCTGACCGTCTGGATGACCGGAGAATACCCTGCTCTTGTCCCTTACTTTCTCCTTCGTTACAGTAGATACCCAACATCGATGATAAATAATGCAATGTTGCACCACGATCTACTAGACTACGCAGTTCCACCGCCCCTCCCTCGCCTGGACTCTGGGACACTTGTTCCCTGTCTCTGCCTCTCTCCCTCTGTTGAAGTTCGTATCTCTGCGGCCCCCTGTTGGCATCTGCCTCCACTGGGTCCCGCGTCCGCCGCCGTCACCGTCGCTCGCCCTCGTTGTCCGCGAACCAGGCTTCCAGGCCTTGGGAGTCCTCCATTCCAAGCTGCCCAAACCCGAACCCTGCATCGACGATATGCCATATGACTGATCTGACGACCTGTGACAAGCCTCACCTCACCTCATCCTCTTTTTTCTGCTGCATTGCGCACAAAAATCAGATCCCACGCATACTCACTTCAAAAACACCAACTGCAAGCATTGGACCATCGGCGATTTCGCAAGCGAATCTTTCTGGCTTCACATCCGACCTCTACTGCGACATCGATTTTCGTTCCTGACGCTCTGCCTCCCGAAACTCCACGCGCTGCATCTTGTGACGGCCTGGCGCAACTGGCGTCTCGCTTCTGCTACACCTGCGGTCCTGCATTCAATCGGCCGCCCTCCGCGCCCGACCATCGAAATTGAACGCTTGTTCTCTGAGTGGTATTGCCTCATATACAGGATCTATACTGGCACCCGTGCTCGTGTGCAGCCCACTGGCGCATTCCGACCCTCCCTTGCGCCCCCTTGTGAAAAAGCAAAAGCAAGAACTCCCTTTTCCGGCGCCATTCACAGTCCCGACGACGAAAAAGAGCCAAGGACCTTTCCCGTCACAACCGCCGCTTGTGCGAACTTGTCCGTGCGCCGACTCCATATCTCGGGTCTAGCATCGTCATCGCAGAGATACTTAATATCTTGTCGCATTCCCCGGATTTCTAGTGAACCATATCGGCGAAGAGCTTGTACAGAAAGAACACCAGTCTCGCCCAGTCCCAGAGCGATATGGCAGATAAAATTTCTATCACTATCTGTGGGGATGGAGGATGCGGTATGTGTGAAGCCCCATCGGCGCAATGCCTCTGGGTCGGTCGCATGCTGATGTCGGGCGCTCGCAGGTAAATCATCCATTACGCTTCGGCTCGTGCGATCACAATGGACGTCAGAGTAGGTCGAGATCCATGTTTACCCGTTCTGGATTTGGTCCTTTCTAACTCGTGTAGGTACGATCCCACCATTGAGGACTCTTACTCGGTCACGCGCACAATCGACGGCCTCAACTATCACCTCTCACTGACCGACACCGCGGGCCAAGAAGAATATCGAAGTCTGTGGGCGGCGTCCAACCTACAGTCGGACGCTTTTCTACTTGTCTACGACATCACCAATGCCGCCTCTCTCGAAGGGTTGACGTGGTTTCTCGACATGATCGACATCGAGGCCGAAAACCGACTCGAGCAGAATTCGAGACTACTTCAACAAAAAGGCCCCAAGGTTCGCGGCCGAAGAGAAGAAGGCTGGAAATTCCCTCCGATCAAGATCATCGCAGGCAACAAATGTGATCTCAAGGACGCCCGAGTGGTCAGCAGCAAGTACGGCTGGGACTGGGCCAAGAGCAGAGGCTGTGGGTTCATGGAGACTTCGGCCAGAGAAATGGTCAATATTGAAGAGACATTTGCTTGTACGGTTACCCCATTGTGCCACACAACAGCACCAACACTGCTGTCTGTTTGTGCAGAGACTGACTGTTTTTAGTGATTGTTCGCCGGGTCGTCGAGGCCAGAAGACAACAACAAGGCTCAGGCGCCGAAATGGCTCCTCAGTATCCCCCCTTTGGTTCCATTAAAGGTCATACTCCCAACGTCAGCGCCGGCGCTTCCCAAGTTCCCAGTTCTATGCGTCCTACTCCCCTACCGATGGCCGAAAAGTCCGGTTTCGACGATGACAATCCTCCTGTTCCATGGTGGAAACGGATTTTCTGCTGTCAGGGCTGATGAACAACAAAAGAGAGACCAGCACCCAACCATTTTGGGAGCTTATATTCGCCACATGGTTTCTTTGTCCTCTTGTACAGTACGGGCGGCTATATACTGTGTTCGCTGTCCTGGCTTCGACCTGGTCGCATTGAGTGGTCAGCATTCAAAGTCGGGGACTGTATTTATACTATGCGAAAGCGCCCTCATACCCGGTGCTGCCTTGGACACGAGAAGTTACAGTCATCACATTGCATTCACCAAGGCGATCAGCCTATTTGGCAAGCCACGCCACGCCACGATGTGTGCTGCCTCGCTCGAATTCGGCCCATCAGGTCGGCTGGTGAGGAGGCCATCCGGATATATATACTTTAGCATCCATCCACCACTCAAGTTGCCCTGCCGAACTTAGCCGAGCTGAACAGGATACCTGGAATCGGGCCCTCCCTCCCCACAACAATCTGAGTCGATTCCTGCGAGTTGCGGAGCGAGCAGCAAAAGGGACCCGCCCCTCCACGAACCGGAACCCGGGAATCAATCCAGTTTCCGTTTCGAGAGACTCTTGACCGCGTCCGAGATACAAGATCAACGACCGACCTGTATTTATTTCCCCCCGGACTGGCCAGAGGATGGGTTCCTACATCCATCGGCAATACCATTCGAGTTGATTGACTGACTGGCGCTTCGGTCTCCGACAACGCCCGCCATCTTTTGTTTTTTTTCAGTGTGTTCTGCTGGACTGGCGCCAAGTGCAGAATCCGTACCTACCTACACTACCACCGCTGCCGGCATCCACGGGACTCTCGGCAAGGAATGGACAGGGGACAGGAACAAGCTGGTGAATGAAATGGCTGCCTCACTTGATGTTTTTTGATCTATCACCCTACCTACCTGCCGTACCGTCTATACCTTTGTGATTTCCTCTGATCCAAATAAGCAGGCGATTGATTCGTTAGACAGTGTTTATGTTTATGTCTATGTTAAACAATCTTTTTTTGCTGCGTTTGGCGATCGGAAAAGCAGACGGAACCATATCTATCTTACAGTATCTCTATCTATATACCTAAGTATCTGTTATTACATGGGCATACATATACCTAGGTAGGTACTTTACGTACCTTGTATGCGGATATGTAGCTGATACGTGTTCTTCCTCGTACGAGTAAGTATCCTTATACATGGGCACCATAATATGTGTCCCATGTGTTCGTAGAGTTATGAGCTTGGTACAAGGAGTACCTAGTACAGAATCAACAGGAAGGCATCGATCGTACTCTAAGTACCGAAAAAATCAGGTCAGTTGGTATCAATCAGTATCAGGATCCCTATCCCTATTCCTATCCCTGTCCCTATCACTATCGGATATCGCCTAACAGCTAGGGGGGTCCCCACACAACAGACAAAACGTCTATCTATGTGTGTGTCGTGTGTGATATCCCCTTCACCGCCCAAGAAGAGAAAATTGAAAAATTGAAACAAGACCCAAAGGGTTAGTAGAAGTAGTAGTAGTAGTCCCCATCCCATTCCCATTCCCAAGTCCAAAGTCCAAAGATACCTAGTCCGACGACCATCATCGATTCGCCCCATGCTCCATCTCAAAAACAACATCTTTTTTCTGGAGTACCCGCTCGCTCGCTGGACCAGAATTCCAAAAAAGAAACCCCGAACCATGCTGCCGACAAAAAACGCCTAATCCATGCTGAGTTACGGTGTGAATGTATATCATGGTGTGACCCGACCCTGCGGCGCCCCACATCCGTAATTCTTCCTGGCGGACTGTCAATCGAAAAGCTGATTCCAATACAATACCATCGATATTGACCGCGAGTTCCAAAGCGAATAGTCCACCGCCACTGATTTGACCCATCAGATACTACATTTATGCGTCAGTACTTACTCATCCTATTTTAGCCTCACGATAGCGAATCAACGCCGGCCAGGACGACTTTCGTCTTCCCATCCTGTCTTGCTAGCGACCTGGCTCGACAAGGCCAAGTTCGCTTGCAAGGGCTGGCGAGGGCGGAAAGAAAGCACCATCGAGACATGCTCAAAGGGAGAGACGTAGGGGAGGTGGACAGGGCGGGACTTACTAAATCTCAATCGGGCTGATCTGGTCGAACGGGAATAACCAATTACTTCCAGCCTCGACCTTTTCAAGCCTACACAGCAACACAAAGACACAGCCCAACGTCAGCACATGTTTTTCACTTTTGGAGTACTGGGACGGCAAAAAGAGAGACAAAGGCAAAACTCACCAATCATAGGGCCAAACCACAAGATGTCCTTGTATACAGTTCAACAGCTCTTCCGCCTCGTCCACACTGAGGATGTCGTCGCTGGCGCTGAAATCCCTTCTACCAGATCTAGTGGTAGCTCTTCGGCGTCGGCGCGCAGTCCCCGTGGTTGTTCCAGCTCCCTGGGCGGCTGCGGCCGCCGTAGCCGCGGCGGAATTCTGGTTGATGGCATCCGAGTATCCCACAAAGGGAGTCGTGGCATTGCTGGCTCCAACATTCGGCGATGCGCCTCCCACAAATGGAGGGGCGAGTTTCTCTTTCTCCACAGCAGTGGCCGTGCTCGGTGTGCTGGTTGTCAGCTCTGTTCCAATCTCGCCCGCATCTTCGTCGTTGGTGTGGTCAACATCAGCACCGCCACCTTCTTTCTCGTCCATGACTTCCCCCTCGGGCACACTCTGGAGTCCAGCATTGTAATCATCTACTTCTGCGGCCAAAATGCCGGCCTTTTCTTCCGTCAGACTCTCCTGGCGATGAAGTGACGGCTTGCGCTGTCTTTCCGCCTGTTCCTGGTTCGCCTGTGCTGCCCAGGCACGAAGCTTGGCCTTTTCGGAATCGGCTTGTCCCTCCTTTGACTTGGCGCCAAACATGTCTTTCACCATGTCCTTGGCATCGCCCGTACCTTTTTGAATATCGGCAGGCACAGAAGTCAGAGCCGTCAGTTGTGCTACCGGGGCATGGGTTCCGGCTCCTGGAGGACCACTTTTTGCCGCGGCTGCCTCTGATCGTGTCGGTTGAGCCACCTTCTCTTCAATAGAAGTATCATTGCCTTGGAGTTGGTCGAATCGCTGCTCATACGCGACGTACTGGTGATAATCATCCCAGTTTCGAACCTGGTTGTCTGGCATACAACGAAAGACAGACCGGTAGATCTTGGTATTATTCTCGGCGACCGCGTGCCAAGTATCATAAAGAAAAGCGTCGTGAATAGGGTCTGTCATACAATCCTGATCAACCAGGGGTCTCTTCAGCTCGCTCATCAGAGGGTGACGACCCCGAGTAGACTCCTTTGAGGGCGTCTTCGTAAGTGGCGGGCCACCTATATCCGAGTCATCCAGTTGTGGAAGAGCAGGAAGTTGGGATACAAGTGGTAGACCGAGTTGCTCAGTGTTCATCCGCTCCATGTTCGGCCGAGGAGGCAACGGGGGATTCGGTGCCTCCAAACTGACCACGTACGAAGGCAGACGCTTTTCTTCGCCGCGTTTCCTGGGATGTTGCAAGGTGGCATGACCTTCCGGATCGACATCGGAAATCAATACCTCTTTGTTTCCTCTTACAAGGACGGTGTCTCTGCCGTTGCCCAGACCGGCGGCTTCTATGTCTGCCATCTTGTCAAACCCTTGCCCTTCGACATCATGCTTGTGCTGGGTGTTGCCGGTGACACGGGCATCCTCGGTCAACTTTCGACCGCTCTTGAGGTTGGGATTGTCTGCCTGTTCCCAGTCAACATCGTGGTTGAAGCTCTTCAGGTCCTCGGCGCGGCGTAGTAAATCTTCCCGTATATCCCGCGTGCGATCATCAGGTGCATCCCACTCATCGTCATTTTCATCTGAAGCCTCATCTGATGATCTGGGTTGTGGGGATTTCCCTGCTCTCTCCGACCGATTCCGTTCCGCCTCCATAACGTGAGCATCCTCCATGATCTGGTCGACATCAAGACCAAGATGTTCCCTCATCAACCGCATCCGCAGCGTATGAGGGAAGCGGCCCACCTGGTAAGGCTTGCCGTTCATTCTTGACCAAACCATGTCAGTGTCTCGAACGACCGCTGCGCATTCAGAATCACGGTTTCCCAACATGGAACGTTCATTTATGTTGGCAGAACCAATGATAGCAACCCTGTCATCCACGACCATGCATTTAGCATGAATGTACAACTGCTCTGTAACCAAGGTATTGGTCGGCCCAATCCTGCCCCATTGGCGTAAGCTGTAGAACTGGATGTAGTCCTCCGGTTCTATACCAACGGACTTCAACCGTCCAAAAATGGACGATTCTCCTCGGCAGATGCTGCGGTATTGATACTGCATAATCAACCGCACACTCGTCCCACCTTCCTGCTCCACTGTGTTTTGAAACCCTGGGATCAGGGGAATAAGTATAACGGCTCTCCAAGCTTCGTCATTCTTGGCTGCTCGCGTGATCCGTTCGACAATGGCATCGTTGATCTTATTGTGGACCGTGGCACCCTCCGTCTCACAGCTCGAGATGAAGAATTGATTCTCAATGTAGACAAAATGCTCGGATTCTTCAATCAGCTTGACGTACGCATTCATGATGCTGTGCTCCGTTTTCTCCGGGGTCCCGATCGACCACGGCCCGGCAGAACGAAGTATCTGTACTTCGCAGGTCCCATCAAGTCCCAAAGCCTCGAGGTCAGCCGGGTTGAAATCAGGAGGAGGCAGCAGAAAAGGCGTCGGACGCGTGGGTTTCCGCTGTCGCAGGATGTAGTTCCACCTCTGGACAAAATGTCGGGTCAAGTCGCGAGCTGGCTGACCAACAACCTGCATCGAAATGTCATGCCACGGCATCCGGGGTACCTTTTTCCGATCGTACATTTCTTCATAAGGTCTGTTGAGGGCGTAAAAGTCCTGTACTCGGGGATTGGAGTAGTCTTTGCCAGGCCACAACTGGCAATGGTCGGCATCCTTGGGCAAATCACCTGTCTCAAACCCGGTAGGTTTGTCGTCGACGAGTGTATGCTGTGGGGTGTCCCATCTGCCAAAGCACAGGTCTATTCCACCCACAAACGCCAGAGTGTGGTCGACAATGCACAGCTTTTCGTGATGTGCCCAGAAGAATGTGTTCTGTCTGAACTGATTGGGCGATCTCTGGACAAAAACGTTCGGGTGCAGATCAAGCAAGGAGAACTTGGTATATTGTGAGTCGATGGGAATTGCCGATTCGATGTTACGATATACGATAACAAAGATCTTGACGCCCTCCTCTGCCTTCCGTTTGAGCAGGCGATCCAATCGCCATTTTTGACTGATCGCCGGAGGGCGTCTCATGTACAGCTCCGGACTCAACCACCAGTCGTGAATGTAGATGACGTCCTTGGCCTGTTCCAATGCACGCGACAGCACCCACATGTGATCGCGTCCGTCCACAAGCCACTGGGCAAAGCAGTTCGGTCTGACTGGCGCAAAGCTGTCAAACCTGTTCTTCTTGACCCACGGCGAGATTTGCATCATTGTGCGGATAGATTCCTCGAACTGATGCAACTGCCGCTCGTTCCTGGCCAGGAGCTTGAGTCTTCTCTCCGAGTTGGCCAGCTTGAGACGATGATGTTGGGGATGTTTGGCCGATTCCCGGGCGGCCTCTGCCAACTCTTTAGCGCCCCTTTGCTCCCCCTGGCGGTGTTTCGTGTATTGGATGTCGAAGTCGGAATCGAAGAGCAATACGTCGTATATGTGCATCTCCTCTGGGGAGTCCACGCAGACGACGTAGCTATGCCTCACAAGAAACCACTTTGGCGCATGCTGATGCATGAAGTGACGCGGAGTCATCGCCTTTCTAAAGTCCAACCCCTTGGCGGATCTTATAAGAAGGAAGCCTTCTTTACCATGATAGCTGCCCTCCGCCGCAAGACGCATACCCAAAGCTGAGACTTCAAGAAACTTGCAGACTCGATTACTCTCGGGACGAAAAAGCAAGAATTTGAGCATCTTCTGAAGGTAAGCTTCCAACTTTTTCCGCTGTCGCTCAGCGAAACGAGCATCTCTCCGTGCAGCTCCCCCAGGAGTTCCACCGTCAGGTAAGCCAGCCACACTTGACTTTCGTCGACCTGGTGTGAATGAGGAACGGTGCTGGATTTTCTCAATAGGTCTTTCGGTATCCGTCGCAGCGCCAGCATCATTGTCATTAACCGGTTCGTCTTCTTCATCTTCCTCCTCCTCATCGAACCCACGGAATGATTTCAAATATGGGAACGCACTTTTGGGAAACTTGGGCATCTGTTTGCTCGAATCGCCACGGCCAAGGAGCTTCTCTGAACTGTACTGAAGCTTGTACTTGAGGTGGAGGTTGACAAAATCGCGCAGAGATCTCTTCACAACCCAGTTCATCCGATTGATTCCATTTCCATATTCAAGCTCAATGCGGAAGACCAGATGGGGATCAGATTGTGTCGAGTCTGGATCTTTGGACTTGTCGACCTCGCTGTCAGTAATCTGCAACTTCAACTGCTCTAGCAGAACTGGGATCCTTCGATGATCGTGCTCGTCGCGCTGGAACATGCTCGCAAGGATTAGTGCTGCGGGCGTTGCGGCAGACAGTTCAGCCAATAGCTCTGCCGACTTTTCGTGATCCGGCGTCCGCTCTTTCTTTTTGCTTTGACCCAGCATGCGGAAGCTATTTTTGATTTGCCTCCACCTGGCTGCACTTAGCGTTGACCCGCGCTCTGCCATCAGCTTCCGGCGGGAGGGAGTCTTCGGGGTTCGCACCTCGCTCGAGCCGGCATCACGGGAGGAGTTCATGTTGGAGAAGCCTAAAAGCGTCAAAGGGCGTCGTTGACCTTCGGGCGTAGTATCGCCAGCCTTCTTTTGGCCTCCATAACTGAGGCCACGGAGCGGATGACGGGGCGTCCAGCCACCAGCACCGGCCAAGTGTTTGCGCCCTTCGTCCTCGGACAGTCCTCCGTGGGCCATATCTGTGTCAGTAGCTCTCCGAGCCAGCAGACGAGGTCTGTCTGGTTCTGAACTCTGCGGCATGCTTGAAGAGCCCGCCCGCATCGGACTGTGTGGTGACGACGGTGCCGTCTCGACATTATCGAGATGACGGAATCTCCGTCGATGTCTGCGAGACCTTCGTTGTGAGGCCCCAGTTTCCGTGGCACTCTCTTCGGCATCCGCATCAGCTTCGGCACCGCTATCTTCTTCCATAGTCGCGGCAAGTCCGGATTCATTGCGGCCTGACTGGCTTGATAAGAAGCCATCCAACTCCTTGCCATCTGTTGAGCGTGCACCTAACGACAAAACACTGGGAGAGCGAGCGTGTGAGAAACCTTGGGGTAATGCAAGAGCTCGGAGCCTAGCATATAATGACTGAGGCTTGTCCTGCTCTGAGCCTTCATCTCTGCCACCTGGCGGTGTATCCTGGCCGCCTATGTGGGCGTCGATCTCTTGCGTGTCCCGCGAGAACTGCACACTCTTCCTTCCCACCGTGGGAGTTCCGTTGCCATTCACAACACTGTCCGACTCGGGAAGCTCTGTAGTCCAAGTAGGTAGGTCATTCGACCTTGCCGCGGCAAGTTGGCTGGAAGATGGAAGGGCTCTCTTTAACACTCCGGCCGTCTTGGATGCCGTCGACAAGGAATCCAACCTGTCTGGCGAACGTTCTCGGGGCGTTACACTCGGTGGTGTTGGTCCAGATGCCAAAGTCTCAACTGATCGTTCATTTGTCTCCACCGCTGGCCCTGGACTGCCATTCACCGCAGGACTGGGTATGGTGACTTCGTCATGTATGGTCTTGAGATATCCTGCACTGCCGCCTGAACGGAAATCGGGTGTGTTCCGGTTCATATCAGCAGTTTCGGCCATGATGCCAACTTTCTAGGCCTGACGGTGGAAAGCCGGTTCGATCACGGTGGCCGCAGCCGTGCCTGCCGCGAACAGTCCTTAGACACGGACGAGCATAATGTGTATTTTCCTTCCCCTGCACTGGATTCTCCTTGTCTCAAAGTTCGTGCAGATATAGGTAGGCAAGGCTGGGTGTGCTCACGTAGGGGGTCCTCGTATTGAATGGGAAAGCTGTAAACAGTGTCGTTGGCGGTGATTTTGGGGGGTCGGAAAGGTGTCCGGAGTATTCTTGTCGTCTGATCTTGGATGATAACCGTCAGGGTCTCGCTGCTAAGGATTCGGAGGGATATGCACGTCTCGAAGACCAGGCTTGAAAGATATGCTGCTTTCTGGCCTCAAACTTGAAGGAGTCGCAGGTGAAGGGAGTTGTCCAACAAGTCCGGTCCACCCTCAAGTTACGCCGATAATCGCGGTGGAGACTGCGGCCGACTACAATGGTGTACTCTAATTGTGGTTTGTACAGTGGGCACGAATGACCACTGACAACTGTATTTAGCGGGACATGGTGATTGCGGTGCGCCATGCCACACAGCCTGCTGGCAGCACATGGAGCGTCGTCCTGGCGAGGACCTGTGCCCCTAAAGCCCCCACGTCGCCCGGAAACTGGCTTAAGGAGCCCCAGAAGTAACCTTTTTACGCCTAGTTTCCTAACCTTAAGGGAGGTGGGCACGACTTAATTTGCCTTGCCCAACGCGTGTCCTGGTCTGGCCGGGCGCAAGGCTGTGAGATCCCAGACCTGTACAGTGTGTGCAACAGTTCGATATTCTCGACTGAAACTTGGCGAAAGCGCTTATACAACCACACCGGCGTTCTTCAGAGAAGGTGCTCCAGATGTGCATAAAACATTTATATATTCCGCTTGCAATGCGTGTGCTTGGGTCAATGGGTACAGTTACCGTCTGCTCATGACGGTTGCTTGTCAGTCATGCGACAAGTCCCCAGCATAATGCTGCCACCATACCCCCATGCTCGCTGCCACAACCAAATCACACATTTTCAAGCCTTCATCACCAATGATTAACTTGCCCAGTTTTGCACTCTTTCCTTTGAATCCACCTCCAGCTCTCTCCCGTCCGAGATCGAGGTTCAGCCGATCTTCCTCAACCGACTGATCGGACTGGGAAGAATCTTTTCTGGAATGGGTGAGACGCGGGGTGTGGTCGCTGCTCTCGACATGCGACAATTGCATGCGAGCTTTATGAGTCAGGGTCTGCAAACTCCGTCTCCATTGTTCTCGATTGGACGCCATTGACGACCGCGGCGGGTGTATGCTCTCTGAATTATTGTTTTCCTGCTTGTGGGGATCTTTGAGTCGCATAAAAGACCAGGGCAGATTGAAGCGGAGCTCTGCGACGTCAACTGCCATCGTCGGTACTGACGGGTTCGCAGGCGGCAGCGTGTGTCGACATCGAATACTTTTGCCGTCTACACCATTGCTGAATGCACACACGCCCTGCCACGGTGACACGAAGGAGAAGGCATGGCGCGGTTTCTTGTTGGAGGAAGAATGGGTATGGTGGAAGAAATCCGAAGAGTTGCTCCTTTGCCTGGTCAGGGGCGAACCTTCATTGTTAGCAATAAGCATATAAGCAACTCTTCTTTTTAATAGATGCCCCGAATCTCCTTCCAGTTGGGCGAACTTGACATATCCTGGAGAAGTAAGTTCAATTTCGAACTCTCTGAGAGGATTACCTTGCGGCTCCGGCCCAGGATAGATTATGCTTCCCACGTTCCATTGACTGCCAGACGTGGGGTCCCTCCGGATAAGAGTGATACGCAACAAGCGAGAGGATCTACCCGCTTCAGCACTGGTGAAACCAGGATCTGATCCTCTGGATTGTCCCACAGGGCTCGCGCGCAAGGAAGCATTATCCGCGCTTGCGCGGTTCGGCTCATAGGCATCAGCTGGAGACGTCGACTGGACTGGCTTCCTGGCCAATTTGAACTTCATCTGCGCATCACCAGCAGGGGTTAAGGCGTTGCCACCCTCCTCCGGAGTTGTGCCAGGAGACGGCTGAGCAGGCGACCGCATTAGTCGGGCACTGACAGGCTTGCGAGTGATTCCGGAGTGACTGGTTGCCTCTGATGTTTTCAGTCTCAAGTGAGTGCGTCTGGCAGCATACCGGTCGGCTTGCGTGGACGTTTGAGTCCCCGACAATGCGGGCTGGTAGTGTGGGTAACTCTTTGGAGGAGTGGGAGGCCGTTGCGAGGCAGGATGGTTTACATAGGGTGTGGGAGGGAGAGGCTTCCTCTGAATAGGAACGTTCTCTTTATTGCGACATTCAGCAGCCTTGGTGGCCTCCAAAGACTTTCGCAACTCTTCATCCTCCGGCCGCTCCACATGAAGGAAGTACAGACTTGACTGAACGGCCTCGATGCTTATGGAGGCCTTGGTAGGCGGCTTAAGCGGTGTGAGGAACACATCTACCAGGCTTAACGTATGTCCATCTCTTAGGCAACTATCTCACCTTTGCTGCCGGGAACCCGAACGATGTAGAGGACGAGGGGTTCATGGGTTTGATGTGTGGGATTGCGCGGGTATCGTGGAGGGTTTGCAAAGAGGGCGCTCAAGGAGGAGATCGACCGGGCTTCGACGGGCGCACTCATGTGTCAAATCTGAGCTCAAGGTGAACTGCGTGAAGCGCAGCAGTCGTTGGATGCGTCAAAATTTACCCAGTGTCGACAGGACGAGTTGTTGGATTAGAGAGAAACGAAGTATATGCACCCGCAACCTCACATGAGCAATTTAACAATCAGCATGACTGGTTAGGGCTGCGTTACTACCATGGCTGGGCCAGAGTCGTCAAGTACAAAGCGATCAGTGAAGAGGGAGGGACGTGGTTAGAAGTCGGAGTGTCTGAGCCTGGAGGGCTGTTTGTTGTCAAGTCCGGAACGGTCGTGGAGTACTACGGAAGTAGTGCTGATGCGGTGATAGAGGCGCAGCCTGCAGCCTGCCATGGTCCTGCAGCGATGGGTTGGAAGTACCACTGTCCTTCCTACAACTTAGGCCGATGTTCCTATAATAGCACTCGATCTCGACTAAATAAAAGCAACTGGAGGTGCAATATTGTGGACCACCGTTGGCGCACGCATATACCGAGTAGGCTCCTGCTACCCAAGTACCTGTGTTTATGTCGGAGATCCGCCATGCAATGTAGGTAACCATAAGGTCCATGTAAAGGGCGTTGTGCACCGTTTTCATGGAGGCATCAGTATCCTACTAGTACCTTACCTACCCAGGTCCCCAAGGTCAGGTTAGATACAGTATCAGATACAGCAGGGACGACAACTACTACCACTGGCAGGTAGATAGATACAGGTAGTCTCATCTTATCTCCACGGGTGATCGCGTGCATCGCCCACCGTTATCCTGCAGAACGTCGTTACTGCCAGTACTGGCACTGGTAGCAGTTCTGTAGTGGTAACTATGACCCGGGGCCTCTCCACGGACGTTGTCGATCAATGCCCTACGTACCGTGCTATCATCCCGAAAATCCACCAAACACACTTCGTGTTGACGCAGCCACATCCCTGGGCCAGCGTCATCTGGATGATGCTGCCGCCTGTGGTATTTCGTGTCCGATGCGAGCACCTCCCTCCCCACTTACTACTACCTGGTGTGCATGATGTATTTGCCTGGCCAAAGAGCGAGAGATAAGGATATTTCTTTCGATAAATCTCTTCTCACCCCGGCACCTGTCGGCTGATAAAGCGGCTATATGTATTTATCGACCTGGCGGCAACTATGCATCGAGTCCGAAATGCCGATAAAAATTAAAGTTCGAAGCGTGGAATGACATCAACCGCCCAAATTGACATCTGCGTGGCACCCCTCGCGTCTGTTTCGGTTCAAGTTCGCAAAACAAACACTAAAGTGTGCTTCAAGTTGCTGGTCGTCTTTTGACGGCACTGCAAACTGATATTCTAGGGCGTGCGCCATGGCCTCCAGCTTTGACTCCAGTCCTGCTCAACGCATGGATGTGTCGATCGACGACAGCAACGAAAAGCGCGGCGAGGCACATCGGGAAGCGTCATCGGCAATCGACATTATACCGGCCTCGCAGAAGGATATTGAGAGGCTGCCCGAGATTGACCATGCTGCTGAAGCCCGCCTCATTCGCAAGCTTGACCTATACATCATCCCTCCGACTATGTTATTGTATTTGTTCTCGTTTCTCGATCGAGTCAACGTGGGCAATGCAAGGCTGTATGGGATGGAGGAGGATTTGGGTCTTCATGGCTCCCAGTATCAGACCGCTGTGAGCTTGTTGTTCGTAACATATGTGCTTGCCGAGACGCCCAGCAACCTTGTGCTCAAGAAATTACGGCCTTCGCGGTTCATTGCTTTCATCACAACCAGCTGGGGCATCATAGCGACGTTGACCGGCCTGGTGCAGAGTTATGGAGGACTGATTGTGTGCCGCCTCCTTCTTGGTGCCGTTGAAGCAGGCCTCTTTCCAGGTATGTGGCTTCTTTGGCTCTTCTTTTAGGCTCGTCTGATCCGTACCTCTAATACATTGTCAAGGCATGACGATATACCTCACGTTCTTCTATACCAAAAGGGAGCTCGCTCTTCGAATAGGTTATCTTTTCGTGTCAGCAGCATTGGCCGGAAGTGTTGGCGGCCTCCTCGCCTATGGCATCGGTTTTATGGACGGCCTGGATGGACAGAGAGGATGGCGATGGATCATGATCATTGAGGGCTTGCCCAGTTTCGTCCTGGGGATCGCAATCTACTTTTGGCTCGCCGACGCTCCCGAGACGGCATACTACCTCAACCAAGAAGAAAGGGAGTTGATGGTGATCCGAAAACGTCGCCAGATAGGCCACACGTCGTCGGCCGACTTGTTGCACAAAGACGACGTCTTCAGGGCCTTCAAGGACTGGAAGGTGTGGATGTTCGCTGTTGCCCAAGTGAGTTAATTGTCCCATTGTCGGTCAGACCATCTATACCCGGGCTGACCACGATCAGTTTGGCGTCGATACCATGCTCTACGGCTACTCTACCTTTCTTCCCACCATCATCAAGGGGCTGGGTAAATGGTCAACAGCGGAAACACAAGCACTTACTGTCCCATGCTATGCCATCGGCGCCATCACGTACATTCTCGTAGCCCGTCTCTCTGACAGACTCCAGCAACGTGCGCTAGCCGCAGTGTCCTTTTCCATTGTCAGCATCATTGGGTATATCATCCTCATGACGCCGGTCAGTCAGGGTGTGCGATATTTCGCTTGCTGCTTAGTCGCCATGGGCTTGTACGTGGCTGTTGGTATTCCGTTGGCATGGTTGCCGTCGAGTGAGTATCACCTGTATTTTTATCGTCTGGGAGACAATGAGCTGAAGCTGTCGAAGATCTACCTCGTTATGGTAAGCGTACCACAGCGTCAGGGCTCCAATTGACCGTCGGCAACGCTGCTGGAATCTCGGCACCGTTTGTAAGATCAAGCCGCCTTGAAGAACACCCTTGGAGGAGTCCGCTAATGTTTTTGCCCAGCTCTACCCGACGAGCGATGCGCCTCGGTACATACGCGGTCATGCAGTTTCGTTAGCCATGGTTGCAATGGCAGCAGTGATATATACAATTATGTCAATTTATTTTGTTACTCGCAACAAGCATCGCCGCACTGGTGGGGAGGAATCAAACATAGCAGGGAAATCGGAGGAAGAGATTGCGGAAATGGGTGACGAAAATCCACGATTCGTCTTTACCCACTGATGACTGAGCGGGAATGCCCTGCTTCCAGTTGGGACGATTGCAACAGATCCTGTATCTCGATGGGGTGAATGAGAAAGAATCAGCCTTGGGTTCACGGACAGATACCAAGACGGATCCGTTAGAACGACGCCTTGCCCAGGCATCGCCACACACATGGATGCTGTTCATCACATCTCAAAGACCGAGGGTTGACAAAGGGACCCTGTTGGACGCTGCCATCTCCTGTGATAACCTGTGGCACCGAGGCAGTCAATCAAGGGTCAGATGAGCTTTGTTTGCGTTCATTTGTCTTTGTCATTGTCCTGTCCAACACGAATGCTCTGCTCGAAGGCACGGCTGCCACTGGCCAATGATGGGCACCATGTCGACGCCTCACCTCTGCCTGAGTGACATGTCATCACATTACCAGTGAGCCCACGACACTCTTTGACTCACTATTGGCCGCTTCAGAAGCCAAGGTGTGCTCAGTCAGCAGAGGGATTTTGTGTATGATGCATTTTGGGTCATGTATTGGTGCCTGGACTGCCTTCCTTCGTAGTGGTCACCCATAACTTCACGTTGAAATCAGCCTCGAGCATGAATACCCTGCTCGGACTGCCTGAGGCTCTCGTAGCAGACTTTGGAGCCCGTCTCAATAGGTGAACCTGGCAGAGGCGAAGAATCGGGCAACTTTTCTAATGCCATTACCCTTTCAGCTTGATCGGTGTGGATGCATTCGTTCAGCGATGTTTTGGCCCCAGCCATCTCACGGTCTATTCAATCAACTTGTTCTCAGGGATGTACACGACTGCGAGCAGTTCCCAGCACGGGCTCGCTTCATTGAGGAATCATTGGTGGAGGTGTCCGCGAGCAGGATCGGTCGGATTATCACCGCTTAGAGAAGAAGAGATTGGTTGGCAGGAATGATCTTGAATCCCAGTTGGCCGTAGAAGATCGAGGATGGAGCAGGAAACCATAGGGTGGCGAGCTCTGCTTCTTGGTCGCCGTGATCAAATAGGGGGCCGGGAACAAATCCTGCGACAACAGATCACACTGTCTCCCGTGATTCGCACTGCCTGCAAATCAAATGCGTCTGCTCTCGGGCGCCTAAGCTAGACTGGCACCTCTGGTACTGGCTGTGCGGCACTTTCGGGCGTCTGCGAGGCAGAGATTGGGCACATTCCATCGCAGGGGCCTAGGCCCCTGGGTAAGATCGAAGATTGAACGGAGCGAGCAACGCCAACAGCCAACACGAGGCATTGCGTGTCGGAGAGGAAGGCAACCTGGACCGGGTTTGTGGGCACAGTTGAAGGACAAAGCATGCCACAAACGACGCGTGCTTCAGCTTGCCAGGCAAAAGTTGCCCCCAGAAAGGGGGCCCAGGAGGGCGAGACCCCCTAACTAACCACTCCTACAATGTACAGTGGGACTTCCAACGGCATCCATGCCCACCCAAAAGATCGCTGCTATACCTCAATTGTAGTATACAGGTGCCTGGTAGTTGATGACTTGTAGAGAATCCCCCAGAAACACTGGCAGGGGCTCGTGGACAGCCGTTATTGTGCCAACACCACCGTGCCTCTCTCTCACGACAACACATCTATCCAGTGTGCCGTTGATCCAGTCAATCCGGTTTGGGCCATCTCCTGTCGATTGTCCGGACGATCGATCAGGATACCGTCACCCGATCCACTACAATAAGGTCTTTGTTCTCATTCCGGCGCCGGGGATTGAACGAACAAGAAACATATCGTCATCCCTCTTTCATCATCAGCTTTGAGAGTCGAGATTCATTGAGCATATTATTACTGCCCAATACTTCAATATCAGTGCAGAAGAACTGTGTTTCAGCAACCCCAGGTTTCAACGTCCCTTCAGATTGTTGACGCCTCCGGCACCAGCACTGGTCAACCTGGACCTACCGAAGCAGTTTAAAGCCTGACGCCGGCTCTGGGAAGAGACAGGCGAGCAGGGAATCTTGAAGCACAAAAGCGGACGCGGAGCCGAAGTTGAGGCAGCGGGTGACGCTCCCAGTGCCTGTTCCAGCGAGGCATCAACCACTCAATTTAGTGCTGCGTCTGCACAACTGCAGTGCTTGGCTGCGCCCCTCGGCTCAGCTTGCACTTTATCTGCTCCCCGGTGCTGCCTGAGCTATTACTGCGAGTTCCCGGGACCCCGTGTGCACTGTTCAGCAGGCGTCTTATTAGGCGTTTGCCTCCCCAAGCTCACCCCCTAAACTCGCCATTATTGCCGACCTCCAGGCGACCTCCAGGCCCAAGCTTTCGTCATTCAACGTCCCGATTATTATTATTACTGCGGCCATAACAACCACCCTCCCCTGCTCTCAAGCCAACCCCCCGGCTCGCATCGTCAGCCCGAGACCTCGCCGTCACCCGCTAAGCCAAAAAGTTCCCGTCCCTCTCAAACTAAACTCAACGCATATCCACGCACGACGCGTTCCACCCTCTTCCAAACAACTACACGCTCCATAACTTTCGACGTTCCTCTCTTTTATTACTAGAGGACCGTCATCTATCACAAACATACCCTCTCGTTATTTGACTTTACCACGCGACAACAATGCAATCTGTTGTGTATCCCTACACCGTGACAAACAGCTACAAAGGGTATGTAACCAGTCCTTGCTCCATTTGCTGCAGCCATCTCCAACCACCCCTGCAAATGACTTGACTAACGTTCTCATCGTGTCAGGGGTCTCTTCATGCGTACCTACAGGCGCAATGTTCGACGCGCGTGGGACGGCGAAGACTATCGCCCTCCGAAAAGACAGCGTCTCAATGAGCCATGGAACGCGCCGGTCGCTTCCGCTTCAGGCCTCAATGAGAATACGCTGAATGAGGTGGACATGGAAGACAGTCTTGAACGCGCTATTCGTGAAACAAGTGTGGCGGCGTTGTCGTCTTCACCTTCACGTCGAAACAGCACCATCTTTTCTGCTGCAGAGTCACAGGAGGACGATGTATCCTCAAGCACGCTCACTCCCCCTTCTTCGCCTCCACCACGACCAGACCTACAGCTTACGCCTGCCAAAAAGAAGCCGAGGAAGCCAGAATTTTCTGTTCTCAGCAAAGACAAGGCGGAGAAGAAAGAACAGAGACCTGCAAAGAGAAAACGCGTCACGCCCGCGGCCGATCCGGATACCCCGGCAGACACGCGTCTCGACCTCGAACCTCTCTCCGAGATGCAGAACACGAGCGCGCGCGCTCCGGCAGAGAAGTCGACGATCAAAATCGCGCCTGACACCGAGGATCGCGATCAAACACCGCGACAACCCCAACAGGCCTCGAAGCCGACCGCAGCCAAGCCCAAGCAAAATCTTACACAAACCATACTCGATTTCGGTCAGTCGCTGGCCCCCACCACATGCGCGGTGTGCCAGATGTCATACAATCCATCCATATATGAGGATGCGCAGCTACATAACATGTATCACAACCGGCACAATTCGGGTATCGAAATGGGCAAGCCATTCATCAAGTCGGCGATGAGATGGTGCTACCAAGTGCCGCATATCCCTGGAAGCGTTGTCGTGGTTGACCGCAAGATCGCGCTCCCCGGGCGACGAGCAGTGCAAAAGGTCCTGGGCATAGTCAACAAAGAGCTTGGCAGCGTCGACATCAAAGAGGAAGGGCTGTGGAGCCAACGAATTCTGGAAGACGAGAAAGAAGGGGATTTGCACACGCGCAAGTGTGATCGATACAAGGCCTTCTTGCACATCATTGACGAGAAGTGCGTGGGCATCTGTCTCGCCGAGCGCATCTCCAAGGCGCATCGCGTTCTTCCCTGCGAGACGTCGACGAGCGAAACAATCGCCCTCAAGGATCATTTGGAACCAGCCCGTCCTGTCACACCGGCTCCTACCGAATCGAATGCCCAGAGTTCCTCGACCGAGCTCGCGCCGAAAAGCGCGCAGATTCCCACTCCGATCGCCAGTCCGACAGGATCTTTGCCCTCGTCCAGCATTGCTATTTCTGAGGAAACTTACCCGGCCGTCGTGGGTGTGAGCCGCATCTGGACAAGCAGGGCGTTCCGCAAAAAGGGCATCGCGCGCAACCTGTTGGATTGTGTCGTAAGTCAATTCATTTATGGGATGGAGATTGAGCCGACGCAGGTGGCATTCAGTCAGCCGACGGAGAGCGGAGCGGCTTTGGCCAGATCATGGTTTGAAGCGGATGATGGATGGCTGGTTTATCGGGAAGATTGAGTGATGTTGCTTCCCTGTGCTCGATGATGACGCGGCACAAATCGGAGAAACAACTTCGCGGCTCGTATGAATCGGGCTGGTGCACAGAATTCAATTGGCAGGTTTCAACAAGGCACACGCGATTTGTACTGCTGAAGTGATGCCTTGGGATGGACATGAAATTGACGCCATGGCGAAAAAAAGACTGTAACTAGGATACTACAGCACTACTGTCTATTCCTGGTACTATTCTGGACTGGACAATGCACAGAAGACAGAAGTACCCAATCGATGTTTGTATGCCAGAGACTGTTTGCATTTTTTTTGGCTCGCTGTGTAGTAAAGTATTACTTATATTACAGTATATCTGGCAAAATCACCTTGTTCGCATGCGTAAGTCATACTCTTGCTTGCCATGACTCTATAACACTCACTCTGTGTCTGCTGTTTCGATGGTCGTCGTCCTGTTCTCACTGAGTATTTTGGTGTGAGTGTGAGACACGCCGATGAGCCATATCAATGCAGGTGCCTACCTAATTTTTCACCTGCTTGATTGATTGATCGTATAAAGTCAATATGATCGCATGCGTGTACTTGTAGGTATAGGATATATGGTGGTACCAACGATATCGCTTGGGGAATTTGTAGGTAGTAATGTGATAGTGCCAGGACAAGGGGGTAGACGTTGTTTGTTTATTTATATTCGAATATGTCTGGGAACACAAGCACGACGACCACCAACACCACACCACAACCACTACATGACATGAATAAACAGGTAGACAATATACCAGGTACCTACATTGAAACAATGCCGTCGTGTAGTCAGGTACTGGTATTCGCGGCACCAGTACCCAAGGTATGTAGGTATATAGGTAGACTCGCTCATCAGTCCTTCCTTTCCAGTATAAACCACTTACCTACTGCAGGGCCATGAAAGACAACACCACACCAGGGGTACCAATGCCCGATACTGATATATACCGACATCATTCAGTCCCCTACCTACACAAAAAAAGGTAGATAAGGTATGCATTCAGTATCCGGTGCAAGAGGGCGGTGGTACAATATAGCCCTGACGAGCCCCAGGCGGCCACTATCCGGAGCGATGCGGGTCGCCGTTTCGACTGCACACCGGCAGAGGTGTTCACGGCTGCACGGAGGGTAGCAGTCTTACCTGCAGTGCCATGTCGCCCACCACCAAATCTTGGGCAAAAAATTGCAAAAAAACAATCAACAGCCAGGATTCCCAAATGGTCACCCACTTTAGTACTAACTGGCCGGCAACAAGTTTAAGTGCAGCTGAGCGGACGGGAAGCTCTGTTTTCTTGTTCCTATGGTCGATTGCGAGGGAGAAAGATGGAGGTCCTGAATAAGTATGTAGTAGTTTAAATATCCACTCATACTGAAGTTCATACACCACTGCAATCATGCCATGTAAGAAGAACATTCCACATCAATAATGTGACGGCCGGGAACTGATGATGAAGCACAGGTTGCTGTAAGTATTGAGGCAGTGGGCGGTCGCCGAATCCTTCCTGTCTAGCCGTATCAATGGTCCTTCTCAGGATTCGAATGAAACACTCCTCGTTCCCATTTCTGTTTGGAAAATGATACGGCGAGCATGGGCCTGTTACAGACCAGCCATTCAACTGCCGCACAGGGAACAGGAGCATAGAGGAAATAACAAGAGATCAATCAATCAAACATTAGGTCACTTGTTTGATCCAAGGTGCAGAACAAGACAATGCAGTGCACTCGCATGCTATCGTCCAATCAAATGCAATGGAATTAGAAGACTGCTGTATTTTGTATTTTGTACGAGCGACACTCCCATGCCACCGGCACCCTAGGAGACGCATGCAGCCATCAGCGAGATTAAGCCAGCAGCATTTTTCTCGGATCTTCTATGAATTCCTGTCGTAGTTGTTAGAACAGTACACGTGGGAAAAGCAGAGATAGAAAACCCAGCCTACCTTAATCTTCACCAAGAAGGTGACGGCCTCCCTACCATCCAACAGTCGGTGATCGTAGGTGAGAGCAAGGTACATCATCTGGAAAATGAGTTAATCAATCATCACATACCACCAAAGAAATGCCGATTTCCTTACAGGTCTGATCTCAATCTTCCCATCCACAACCACGGCTCGTTCCTTGATAGCGTGGAGGCCAAGAACAGCAGTTTGGGGCAAGTTGATGATTGGAGTCCCCATCATGGAGCCAAAGACACCACCGTTACTGATGGTGAAGGTACCTCCGGCCATGTCTTCGATAGTAAGCTTGCCATCTCGGGCCTATTCCACATGGTTAGTCGTTGTATTGGCATCTCATCTGAGATCACAAATACCTTCTTGCCCAGCTCGGCAATGGCGCTTTCGATACCCACCATGTCCAGACTCTCCGCATTCCGCACGACAGGCGTGACGAGACCTTTGGGCGTAGCAACTGCCACACTGATATCAACGTAATCGCGGTACACGATGGTGTCGCCAGCACCTGGTCCCTCGATCGAGGCATTGACAGCCGGGATCTCCTTCATGGCTAGGACTGCGGCTTTTGAGAATGCGCTCATGAAGCCAAGCTTGACGCCAGTCTTCTTCAAGATCTCATCCTTGTATCTCTTGCGGAATTCCATGATGTTGGACATGTCAACCTCGTTGAATGTCGTCAGGGATGCGGCAGTGTTCTGCGATTGCTTGAGGCGCTCGGCAATTCTCAGACGCATGCGGTTCATTTTCACCTGTTCAAAGATTAGCAATCGGGAAGGGGCAAAATCGTGACGAAATTTCGTACTCTATTCTCGTTTCTGCTGCCAGGACCGAACGGTGACGAGACACCTTTCGGTTCCTCGCTGGCAGGCTTCTTTTCTTCCTTTGGCGGTGCAGGCTTCTCCTCCTTGGGTGGCGCAGGCTTTTCCTCCTTCTTTGGCGGTGATGGGGCAGGCTCTTCCTTCTTGGGTTCCTCTTTCTTCTCCTCTTTCTTTGGCTCGGGATCGGAGCTGGTGGGCTGATCCTTGGAAGCAGGTTCTTTGGGCTCTTGCTTTGCTTCTTTGGCGCCGCCGCCGCCGGAACCAGGCTCGATCTTTGCAATCTCCTGGCCGACAGTAACAGTGTCTCCCTCGCTGACCATAAACTCCTTTATCGTACCGGCCTCAGGAGCATTGACTGACACATCGATCTTGTCCGTCTCGATCGAGGCGATTTCCTCATCCTGCTCAACGTAGTCTCCCACTTGTTTCGTAAATGAACTCAGAGTTCCTTCGGAAATAGACTCGGCCATCTGAGGGACTTTGACAACCGTTTCAGCATACTGGACAGGTGACGTGCTGAATTGCTGATAGTGGGAGAAGGTAGCGTATGCCGGTAAACTCGTGGAGCGGGAACTGAAGATGCTGGCCTGGCGAGGTGTACAGCTTGTTCTCAGAGCACTGAATGCGCGGACATGGACAGTACGGTTGCATCTGGGAACTGCAAGGGCAGAACCCAGCGCTGGGGTGCGTCGAAGCCGAAGAGCGGCCATGGTGCGGCAGTGGTCAGGTCGGCACGGTGCTACAACGAAGGGACGGTCGATGCTCTACCGAGCGAAGAGCTTATTGACTCTGCATACGAGGCGGAAACTCCGCCAACTCAAGGAACAAGAGAAACAGGGGATAGAAGAAGGAAAACAGCACCGGATGCTGAAAAGTTGTATCCAGGGATCGTCGGAACGGGGAGATGAGAGCTTTGGAGACGATCCAAGAGCTTCTGGGTACTGGGGCTGGGCATACGACAGAGATGACTTGACTTCAAACACAGGCGCTGGCATTGGAGCCGACCGGGAACCAGAAAGTCGCGCAACCAACCACAGCGGCCAGTGCCTGTACCACTCACCAGCTGCACCGTACTACACCCGAGCGCATGTCCACCGCCCGCAGCCACCACTCATCACACTCCAGGATCGACTCGCTTGAGCTTCCCTGCCAAGCCCCAGCAAACTAACTGCACTGCATTACACTCCCAATCGACGTGCCCGAATTACAGATTCGGCGAGATTCCCTCTGCGACGGACCACAACGAGCCTCAAGGGAGACAAGGAAGGAACTTCTTCAGCTGGGTCGTTCAAAGCTGTAGCACCGCGGAGCTTTTTGTCCCATCCCCCAGCGCCTACGAGCGCGTGCGTCATTGAGAATGGCGTCCATTAACCCTCATGTCAAGGCAGTTCGGTAATGACTACTTCACTATATCATCCCGTGGTTGAGTTGTCGGGCTAACACCGTACAATAGGTCTCTCTACCGACGGTCTTTGAAGCTTGCCCTTGACTGGGCCGTCCAACGCAACCTGTGGCGCGGCCAGGCTGTCTATATCCGATCACTCTTCGACGCGAACAGAAATGTGAAAGATCCCAGACAACAAAGAGTATGCTTGACTTCTGCATTCTGGTACTGCGTGTGAAGGAGTATCTGACGCATGAGCAAAAATAGATCTTGTTCAATGAGACGGAAAAATTGCTGGACAAGTGGAAGCATCCCGACCCCTACCGACCGCCAACCGCCCCTGGAGGTACGAAATACAACTCCAAAAACAGAGCAAGAAACATAAACAAACTGACCGGTCTTGCTAGGTTCGAAATACGAACGAAACCTCCCCGCTCCAGATCTTCCCGCTCCATCAAGAGAGTTTGTCAAGAGATTATGAGGGTTCTGTCACGTCACTTTTGCGTTGTATATATGTTACTGCCAGCAGTCGATCCGGCTCAGACAACTGGAAATGAGGTCCTAGCATGAGGAGAACCTCAGCAGTTGATTTGTCTTGGGCTTATGATTGATACATAGCCTGAATTCATGCAACCTCCGGGAAAACGCTCACAGGATACTTTCCATCGACTTAAACTTTGTGCCCTTGTCTTTGAGCTTCTGCGTTCACATTGTATGGGAGACTACCATCCCAGCTATTCAGGCGACAGGTCCCCAAAACGGACTTTCTTCGATCAAGGTGCTGGCCAGCACCAGGGGCGTTGTTGTTGTTGATGCGAGTTGGGAGACTTCCTGGACCACGTTCGATATTGTGACGTACTATTAATACGCAGATGATGATCCCCTTCTCGACACTTCTGGCAAGCCTCTTTCAACCGCTTTTCATACAGTATTTGAATGCAGAATGTAAACAATATCAAAAAGACGCGCGCAAAGACCAAATTAAGACGTTTAGATCAGTTTGGATCATTAAATTCAACTTCTCTAATGACCCTGTTCCATCGCAAAGCTGTTTGCCTTGCCATTTGCATTCCTCATGTCCTTGCCGCAATCCTATCCATGGTCATGATGATAATAGCCATGCATGGACATAATGTACAGCCCTACCCATTGAAAGCAAACACTGAAAAGGCCCATTTGACCCGGCCAGCCTAACCCCAGAACCCCGTGATCACATGTGTCATGAAACTCCCTTTAAAACCAAGCCAGAAACAGGAAAAGAAGCTTATAGCTCTTGGCTGGATTTGCCCTTTGCGGTCTTCTTTGGCAACAAGTCTGGAACAATATTAGCAGCTGGCTTCGGCAGATAAGGATCTGGTTCAACATACTCTGGTGAATGTTGGGCAAGACACCACCTTGGGCGATTGTGACGTGTCCGAGAAGCTTGTTCAACTCTTCATCGTTGCGGATGGCAAGTTGGAGATGACGAGGAATGATACGCGTCTTCTTGTTGTCACGAGCGGCGTTGCCGGCAAGTTCGAGAATTTCAGCTGCAAGGTACTCGAGGACGGCAGCCAAGTAGACTGGAGCACCAGCACCGACACGCTGAGCGTAGTTGCCCTTTCTCAACAGACGGTGGACACGACCGACAGGGAATGCGAGACCCGCCTTGGAGGATCGGCTGCAGATGGAAGTCAGTACATGTGTGAACGAGGACAAAATACCAAGATGTACTATTGGAGACGAGCGCCAAAAGAACGCGTCGACCCATGAAATGCGACATCTCATATTATAAGACTTACGATTGAGCGTTCTTGGAGCCAGAGGCCTTGCCACCAGATTTACCGCCAGTCATTTTGATTGATTTGGGTGGTTTGTGGGTTTGGTTTGAAAAAGTTGGAAGATGATGAGAAGTGTAGAGTGGCGGCTCAAGTGCGATGGAAGCTGAGTTGAAGATGGATGAAGAGAAAAGGAGAAGGGGAAGCGTTGAGGAAGAAGGAGGGAAGAGGAACTTATAAAGGCATGGGCAATGCAGGCGATGATGCGGGCGGCGGGCAGGGCAAGGCAGCGCGCCTCCAGATCAACTCTGCAGTAGTTCAGTGCTAGCAGTGACTTTTGGGCGTGGATGGAGAATCACGGATCACGGGCGACTTGTTTTGGATCACGGGCAGTGGTGCGCAGCCAATCAGGGTGCGGGGTGCGGATTGATCAAAAATGACTTTTCTGTTGTGATTTACAATACAGGCTGCCGTTACGGAACGTGACGCTATCTCCCCGCCAAGACCACTGATCCTGCGCTGCCATTGGTGCAAAAGTGCTCAAAAACGAAGGAATAACAATACACTGATAATTCCCGCAGCGCTGTTACCTGGATCAACCAGCACCGCGCTCTGCCTGCACTGCGCTCCTCCTCGCATCAACCCGCGCCCGCCTCCTGCGCTTGCACCTGGTATAAGAGTTCCCGTCACCCACACTTCGCGGCTTCCTCTTCTTCCCTCTTCATTCATCCACACCCGTTCCTGTGCCATTACTCAGACACCTTTGTCAAACCAAATCCATCTCTCATATCACTCTATCCTCTAATTTTCGCCTTTTCCGCGATTCAAATCATTTGAAATGGCCCCAAAAGCTGCTGAGAAGAAGCCCACCACTGGCGGCAAAGCCCCAGCTGGCAAAGCCCCTGCTGCTGAGAAGAAGGAGGCTGGCAAGAAGACCGCCGCCGCCCCATCTGGTGACAAGAAGAAGCGTGGCAAGACGAGAAAGGAGACCTACTCTTCCTACATCTACAAGGGTTAGTCGCCTCGAGCGCATCGCGCCTTCGATCACCTTTCGCGCATTCGATACTGACGCGTAATCTAGTTCTCAAGCAAGTTCACCCCGACACCGGTATCTCCAACCGTGCCATGTCCATCCTGAACTCTTTCGTCAACGGTATGTTCCAAGTCAGTCCTGGTCCGTCGCATCCACTTTCTAACATTCCGAACCAGACATCTTCGAGCGTGTTGCCACTGAGGCTTCCAAGCTTGCTGCCTACAACAAGAAGTCCACCATCTCTTCCCGAGAGATCCAGACCTCCGTCAGACTCATCCTTCCTGGTGAATTGGCCAAGCACGCTGTCTCGGAAGGCACAAAGGCCGTCACCAAGTACTCCTCTCAGAGCAAGTAAATGTGCTCATCGGGGCATGGATGTGCTTGATTCTTGGGGTTTTGCGTTTTTTCTCTCTGCAATGGGGTTGCGGCACAATGGAACAATGGTGTTGACTGGGTTTTACAACACTTTTATGAATGCGTCATGGGAACTGGGGATCAATGAGATGAGCTCGGGTCGGGCTTTGAATTGCTTGCTCATATGCAATTGGGGCATGCTTTACGGTTTTCAGAGCTTCTTGTTTCATCATTGACATGGTGGGAGGACCAGTGTACAATACTCACCACGCAATGGAAATGAGATATGGCAGACCTCCAGCTCGTGCGAGTTGGAGTACGCAGATGAAGAAACCAAATTGAAAGCATCAGATCAATCATTTGCGCTCCAGTTCTATGTCTACGTCCTACAAGTAATCATGGCCTCCATCGAGGCTCTGCTGGTAGGTTTGCGATTGTTTTGGAACGCGTCGCGATGCACGCTAGACACGCCACCGGTCACGTCGACACGACCCGCGACTCGCGGAGGTAAGGTTTCGCGCTACAACCCTCTCGATGTGATGGAATGCAGTGCGTGTACAAAGCACAGGCCTCGGTATGCTACGGACTCAATGGTTTGTCGCGAGAGGGCGCCAGGTCAGAATCGAATAATGGTGCACCTGTTGCTCAAGTTGGGAGCGGTTATAGCAGGCAGGCCAGCAGTATCGGAACCGACATCTGGAAGTAGTCTTACGACTTCTCCATACTACACAGCGATGGAATGAAATCCTCTTGGATGGAGAAGAATAGAATCTCAGCTTCTTTCGGAACCATTGCGCATCATAGTACTTGTCCGTCCGTCCATCCATCCGTTTGTTCATTCAATCATTCAATCATCCTCATAATCCAAACTAGAAGAATAAGGCAGTCAGACGCCGGTTGCAATTCACACACAACACTCAAGAGCATCCCAAGACACACAAAATTCGCAACGTGATTGTCCAGTCTGATAGGACAAAGTCAAGGCAGACCATTGAAGGCCAAATCCAGGAAGGAGCTGAGACAGGGTTCGGGTTTCATTGGATTTGAAACAGTCGCAAGCGACACCCACCACTCGAGTCACACTGGGTCTAGCTTTGACCTTCATGCTCGCCCTCGTTTCCCGTCACCGTTACGGTTTCGTCTTCCTCATCATCGTCGTCGTCAAAAGTCTCGACTTCATCAACGGCCTCCTTGCGCTCCTTAGTCTCGCCTGGAACCGGTGGTTCCCGGTCATAAACATGGACGATGGCCTTGCCCTTGACCTCTTTGATTCTGCGCTTCCAGTCTTCCCAATCTGCTTCGTCTTTAATCAGAAATCCAATCAGCATGCTGGGATCCATCTCGTTGATTCGCAATCCGCGTAATCGGCGTGTATGACAGGTCGCGATCTCTTCTTCCGAGTAGTCTGCGGGCGAAGCATGATGTGGCAGAGCTGGGCGTGTCTCGTGGGGATCGAGGTAGAAGAACAAATCACCCTGACAGCCGACGAAGTAGTGAGATGACGAAGGACGGCCTCCTGCTATTCCAATGGATTGCGGGTAAGTGAGAGAGCTCTTCAATGCCTCATGGTAAACGGGTGTGATTCTGTCGAGACCAAGTCGGATTCCAAAAAGAATCAACGTAGGCTTGATTGTAGGGTCTGAAGGGCTGGCTGCCGCGATGGATCGAAAGCGGTCTTCGTATAGTTCCGAGGCCGAGGGCGTCACGTATACGCGCAGTCCTGCTGCCGCGCATTCGGTGGACAGTTCCCTAATACACGATGCAGTTGCCGATGGACCAAACCATTGGCCTGGGTGCTTTCCGCAAGCAGACGCGCCATGCTGGACGAAGCGGTGGATCGAGAAGGGAGCATCAGGGGAGTCGGCAAAAAGAGAGAGGATTTCTGCTTCACGCTTTGTGGAAGATGAAGATGAAGAGGGCTTGCTGTCCGAAGTGGTAGGAGTATGGGTGTGGTCCCGTCGCCAGTCGCGACCTAGATGGAGCAGCATCAATGTGTTTGCCAGGAGAGATTGTCCTGATCGGATCATGCACCCCCAGCCGGTGTCGCTGGTGAAACCCTCTCGCTCTGTTAGATTGCGGAGGCGGACAGAGAAAGACATGGACGAAGCACGGGATGGCTCCTGCGAACGTGGTATCGGTGTGAAATTCGATCTGTATGTCATCCATATTCGCGATTCGAAGTCGTCGAGGAATGCATGGGGCCAGCCGCCGTCGGAGGGATCATTGGAAAGCGAAGGGAGGTTCTCTCCTGTAACGTGTTGCGCATCGTCAAAGCTACTTGTACTTTGGACCGCATGGGTTTGTTGTTGTGTATCTACCGTCGTGGGGAGACTGATGTCCGAAGGGTCACGCGAGTCCGTCGACGACTCGACTTCAACCACATCGTCATGGTCCGTCGTGGTCACCGACTTTTGCGGAAAACAAGTGTACTCTTTCCCTAGTAGCCATACTGATGCACCTGACATATCATCGTATCTGGGAGGAGGATCGTAGAAGTAGCGCACGAAGCGCTTGTAGTCGACTCCATTCATGACGCCCTGGATCGGCAGATGTTGGAGGGTTGTAGACAACACATTCAGCAACCCAGACGGTGCCCACTCGGATCGTAGGACTTGAGAGAATTGGTGGACCGAGACGTAAGCCGACTCTTCGTTCTGTGTATCCCACGGCGTTTCGGGCTCGAAAGACGGACGCCGAGGCTGCGAGTGCGCTTGATTGTAGAGGGGGGCAAACAGAGCTCGAAGAGTGTCCAGGACGGGAATGATTCGATCGTGATAGGAGACAGGCAAGCAGTTACCGCAGAGGGACTTTAAGGGGGTTTATTGGTTGAGTTGCTATGCTATACTGGAATGCTTGCCATGAAGTGGTTATCTTGTGTAGTCGAGGGGCGCAGGCATCCACATGCAGTGTACAGTACTAGTACTGCAGTGGGCGGAGGGCGGTCGGTCAGCCTCGCAGAGGAGTGAGTTGTCACCACTAGTACCGCTAGCTATTTGTTAATGTTGACATGAAAGGACATGATTGGCTTCAATGTTTCGGGTAAGGGAACTATGATTTTAGTGGCAGTGGTAGTACCAATGGGCAAGACCCTAGCGCGACGATACCTCCAAGTCCTGCTTAGGCGTGTGGCGGTGAGGCTGCGACTGATTGGTGAAGAAGGATGGTTACTCGCATGTAATTCGTGGAAAGGTCATTATTCACTCTGTCCCGCCACAGGGACCACCCGCACCAATACCGCTCACTACACTTCGCATCAGTCGGTGATTGTTACCACTTTGTATGTCACAGTTTATCGCGATTCACACTGCAGTGGCAACCCCTGCAGAGTCACCCGCGACTCCAAATCTTTGTATTTGTACCGCCCGCTTTCTACACGCCTCACTCTTGTGAGCGTACCAAATCATCTTCTCCCACTGCTTTCTACAGGAGCATTCCCGATCGAGCGCTCACAGGGGGCAGTCTCTCTCATTGTCTCACCCCACTATGGGGGCAAGACAGCGCGCTCAGGCGCGAGCAAAACGAGCGAGCGGTGGACATAGATTGTCATCGTGGGCATCGAACCAGGCCAATGGGTCTGTCAATGGTATGACAAACAAGACCCTGCGCAATGCTCTTTGAGGAGTCTCTAACAATAGTTCCAGCCGCGAAACACCAAGCTCGTGTTCAAGCCTGGCAGGATTACACCGATTCAAGCTCGCCGCACCGCAACGGCACATTCAGCATGAGTCAGGAAGCCCGCAATACCGAGCGTCATACCATGGGTTGGGGACCTACCAAACTGAGAGAAAAGAGTGTGGCATTTGTCAGTGCTGGCAATCTTGTCCGTGACGAAGCAGACACTGTTCAGGAAGATGAAAATGTAGAGGGTGAAGCAGACACCACCGGGGCCGAAGATATCAAAGAACAGGACTCCACGGGTCCTGTTTTGGAGTCTCCGGTTGAGGTTGATACCACTCAAGTCGCTGTCGCTGTTTCACCCACGCCACCCTCTGTCCAACCTTTGCATCCACCCAAATACCTCTCCCGGAGAACTTCGGCCTCGTCTCAGTCCTCGGAGGAGATCGTTTTCTGTGGTCGACAGAATCGCTCCACAAGCGGCCCTTCCGGATCAACATCAGCAAAGCCAACTCCCATCCGCGGTAACAGCCCAGCAGACAACAAGGCTAATGCGACCAGCCCTCCATCCCTCGCAGAGGAAGACGTCAGTATTTCACAATGGCAAGAACACACGCATATGCGTTCCACTCGCCCGACGCAATCTCACAACAAGCCTTCGGGCCGTCGTGGCAGAGCTTACCTTCGGTATCAGCGTGAGCGGGAGGAAGAAGAGGCACTCATGAGAGATTATATCGAGAATCTTGCGGTTGACGACGACAGTGCTGAAGATGAGTCGAGCGAAGAGGGTGCGGCTGACGACACAGATGGGCGCAACGAACATTACAGATTCTTCGATGGTTCTGCCCAGATGAACGAGAAGGTGCAGACTGCATCGGCAAAAGGCGCGGTGAAAGGAGATATTGCTCAAGCTATCGACTGGGATTCTGCAGATCTAGAAGACTTTGACGGGTTGAGCACCACTGATGAGGAAGTTTTGGAGATCTCTCAGGTGCTACGACGTCGGATTCGCCCCAGTGGCCCACAGTATCTTGTGACTGCAAGCGGACAAGGTGCCAACGAGGCTCGTTGGGTGCTGCAAGAGAAGCTTGTCTCTGCCTCTGCGCGAGAAGAGATCCGCATCTTCGAAGAGATTCGCTCGATGAATGTTGAGGAGGACACTGAAGAGTCAGATACTGAATCGGAGACTGACGACGCCCTTGAAGACTTGGTTGGCGACATCGAGTCAGAGGACGAAGAAAATGCACGCATCCTAGAACGTACCTCCCGGATGACCGACGAGCAGATCGCTCGAGCATTGGCGAAACAGGAAGAACTCGGTCTGGGTGGTGACGAATTACTTCTCTTTGACGGCGAGGCTGGGGACGACACTGATGAGCGGGATGAGTTCGCCGCTGACCGAGACTTCATTCCATTCTCCGCAAAGAAACACCTCTCTAATCGTGGCAAGTCGAAGCGCAATAGCCGGCGACGAGACGTCTTCCCGCCTGCCGAAGCGTTTGCCGATGCTCTCGAACAAGACCCCTACGGTGCGTTTGACATTATGGATTTCGAGCGACCGAGTCTCCGACCTAAGAAGAAGGGGCGCAAGTCGGACTTTCCATTTGATCTGGGCCTGGAAGATGAGGAACTGGCGGAGCACTTGCGAAGCACATGGAGTAAGGACAGAGAGAAGAAGGCCGCGAGGAAGCGCGAAAAGCAAGCAGCACGTGAAGCCGCTCTGCTCGACGCCTCTGAGCGTAACGACCCCGCCTCGATCAAGGCCGAAATCAGACAATTCCTGGTGGATGATGAGGATACTCTTGCTCTGGCTGCCATGGACTCGGCAACTCGCGCCTCGGTTCATCGACTAGCCAAGGCACTGAGGTTGAAGTCACACTCGGAGGGCAAGGAAGGACAGGGCGCAGGCAGATACCCTGTCCTAACCAAAGGGCCGCAAACCCCGCGTTTTACGTCTAACACTATCTGGGAGGTTGATGCGCTGATGAACCAGAGAAAGTTCTTCCCCAAGCATGGTGGAGGGTCTTACAGAGGTCCCAATGCTCCTCGAACCGCCGGTGCAGCGCGGGCTCGTCGTGGTGGTGGCGGTGCTTTGTCTGGTGCAACCTACTCGAACGGTGAAGTTGTTGGTGCGTCTGCCCCAGAGATTGGTGCCGACAACAAAGGTCGCGCGATATTGGAGAAAATGGGCTGGACAAGTGGCATGGGCATTGGTGCAGTCGGCAACAAGGGTGGCCTCGAAGCTATCAAGCATGTTGTCAAGACAACTCGCGCCGGGTTGGGTTAAAGGATGCTGTTTGCCGCTGTTTGTAGGACGGGTTTTGCCGTTCTGGGGTTTTGACAATGTTTCCGGATAGAAAGCCCGGGCTGGACCATGCTGAATAGACAATGTCGTCCAGTTGCTGACGGGCTCTGTCCTGCGCTGGCTTGTGTCTCCTTGTTCGAGTCATGGTGATATGTATGGATTACTCCTCCAAGGGCCGCCTGGGCTCTGTGTGTATGCGGTCATAGAAAAGCAGTGGCGATGGCTAATTAAACCGTTTCATGCCCATAGTCTTCCTTTAAGACTCTTTATGGTAGCTACCCAGTTACAGATTCATGGCCGATTTCCACAGTATTGCCGACTCCGTCTTTGTCTGTGGTCGATGATAGTACTGTATGTGAGGAAGGTGTGAGCTGGCGGCGGCAGACTGGGCCATTTCAGCGAATATATATTCTCCAACTCCGGCAGTAGTCCACCACACCACTCCAGCCGTCCTGAACTACACCAAGACACCCGCCACAATGTCAGGGCACAAAGCGAAACCATTGCCTTGCAGATCCAACATCAGCCAACCCTGTGGCACGAAGAGAGAAAGTTTGATATGCACAGCACCGTCGCCGAGGTTGGAGCCCGCTAGAGCGCACACGCGAATGTCCGATGCAACACATTGACGGGCCGTTACCAACGCCGGTGCCGCTGAAGGGATACATGAAGGTAGCGTAGTGGGCAAGAAGGTCCAAAAGAGTGATCAAAGCCGGCCACGAGTCCCCTATCGTGATCTCAATAACGGATACATGCTTCACAAGCTGGGCTGCCGAAACCGTGACCCCGATGTCCAGAAGAGGACTGTATGTGCTGCGCTGTACCTGGATGTATCCCTTCTGCCACAGGGATGACGATGGTTGCAGTCAGAACCTGTGGCAGGCGGTATAGGAGCAAACTCAACGGGCCAACAGGCCATACACAGTACAGTCCCAGCAGGCACCGACATCACAATCATCCTGGCCATCAAGGAACAAGATAGCCGTCGCCAGCCAGGAGCCCAACTCTCCGTGGTGCACCCCGTCCCCGCTACCACCAAGTGCAGGCTCTCCACCAACAGAGCACTCAGTACGGCGAACCAACAGGCCATAATGAAACCACCAGGTCTCCCTACAAGGCTCAAGCCATCGTTGACAAGAGGCGGATCGAAATTCAACAAGCACAGCAGGAGCCTGACTTACGGCTACCGCTACAGGGCCCAGTGCGACAGCTTCCAGGTCAGCGCTCCTGGCCAGATGCAGAGAACGGGCCCGAGAGCAGCACATCTAGCCAAAGGAACGGAGCACCACGTTGCCACCGGAATCCATCGCCGGAGCAGGGAGAAGCGGCGGCTTGCCCGTGGACGAACACACAACGAGTGGCATCTCCAGCCGCATTACAGGCTACCACTACACCTAGTCTGCTGCATCCGCAGCCTGGTGCCTGGTGTTCCTTCTAGAGTGCACAAATCTAAACTGCGGGCGAGATGCTGCACTTGCTGATCAGTGCATATGACGCTCATTAGCCAAGCTGTGCACGAGAATCTGCCACGTCCGAAAAGATGATTTACGTCCATAGGACAGCTCCGTGCGGCGGACCACGTGCCACACAGCATCGATGGTCGATAGTTGGTTCCAGCAGGTATTCACCAGTCTCTGTATCCTACTGGACTAACCAATCTTCGCTGTTCCGAACATCGGGCCAGGAACATGCAGTATCCGGACTGGAACAGGGGAGATTAGAAGGCCTAACACAGCAAAAGGCCAGGCTTATTCCACATGGCAAGGTAAGTCCGGAGACGATGGAGCATCTGCCATTATGACGATGCGACTACGAAAGGGAGGGTGTAATGCCTTATCTATAGTACCCATGACTGTGAGTGGGAACTGCCCAGTTGATTCCGGAGCCCCCAGCCGAAAGGAAACACCGAAACAACCAGGGGTCTATCTAAGTCTTGCATGTATCGGCGGATTGAGGGCACCACCTGCATGGGCAAGATTCATAAACCAGAAGGTAAGACAGCCGTCAAGGCCAACGGCAACCCATGGGAACCTGGCTTCCAACGGGATCGAACCAGTTGGGCTTACTTAGCAGCTGTCAACACGGACCAATTCTTGCGAGGAAGGCTAATCAGCGTTTCCTCGCAAAAAAAGGATGCCCGCAGCAAGTTGAGAAAGCAGAAAAGAAAAAGAGTGGTGTCACAGAGGCATTTGAAACCAAGAGATTGGCGGGATCGTGCTAGGTGAGATCTCGCCCGTCAATCTGCGCCAAGACCGGCCGCCGTGATCTCCCCGTCGTTTCAGGACAGGGACCAACCCTTGTGCAGCTGCCCTGGGACTTCTGGTTACTGTATATCGCAGTTGTCAACACGGTCTGGCATCGAAATCGAAGCAATCCGATTCGATAGTCTACCATGCCTTGCTGGTCGAGAGTGCAATAGCTGCATTCGGTCCGCACCAGGACTACCAACTCCTTGCTGGTACACCAATGGTGCGACAAGACAACCCTTGTTACCGGCGGGTCGATTGCTATAACGTCTGTTCACAAGTATAAGCGACAACAGATCTTACCATGGCAGTCCGATGCACCATGGCATGTGTACTTTTCATTGTTTTGTCCTGAAGATACACAAAGTATTTAATGCGCCTGGTTCTCTGAACGATATCCTCTCCTCACCACTCAACCAGAAGTTCATTCATTTCCCTGTCGACACAGGTTGTTGTCGCTCCTTCCCTCTCGTTCGTTATTATTTGTTCCTTTTTACTCTTTCATATTGCCGCCCGGTGCTTGACTCTAAAGAATGTATCGTTCAATCCCATCCGTTCTATTTGCTTCGACTGCGCTCCTAAGCCTGTCCCAGGCTTCGGCATCGGTCCAGGGCCCGTGGGAACAATGTACGAGCGTCAAGTCCGTTACAAAACTCATCGCTGATCCCCTACAGGTGGTGGCATTGACTGGACCGGAGGCACCTCATGTGCGCAAGGCTGGACCTGCGTCGTGCAAAACCCATGGTACTCTCAGTGCCTCCAAACCGAGACCGCTTCTTCTTCGTCAGTCGAAAGCACAGTGACACCATCGAGCTCCCTACCAGCCCAGAGCCCGTCGCACTCCGTCTCATCTGTTGTGAAGACTGTCACCGCATCCAGTCTGACTGAACCAACAACATCGACCACCAGCCCGGCAGGCCCAGCGTCCACTGGCCTCACGTATAAGGCATCTATCACGCACTACGGCTCCGGAGACAGCTTCGGCTCACCAAACTGCAACACCAACACCGCGGCCTGCTTCTTCTATACTTCACCCGGTTTCAGCGCAGCAGTCAGTCAAAACCTCTACGGCGTCGGTCCCGGTGCAGGTCAGGGTCCGGCCTGCGGAACATGTTGGAAACTCGTTGGCGAGACCGATTCTTCGGGCAACAAGCTCAGCAATGCTGGCACCAGCATCGTGGTCATGGTGAACAACTTGTGCCCGGCCGACGGGAACCCCCTATGTGCCCAGAACGGACTTTCCGGCACCAACCAGTACGGAGCCAATGTGAACTTTGATCTTTGCAGCGACAGCGGAGCCTCAGCGGCCTTCTTTGGGAACAGCGGCGTGGGACTCGCTGTCGGCTCCGCGACACAGGTCGACTGCTCGGAATGGTCTGGTACCGTTGTTCACTAATATCGCTATAGTAGTTCGAGGGTATAAGTACCTGTACTTAGATACTTTCTTCGCATCTACTATATATGCCCCTAGGGGAGATCAAATATATATCTACTACTTAACTAAATCTACTTAGTAGTTATAGTCACATCCTTTGCAGTTTCAAATTGGCTTCGAATCGATTCCGAACCGATTTTGAGGCTCGAATCAGTTTCAAAAATTCAAGCCTCGGATTAGTACTTAGTATGGAATCGGCATAGAATAGGGTTTAAATCGATGTCGAAGATATCTATGATTACATAGTATTACTTAGTAGTTGAACTATATTTAGAGAAATCTAAGCTTAATACTATGTAAGTAATACGCTTAACAGTACGCCTAGGGAGGTACTTAGTAACTATATAGATACCTACCCTATAAATAGTATTAAAACAGTATTAATACAGTTTCAAACCGGCGGTTCCACTATATTTCGAAACCAATCTTGAACCGGTTCGGAATCGATCTAGAAATATTCTAAGTTAGTATTATCTCTATTTAAACGGAATATACACTTATTTAGATATATACTACTAGTAGTTATTCTACTAATCTAAGTAAATCTATAAATAAAGTTCTACTACTACTAGTAAATATGGATAAGTACTGTAAATATCTATACTATATAAGCTATAGTAGAGTAGCTCAACACTATGTCAACACCGTATTAACACGGTTTCAACATAGTTTCGATATAGTATCCGATACGGTTTCGAACCGTAGTGAAACCGGTTCCACTACGGATCCGAATCGGTTCCAAACCGGTTTCGATCCGAGTCGGCGTGCTTAAATCGGTGATAAAATCAGCGTTTGGAACCGGTTTCGAGGTGTTGAGCGGTGTTGAGCCTCGAATACGATTTGGAGCCTCGATACGGCTATAAATTAAGCTTATAACTATTTCTACGTTTACTACTAGTAGACCTATAACTTATCGAAAAGGTGTAGGCTACGCCTAACTGCACGCCCGACTGACAGTGCGTTCGACAGTGCGTTCGACAGTGCGTTCGAAGGGACGCTCGAGTACATAGAGTACGTGCACGCGCAGCAGGACGATCAACAAGACGCTCGACGGGACGCTCGACGGGACGCTCGAGTAGGTACACGCGTAGCAGGACGCTCAACAGGACGCTCGGCAGAGCAACACCGTGTTAACACGGTTTCGAAACCGTTTAGAGGATCGAATACGTATCCAACACAGTTCCACTACGGTTCGGAACCGATTCGGAATCGACTCGAAACTGGTTCGGAACTATTTACAGTTTTAAGCGTATCGAAATCGTATTGACTCTATTTACTCGGATCCTACTAGTTTGCGTATATCTACTAGTTCGCGTATATCTACTAGTT